GAAGAAGATTGGAAGAATGAGCAAACAAACAAAAAGAATCCCAAGGCAAAAAGTTACTATGGTGGCAAGATACAAAGATCTACAGGCAAAGCCTCAAAGAAAAATTCTGTTTAGATACAAATGCAACAAGAATTTCTAGAAGAGTTAAGAACAAGATTTGAAAAAAAGCCAAAACAGGATTTTAAAAACCAAATGAGACCAGTAGAGGAAAAAAAAATGAAAAAAGAGGCAAGATCTAGGGAAGAAAGAAAGAGAAAAGGAAGGGAAAAGAGGTAGAAAACCTCACTGAAGAAAATTACTCCTTGAAAATTATTGGCCAAGTAAAAGCTAACAACTCCATGAGATGTGATTATTGACTGTGGCATTAAGTCTTCATCTTTTAAGAGGGAATTGAATTTTTGGAAACAACCACTATTAAGTAAAAGTCTTAAGTATTTGGTAAATAATGGGTGATTATTTTGAATTTTAACCTGTTAAAAATGCATACTGTGAACTGTAGCATTTTCTCTGTAAAGTCAGTCATTGGGCCATAGGTAATTCATTTTTTTGCATTGCACTGAAGCTGAAAGATTTCTGCATTGACTCTTTGACCCCATGGATGAATTTTCTGTAGGCAGTGTCATTGCTGATAAAGAAATAAGTCAACATGATCCTCTCTTATGTTTTTTGACATGGCTTTCAGAGATGCTGGCATTTTCCAATGCAAACTTTGATGTTTCATTTCTGTGTCATACCGGAAACACTATGTCTCATCACTAGTTATATTTTTCTCCAAAATGAGAGAGACTAGAACAAATGTAAAATGTTTGATGTTTCTTTCATCATGTAATATCTGGCATTCTTTTCAGAAATGTTTATTTGCTTTTAGCACAAGATTATTTATGAAAATTAAACTCATTAGCTGTCATTTTCATCAATTTAGATGAACTAAATCTCTTTCCTTTTGAGTATTTTCATTGTCTTATGTCTAGTTGGGTGACTGCTCAGTGCACATTCTCTACTACCTTTTTAAAAACTCTTCTTATGCCTATCTGAATTTCTTATCCTTGATATTTCCTTATTCCCCATCTCTCCCCATCCCCCAAGACTTGTTTGAATATATATCAAGCATCTCATTTGTCAATTTTACTTAACAGATCTGATATACTTTGCTGACATACTTCAGTCACTACAGTTGCTATCACAAAGATGAATTGACTATTTATATTTATTATTTATACTTTAGTGATCTTTGATATGGTCTTATTTCTGTCTTTAAGAGACAATAAAGGAATATGAAATATGAAAGGAAAATGATGGAAAATCTTTAAGAGTAAATGTACTCTCAAGTTCTGAATATGATATAATGGCTAATTGTTGTTTTCTGTACAGTATTGTTGGAATCTTTGTATTTTTTTATCTAGGCTATCTTCTTTAGGTTTGGTAGTCATATCACAATGAAAATAAGACTGTTCTGCATGCTTGCCAACTTCTGGGCTCACAAATTCACATTTGTGAATTACAGTGGCTTTTGTAGGGGGAGGTATCAGGATTTGTGATCTGGAGTTAGGGATGGGGAAGGCTCACATTTGAAAACTGATAAAGTTCAGATGTATAATTTACAGTTTTAAAGAGTTGTCTAGAGTCTAAGTAAGTAGACCGTGGTCATGCTGGGAGAATTTGAACCCAGATCTTCTCGATTCCAGGTTGCTTCTCCTGAATGAGCAAAAAAGTCTATTGAATGCTGTGAAAAAAGAAAAGCAAAAGCTTAATGAATATTAAAGCATTAAAATGTTTTTGAATCCTATAGGCTTTTTTTTTTTGCTTTTAAGTAACTTTATTTGTTTATCTCCAGAGAAGATCAAAGTAAATTTGTTCCTAAAGCACCTAATGAGGCTTCCTCACCTTATTTTTAATTGCCTGGGGATCTTGATAGCAAAAGTTGGATCCTGAGATGATCTTGAGAGTAGGCTGTTTTTGTGGGTGGGTGAAATCCAGTGGATCCCTACAATTCAATTACAGCTAACTAATTCATTGAGTACCTAATATGGTTCTCATTACCCTTATAACACTGCACTGTGTGTGATACTGAGGCTCAAAATTGTTCAAGCATTTGTCACTGTTTTTAAGGAACTTTATCTCATTTGAGACAAGTAAAACTTGGCAGTTTCTTGATCACTTAAAGAGTTTATGATTTTGGCAGCATCCCCTTTTCAACATTTTAACTGATGATCCCTTTAATTTGGTAGATAGCCTTCAAGAGTTGCTGTATTCATAACATTCACCACTTGGAGACTACCATAGTGATAGACTCTTTGAACTTCGATTCTCAGACAGCAAGAATACAATTCATGGTCAGATCTATAATTAGCTTTCTAGTTTGGTAAGGACCTACCAGAGCTTGAGTTTTGTTGGCATAGCCTTTAAGAAACCAGAGTCAACTCCGTGCCACAATAAGGCATCTCCAAGAGGACTTAGCTTGGTAAAGACATATGCAAGAACATTTAATAAAAGGCAAAAAATGCAAATGTGTTGAGGATGGATGACAGCGATAGGCTGTAACAGTAACATTTTTAATGTAGTTTATTTTTCTCCCCCAATTAACATGTTAAAACAATTTTTAAAAGCATTTAAAAAAAAGTTTTGTGTTCCAAATTCTATCCCTCCCTCCAGCCCCTCCCTACTTCCTGAGACGGTAAGCAATCAGATATAAGTTATGTATGTGAAATCATATAAAACATTTCCAAATTAGTAATTTTGTATAGGAAGATCTGAACAAAAGAAAAAGAATGAAAGAAAGTGAAAAATAGTGTATTTCAGTCTGTATTCAAACAGTATCATTTCTTTCTCTGGAAAGGGATAGTATACTTCTTCATTAGTCCTTTGGGATTTTCCCTGATCATTGTATTGCTGAGAATAGCTAAGTCATTCACAGTTCTTCATGAAACAATATTGCTGTTACTGTGTATAATGTTCTCCTGGTTCTGTTCACTTCGCTTTGCCTCGGTTCATGTAAGTCTGGGTTTTTCTGAAATTATCCTGCTTGTCATTTCTTAAAACACAATAATATTCCATTACAGTCATGTACCACAGGTTGTTTGGCCATTCCCCAATTGATGGGCATCCCTGTGATTTCCAATTCTTAGCAACCACAAAAAGAGCTGCTATAAATATTTTTGTACATATAGGTGTCTCCCCCCCTCCTTTTTTGGGATGTCTTTGGGATATAAACCTAGCAAGCAGTATTGCTGTTTCAAAGGGTTATGCACAGTTTTATAGCCTTTTGAGCATAGCTCCAAATTACTCATCGCAGTGGTTGAGAATCAGTTCACAACTCCACCAATACTGTGTTAATGGCCCAGTTTTCCCATATCCCCTCCAGCACCCATCATTTATCTTTTTTTGTCATATTAGTCAATCTCATAGGTGTGAGGTAGTACTTCAGAGTTGTTTTAATCTGCATTTCTCTAATCAATAGTCATTGAGAAGCATTTTTTCGTATGATGATAACTTTGATTTCTTTGTCTGAAAACTGGCTGTTCATATCCTTTAACCATTTGTCAATTGGGGAATGACATGTATTTTTACAAATTTGACTCAGTTCTCTATATATTTGAGAAATTAGGCCTTCATGAGGCATACTTGTTGCAAAAATTTTCCACTATTTTCTGTTTTCTTTATAATTTTGGTTGCATTGGTTTTGTTTGTGCAAAATCTTTTTAATTTTATATAATCAAAATTATCTATTCTACGTTTTTTAATGCTGTCTATCTCTTGTTTCATCATGATTTCTTCCCTTATCTGTAAATCTGACATAAACTATTCCATGCTTTCTTAATTTGCTTATGGTATCATTCTTTATGTGTAAATCATGTGCCCATTTTGACCTTGTCATGGTATATGGTGTGAGATGTTGGTCTATACCTAGTTTCTGCCATACCGTTTTCCAGTTTTCTTAGCAGTTTTTGTGAAATAATGAGTAATTGTTCCAAAATCTTGGATCTTTCGGTTTATCATATACCAGATTACCATGGTCATTCACTATAATGTAATTTGTACTTATTATTATACTGATTCGCCACTCTATTTCTTAGCCAGTACCAGATTGTTTTGATATTTGCCACTTTATAATACTGTTTGAGATTTGATATGCCTTCCTTCCCTTTTTTTGCCGATTCCCTTGATATCCTTGATTTTTTTGTTCTTCTAGATGAACTGTTATTTTTTCTAGTGCTGTAACATACTGTTTTGATAGTTTGGTATGGCACTGAATAGATAGATTAATTTAGGTAGAATTATCATTTTTATTATATTGGTTCAGCCTACCCATGAGCAATTAATATTTTTCTAGTTGTTTAGATCTGACTTTATTTGTGTAAAAAGTGTTTTATAATTGTGTTCATATAGTTCCTGGGTTTGTCTTGGCAGGTAGGTTCCCAGGTATTGTCTGCAGTTATTTTAAATGGGATTTCTCTTTCTGTCTCTTGCTGCTGGGCTTTGTTGGTAATATATAGAGATGTGGGTGATTTATGTGGCTTTATTTTGTATCCTGCAACTTTGCTAAAGTTGTTAATAATTTCAAGTAGCTTTTTAGTTGATTCTCTAGGATTCTCTAAGTATAACATAAGATAGTTTTATTACTTCATTGACTATTCTCATTCCTTAAATGTCTTTTTCTTCTCTTACTGCCGTACCTAATATTTTTAGTACAATATTGAATAATAGAGGTAACAGTGGGCATCTTTTTTTCACCCCTGATTGTATTGAGAAGGCTTCTTCCTCATCCTCATTACAGATAATACTTTCATGTAACATTTTAACATTTAAGCCAAGTACTCTAAGAATTAATTTTAGATGACAGTACATACAGAAACGCTTTGTTTGGGTAGTTTGAGTGTGCGTCTCTAAGCTGCTAAATAAAATACTCTGTTGAAAAACTAGCAACATTTTTTGTGTTCCACTGGAATTAGCTTTGATGTATATCTGTTTAATAGTTGGCCTTTTCTTTTCCCCCTTCACAGGAGACTTATCTTTGAAAAATGGAACCAAATCCTTGATGGAATTCAACACAGGGGATCCCTGTTTCCAGCAAGGAACAAGTATAACAGTACATAGTAGTATTGCCTTCTTATGTGGGAAAACACTGGTTAGTCAATGGGGATTCATTCTTCTTCTTGTCTGTTATCTTACAACAAGTGTCTTGTTAGTTGTGTGTTTTGGCCACAAGTGAAAAAACAAACCTAAAAAGAAAGCATATGAATCCTAAACTACCTCAAGTCTATATTTACAATGTTTTCAGTTTGACTTGAAATACTTACTGTGTAGAGAGTGACAATTTTAGAATAGTTAAATTAGTTATAGGGTGATTTTTGTATTCTTAGCATTGCTGATTCCTTTTTGCCGAGAGAGAGAGAGAGAGAGAGAGAGAGAGAGAGAGAGAGAGAGAGAGAGAGAGAGAGAGAGAATGTGTGTGTGTGTTTTATAATTCACCCATTTTATATTAAACTTCAGCAATAGTAAGAGGAGCTGTTTAGAGAGACATTACTCACTAGTAAGTAGTAGAGCTGATAACCCTTGAGAAACTACTAAATGCTAAAGTGGATTTGAATGTGTAAAGTAATAAATTAAAACAAAACAAAAAAACGAAACTGAACATACAGTCGTTTGATTAGCCAGTTGCTATCACTAATAATTAACATGAGGATCCTTTTAGGAAACAACTTTTAGCATTTGGGGGTATTAAGGGCTGTTAAGGAGTCCCCTGAACTTGTTTTATTGAGTAAGTCTCATGGCATTCTGATTACCTGTTGACATACACAACCAATTTAAATCTGCCCAAAACAGAACAGGTACCTCAGTGTACATACACTATTTTAAAACTCTTTATAAAGTACTGGTGCCATAATTTTCACCTGAGGAAATCTGAAAATAGAATTTCTAGTATTAATTTTTGATCAGTCTAGATTACTCAGTTGGCTTCAAATTGCTGGAAATGATGTGAAAAAATGAAGTGCATGCTTAACAGTGAAAAGTAGCCAGGATTTAAGTTTTAGCTAATTACCTTCGTTTAATTAATTCCATCTTCAGTGCACAAGAAACTAAAAGTCAGTAAACAGGAGGTGTGTCTAGTCTCACATCTCCTTCGTCTGAGACATATTACTAGGCCATTTAGAGTTGACCATCCTGAGACCTGTTATCTTCTAGCCCATCCAAAGATCAATTATATTTGCATTTATTCTGAAATTGAATATCGACATAAGTAATTCTTTAGGGAAGGAACCTAAATTTGAATTGAGCTCTGAGGGATTATACTTTGGAAAGATTTGAGTCTTCTAACTCAGATCACATGTTTTGGTATGCGCCTTAGCTTTGACATAAATGGTATTTGAGTAAGAGGAAAAATCTAGAATTTGAGAATAGAGAACCCCTTAGGGTTTAATTATCACATAGTTTTTGCGTGTTAACTTGGTAACAGTGGTACCATTGAGAAATTCATGTGCATTGAAGGTCATCTCTCGAGGTGGCTGAAGACAAAGCCAGTGACCCTTTGATTCAGGAATGTGCTTGTTCATTTGCTCAACTGAAACCTTTTGGTTATCTAGATTTTATTTTAAAGAAACTTTAAAAATCTCAAGAATCTCTAAAGACATCCTACATTCGTGATTTTAATTTTTATAATTTTTTTAAAATAGGGAACTCCTGAATTTGTAACCTCAACAGAATGTGTGCATTACTTTGAATGGAGGACCACTGTGGCTTGCAAGAAAGACACATTTAAAGCTAACAAAGAGGTAACAAGTGAATTTTTGCATGTTTATCAGATAAGCTGTAGTGATGTTCAAGGACTTAAAATACTAGTTTTGAGAGACAAAGAACATTTTAATTATTAAACTTCAGTTTAACAAAGCTACTATACAGTTAAATTGCTTGTTTGAAATAATTTTGGGCAGTATCTAAGTTAAGAGCAAGAGATCCTAAATTTTAAAGGTCGTGATGCTTAGATCAGAAGTTTTTAACCTATTTACATATATGAAGCAGACCACAACTCTTCCTGGACATTATTTAATAAATTACTTTCTCAAGCTCTGTGGGCTAGATGTTGCCCTAATTATGACTACATCATTCATTTTAAATAAGTGAGCCAACAGGATAAAGACCATGGATTATTACCCATGTCTCGCCTCTGCATTGAATTTGCCCACTTTATGAGGTATTTATAAGGAATACATGCCATCTCCACATGTCTTGACTGTTTCATTTTTTTTTTAACACAGCAACCATTTCTTGTGTATAATATGTATAATGACCCTAATATGGCCCTAATATTCTCACCTGTTGCTTCCAGATTCTTCTCCAGGTCACTTGATATTGGTCTCTTATCTTCTGTTTCTTATTGGTCTCCCATTTTTTCTTTCAGGCAAACTTTCTCGAACCCCTTGTGTCATATCATCCTGCTCATACTTTTCGAGAGAGTACACATTCTTTGCTAATGTTTTATAATCTTGCTCTCCTTTTTATTTATCTAATAGCCTCTGAAATCTGCCTTTTCTGAAAATGAAAGATAAATGATGACTGATGTCTGGGGACTTTGGTTCATATTCTGGTTTTGACACTTACTAGCTGTATGACCTTGGGCTAGTGACTTCACTTGTCTCAGCTTCAGTTTCCTTAGAATGGATTAGTGTATAGAAAGTGGGCCATGGAAGACCTAGTTTTAAGCCCCACCTCAGAAACATACTTGCAGGAAATCAGTGAACCTCTCAGTATCTCACACAGCTGTCCAAGACCAGAAATTGTAGGTTTTCCTCACCAGGGATCTACCTATATAGTTAGAGAGAGAGAAAAAACTTATACTACCTACCTACTATAAGGCTGTAGTGAGATGTACTTGGCATACCTTAAAGGACTAGAGATACTGTTTGTTTTTTCTTTTTCTTTGAAGAACTATGCCATAAGTAGTAATGAATGCTGTAGATATTATCAAGTAATTTAATGCTACATATTTCAGACTTGTAAAGCAGTAAAAGAAGATGAAAAAAACCCATGACAATAGAGAGGCAGAGAAGAAAGATAAATAGCTCTCTTCTGGAATGGAGTAGAGGAGATTCAGCCAAAGGGGGGAAAATATTGATTGGGAGTGACAAAGCTTGTGAATTTTTTGGGAGACAATATTCTCAGGTGGGAATTGATGTTAAATTTGAGTTTCCTTACTTTATTTGAGGGGAATGTATAAGTGATATTCACCTCACCCCAGCCAAAGCCTATATATCACACCCATTCTTACTGTCAATTTTTAAACAATTTAATAGGAAATGAGTGCTTGAGTAAAGAATCTTAGAGCTGGATGGGTCCTTAGAAATCATCTAATCCAGGGGTGGAAAACCTGCACCCTCTAGACCTGATTCTAATCCAGTATCCTTGATTTAGAGAAACCTGGAGTTTGAGAGAGTTCTTGACTGGCTTAAGAGATCACACAGGTGGAGGAATATCTAGCATTATTACAACCTAGGTCTCCAGGCTCCCAGTCCAGTCATCTTTCCACTGTACTAGGAGTTCAACTATTTTATTAAAAGGGGAATAAATTTCCTTTTAAAGCAACTAATTGAGGCATTCTTCAGGTTGCTTTAGAAATGAAGTCTTAGACGGTGTCCTTTAGCAAGCTAGTTTAACATGGTCTTTAATTTCCTCTTTTGGACTTCTGGCCTTTTTTCGCCACACAGTCCTCCTTTTTTGTGTTTTGTTTTTCCATTTTACTTTGATAGCTATCACTGGTTTTTGTTATCTAAGTATCCCATTTATCTTCTTTGCTATTTTGACTATTGTATGACTTTCTTCTGCTAAGGAAAAAAAATTTCAAAGATAGGTAAACACTAATTTTCTTTTCTTTTCCTGTTTGTCTAGATGATTTCTTTTTTTGTTTTTATTTTCCTCAGGTATAAATCTCAATTTCTTTTTAGAAAGAACAGTTTCACCATAGTATTAAATAATCTAGTCAGCATTAAAAGGGTTTTAAAATTTTTTAAAAGGATAATAGTTTTAAAATTGATTTTAAAATATTAATCCATCTCTAAGTTAGTACATTAATACTGACTGAGTCTCCCTACCCAGGTACTGAAAGAGATGATGAATGTAATTACTGATCTATTGTCAGTGAGCTTTAAAAAATCTCTTAGAGGAGGAAAAGAAAGTATATAGAAGAGGAGGTATAGAAGAGGGCAAAAACCTGATGAGGGGAAGGGAAAAGGGGACCTGAAAATTTGAGCTGAATGAGTTTTGAGTCAGTTTCTGGTAAAGATTTTGTGAACCTTCAGAAAAGGAATGTCACTCAGAGCCATCATGGCTTCATCAAGAACAGGTTGTGCCAGACTAACTCCTTCCTCTCTACCTCCAAACTCCCCCCCCCCCTTTTGACAGTATTACTAGATCAAAATAATGCTATAGATATGGTCTCTCTGGATTTAACAAAACATTTAGCAGAGTCTTATGCCATCCTTGTGGACAAGTTAAGGAGATGTGTACTAAATGACAATACAGTTAGATATATTGGGAACTGGTTTGAATGACTTAAACTAAAGAGGTGTCTTTAATGATGTGATGCCAGCTCAGAGTAGATCTCTAATGGAGAGACTCATTGATCAATCCTTGGCCCTATGTTGTTGAATTTTTTTTTGAAATTTTTTTATGAATGACTTCTTCGAGGCATAGTTGGCATTTGTCACAAAGCTGGAAAGGCTAGCTAACACAGTGGGTAATAAATTCAGGACCCAAAAATATTTCAGCAGCCTAGAATGGTGAGCCAGATTTAATATGAAGACATTTCATGGGTATAAATATAAGGTAAACACTAGGATTCAAAATATCATTTTCACAAGTACAAGATGAGAAAGGCATGGTGAGAGAGCAGATTTGTCTGAAAAAATTCTAGAAACTTTGGTGGACAGCAAGCTGAATCACTCAAAAACAACAAAAAAAAAGATCACATATGCACCAGAATATTTCTAGCAGCCCTTCTTGTAGTATCAAAGAACTGGAAACAAAGTAGATAACCCATTGATTTGGGAATGGCTAAGTTGTGGTACCATACCATAATTTCTTCAGTTATTCCCCAATTGATCATTATGTACTTCCTTTCCAATTTTTTGCTTCCTTAGAAAGTGTTTCTCTCAGTATTTCAGTATACACTAAGTTTTTCTTTCTGTCTTTGACCTCGTTGGGATATGTACTATAGAATAAGAGTTCTTAATGCTTCATGTGCTCTAAATTTCAGGAACTTGGATGAGGAAAAAAAATTACATCTTTATTTTTACTAACATCTAACTCAAACATAGCATTTCTTTTATTCATAATATTTTTTCAGAAACATTATTTTGAGGAGTCCATAGTCTGTACCAGATTGCAAAAGGAGATTGTAACACAAAGAATGTTTAAGAACCCCTGATGTAGTGTGGGGGTCCCTGGATCTAAGAGTGAACAGTTGAAGGGCATTTTTTATGCAGTTCCAGACAGGTTGTTTTCCATTCTGGTTGAACCAATTCACAGCTCTACCAGCTGTATTTAAATATATTTTTCTGCAGTCCCTGCAACATTGAATTTTTATCTTTTATCACCATTGCCATTTTAGTGCGAGATAAAACCTCAGAGTTTTCATATGCATTTTTCTTATTAGTAATTGGGAGCATTTTTATATGGTTGCTGATAGTTTGCAATTCTTTAGAAAACTTTGTTGTTTTGACAGCTTGTAATGGGTAGTGTTCTTGATCTTACTAATTGATGTCAAATTTCTCTATCCTAGGTATTTGATATAAAGATGTTTCTCTAGTTTCACAGTTCTCCTGACGTCATTCTGACTGAAACAATTTTGTATTTTGCAAAAAGCTTTTTAATTTTGTCTGATTGAAGTGGATTTATTTTATCTTTTGTGATTACTTCTTTCTCTCTTTTAGTTTCCTTCCCAGACAGTCCAACCTTTACGTTGTTTTTCTGAATCGACAGAATATTTTAAAAGGAGTCACAATGACTTCATAAACAAAACAGATATTTTACCTTAATTTGTTCATATTATGGGCACAGTGAATAAGACTCTGTTGTTTACTGGGTGGTTGTCTCTATGTGTGACTATAAGTCTGAAGAACTAATATGTCCAAACTCCATTAGTGGATGTATGTAGGGAGGGGGAGGGGGAGGGGGAGAGAGAGAGAGAGAGAGAGAGAGAGAGAGAGAGAGAGAGAGAGAGAGAGAGAGAGAGAGAGAGAGAGAGAGAGAGAGAGAGAGAGAGAGGGAGGGAGGGAGGGAGGGAGGGAGGGAGGGAGGGAGGGGGAGGGAGAGAGAGAGAGAGAGAGAGGGGGGGAGGGAGGAGAGGGAGAGAGAGAGAGAGAGGGGGGGGAGGGAGGGAGGGAGGGAGAGGGAGAAATTTCAGTTGAATCATTGGAAGTTGGAAGACACACACAGTTAGTTGGCAAAGTGAAAGGCAAATTTGTGAGGTCTTTGCTTTAATGATATGATTGAAATGATTCCATACACTAGTGAGAAATACAGTACTATGGAAGTTGTGTGACCCTATCTATGGCAAATCTAAATGAAATCTCTGAAAAAACAGAAGTAGAAAAATAGGTTAGTAGATGAGAAATTTCCTGTAAGTCTAAGTTATGAAAGTCAAGTGTAACTTTAAGTAACTGAATTTTAAAAATAGACCTTCCTGTGAACATAACTTTGGTTAAAAGGATAGAAAAAATATATTTTTTACAAAGGTGGTAATGTGAGAGTAGGGGCAGTTAGGTGGCACAGTGGATAGAGTGCCAGGCCTGGAGTCAGGAAGACTCATTTTCTTGAGTTCAAATCTAGACTCTGACACTTCCTAGCTCTATGGCCCTGGGCAGGTCACTTTACCCTGTTTGCCTCAGTTTCCTCATCTGTAAAATGACCTGGAGAAGGAATGGCAAACTACTGCAATTTCTTTATCACAAAGAGTTGGACACAACTGAAAAATGACCAAATGACCACAACAACAATGGGAGATTGGACATTATGAACATAGTAGTTGAAAATGATCAGGGTTATATACCAGCAGTTTTGCTTTACCATCATCACAATGGGCATGACTTGTCAGAGAATATGAATCTATTATTTATTCCTTGGAAGGGTAGGGTTACAAAGATGCTAATGCATTTCAAAAATACAATGTCTACAAATGAAAACTTGGCATTTGGTTTCAAAAAAGATGTAATTATGGATAGATAATTGTATCCAGATGACCCTGAGATTTTAGAAATAAACAAAAAACCTCTTCTAGATCTTGGAGACTTGCATTGTCTAATGAGTTTAATGACATTTTTATCAAAGTTCGTCTGCTGAGAGAGTTGTGAGTGGGGTCATATGTTATTCCTAAGAAAAGAGAAATTAATATGTATGGATGAGGAGAACCTATCTTCATGCTAATAAACAGTCTTCAGAGTCTGAGTTGAGAGTTTTTTCAGAGAAAAACTTCTAAATATCATGGCCAAGATGAGAGTAGCCTTATGTGAAAAACAACTGGTTATTCACCAATTTCAAATAAGACTTATATGTGAAAATTTTATGTTACTACCCTTTTTTCTTTCTCTGTATAATGTTAACAGAAGTAATCTTTCATATACTATATAAATATGGTGTTATAAAGAGGGGCAGTTTTGTCACAGTGGATAAAGGGCTGGCTTTCAAGTTACGAATGCATTTGTTTAGGGCCTGCTTCTGAGGATCCTCATGTGTTATCTCGAGCAAGTTACTTACCTTTTCAGTGCTTCTAGGCAACTCTCTGAGATGGGAAAATGCTAAGCACATGCTAATCTGCATCGGAAGAGGAAGGTTAGGTCATCCTGAGTTCCTGATACCAGTGAAATCATAGCGAGCGCACATGCACACTCACAATTTCAGTTTTATGCTAATTGCATTAAGGGTGTGTGTGTGTGTGTGTGTGTGTGTGTGTGTGTGTGTGTGTGTGTGTGTGTATGCAGCTTGACAGATTTCTTTTCCTTATATTACCAGTGACCAAAAGTTCATATGGAGTTGGTGTGTACTTTTTTGCTTAGACTTAGATTTTTATAATTTGTTTCAGATTTGCATGAATTTATGTACGTAGCTATTATAATTGCAAAGTAAAGAATTTTTATGCTGATAATTCATGATAATAAGTCAGAGTAACCTGGGTGCTGTAACATGTAAAGTTCTTAATACCACTTTCATAAATGAAATATATTTGGTGCATACATTACAAACATTAACTTGCTGACCTTTTTTCTTTTTTCTAGGTGCCTTGCTATGTGTTTGATCAAGAATTAAAAAAGCATGATTTGAATCCATTGATCAATACCTCTGGTAGCTACTTGGTGGATGACTCTGATCATGATACTACCTTGTTCATCAACATTTGTAGAGACATAGGTCTGAATCTTTGTTTGTGTGTGGGGAACTACTGTTTGGGATTTTCTCAAGACTCAAGTCTTGAGTTTCTGAAGTTACTTTGTTTCTTTTCTGGTTTGAAATTGACATTTATAATTGTCTAGTAAAGCACCCTACTCTTTTTATCCTCTAAATAGGTATTTTACCCTCCCTCCCTATTCATAATCTAGTGATTTCCTGCCCTTTATTTCAGGCAGTACATATTCGGGATCAAAATGAAACCGTTGTGCTGTTAGCTTTCTGGCTAACAGTACTCCCAAGGGTCAATCTTAACCCCAAGACTAGCTCTGTTATGTGTTATTGGATATTGGGCAAGAGGGAAGGTAGAGTATAGAATGGAGATTTAGCTCTATTTTCTGGCAACCCTTTGAATCACTGGTCCACAGAAGGATCAAATTAGATCTCTTGGATGTGCACTAAGTGGAGAAGATATGATTAGGCACAGCTGTGACTCTTTTGTGTTTTAGGGGAAAACCCTGGGGGAGTTTTGCATCTGCTGACCCGTGTAGTGCTTCATTTTCCGGGGGTGGGGTGTGTGTGTGTGCGCACGCACGTGCACGCGCACGCTCTCTGAGACATTCCAGAACCTGTTGATAGAAGGCCTGGGATTTTTCCCAAATAATTGTTGTGAAAAGTCTTAGGGCAGTTCAATAGCTCTTAGAATACTAAAAGCCCAAGTTCCTAGTGTAGTTTTGTACTTGGCTCTGTCTTAATTCTTAAAGATGAGTATTATGCTCTTCCACCAAGAGCAGCATGGTCAGCCCTTCAGGCCAAGGCTTTCTGTGGCACGGGTATTAAGGAGAACAAAGATAGTGCCAACTTCTCCTGTACTAAGTCTTCAGTTAGACATGTTAGGACTGGTATATTCTGCTGGTGAGCTAGTAAAAAGACACTTTATTGTGTTAGCTGAGTACTTTTGTGTTGTGTTTTTTAAGTTGTACCTTTTAGTAAATTATAAACTGCAAAGCAGTTTTGAAAAAAATTGATATTTCTACCTCTAATTTTCCATTTCTATACTTGGTGTTTCAGGTTTTGGACCTAGGAAAGTTTTAAAAAGAGCTTTTGAAAATTATTCCACCAGTTGTATGGAATAATATTTTATCTAAACTAATCCAAGATAATTTTCCTTTTTTGGTATCAGTTTATGTCAGAAGATTTTTCATGCTCCCAGTGGCATCCTGTTCAAATGCATTTCTTTGGAGAAAAATAGTTCTTTATAGATTAGGGCTTTTTCTCAAATTCATTAAAAACTAAAATTCCTTCATAATCAGCCAATAATATCTTTTAAGTTATGGATACAAGATGACCATGGGAAAGCCAGCTAAGGTCTTTGATGTTTAAGACTGTAAGTCAGAGGTGTTAACCATAGCCATAGGTCATGTTGGGGCCAGCAACAATCCTGAGGGCTGAAGAGTATGGTCCTGATCATTCTAAAATTTAATTGGGAAATATTAATGGGTCTGTTTTTATTGGAGTTTGATGCCACTGCTGTAAATTATGACTGAATTACAGTCTACATGAGGGGAGAGAACTCCCATACCAAAGTCCCAGGTGCTTGGTTTCTTGAAATGGGCAGAGTGGTCTACCTAGAATAGTTATGGTATGAGTATGGTAAAAATAAGGAAGTCTGATGGTAACAAATATAACATGCATGAAAAAACCCTTGATTTCCAAACGTGACCTTGTTCGATGACCTGCTACTTCTGTAATGTAATTGTCACTTAATTGTTTTTCTTTTAAATAGGTGGTTCAAGTCAAGAGACACGCTTCTGTCCCTCTGGTAGTGCAGCATGCCTAGTGAAGGGGAATCAAGGTTATGATGTTGGAAGGCCAAAAGAAGGACTGAAATTAATGGACAGAGACAGGTCAGTCTGATACTATAGCAGTCTTCTCCATTGTGTTATCACCTGAGGAAGATCTAAGTTAATAATTCTGCCTCCATTTGAAACTGAAAATCATTGACATCTTGTTCACCTGGTGCTTAGGTTTCAGCACCAAAAACTGCCATTGCTTTTATGCCCATCAGTGACTGCTCTGATGGTATAAATCTCTTGAGCTACCTTTAGGCCATTGCTGCCTGCAGGAGTGGATAATTTGCTGAGGTCCTAGACATTCATATAAGTGATATAGTTGTGTGGGGCTTTTGAAGTTGAGCCTTGTGCATGCATGCCCCCCTTGAGGGAGAGAGCATTTAAAAAAGCAAACAGTACCAAGAAGTCATCTCCTTAGCATCTCTTTTTTTATCTTTGTCTTCCTTTACTCTGTAGGAAGCAAATTTTTTTTTTTTAGAATCGAGAACTTAAGTATGTTCAGTTTTTGAGCTGGTGCTTTCTTGTTTGTTGAATTTGTATCCCACTGCCACCGCCATCACCAATCATTTATTAAGCTTTTAACTGTGTGAGAGTTACAGTGGAGATACAGATGTAAAGAATGAAACAATATCTACTCTCAAGTTGGCCTAAGTTTTGTGGGGGAGACATTAAGTACATGTACATAAGTAGAAGCACATGCACAAAAAATACAAGCACATGGGAGGGAGGGAGAGTGCTAGCAGTTTGGGAGACTCAGGAAAGGCGTTATGTAGAAGGTAGTAGTTGAGCTGCATCTTGAAGGGAAGAAGGGATTCTTTGAAATGGAGGTGAGGAAAGAGTGTATTTCAGAAATGTGAGACAACCAGCACAAAGACGTGCAGACAGAAGATAGGCTATTATATATGAGAAACAGTGACAGTTTGACTGGATTGCATAGGGCAGGAAGGGGATTGATGTACAGTGAGTCTAGAAAGATATGAGGCACTTTAGAAGCTAGACAGAGGAGTTCCTATTTTATCCCTGAGTCAAGAGAGGGAGTCATTGGAGTTGATTGAAAATAGTATCAAAGAAGAGGGGGTGAACAATATCCAATGTAGAAAACATTGTAATATTTTAGTATTACTCTATTGATTATACTTTCTGCTTATATTATACCTTTGAGGGGGAGGAGATAATTTTACTCGTGATCTGATTTTTTAAAAAAGTTCCTAAATTCAGTCCAAGTCTATGGATTGAGTTTTCAGTGTGTTACAAATAGTGGACTTTGAGGACTTTCCAGAAGTCAGGGATTGGTAGTATATCAGGTATATGTTTAAAAAAAACCCCAAACCAATTTGTTACTTGCTGCTGTTTGCTGATTGTTACTGAAAACATTCCAAGAGTATTGAATAACAAAAGCTGAGGTAGAAAGACAAAAGCTTGGAAACACATTACAAAATGAGACAGGCTTCTGCCTTTTCAGTTTTGTTTATAAATTATATTCAGATCTTCAGTAGAAGGGTTCCTCAGAATATTTTCCAGATTTCCAATTAAGATATTTAACGGGTTATAAATAAATCTGTCCATTTAATGGCTTTGTGTGAAATCATGTGGGATCCTTCCTTGAAAAATCCCACTGGATAACCTAGAGCTTCTAAACCAGTGATGATTAAGCCACTGGTGCTGTCTTTTAGTTTAAAAAAAAAAGGGGGGGGCAGCTAGGTGGCGCAGTGGATAGAGCACCGGCCCTGGATTCAGGAGGACCTGAGTTCAAATCCAGCCTCAGACACATAACACTTACTAGCTGTGTGACCCTGGGCAAGTCACTTAACCCCACTGCCTAACCAAAAAAAAAAAAAGACAAAAAAAGACAGGAGACTTTCTTTGGTCTTGGCAGCCATTTAATATTAACTTTGAAGAAGAAGTGGTAGTACAGATTATTGGCTTAAAAATGGGTTGTTTGGATTTTTTTTGCTTGATTATGGGATAGAGTGTATGTACTATTAAGGTTTAAAGTTGAATAGCTGTTTCTTTTATTCTTAAGATTTATATAAAGTTTGTGGCAGTAAGGTTACTTTTTATTTTTTAAAGAGACAATTAAATGCTCGAGCCACACAGTATTCATTCAGAGTCTTCATTGGGTTTTATTTTTTGGAAATAAAGAGAATAAATTATTTTTTAATGAAAGTTATTTATAATTTTTTTCATTAAACCCTAACAAGAGTAAATGTGAGTAAATGTTCTAGACTCAAGGCAAATGATGAAATGTAAATTTGACTTTTAATCTGATAACTTCTTTTTAATTTGTGTCTTAGGCTTGTCCTTAGTTATGTGAAAGAAGGTGAAGATCAGCCCACTTTTTGTGATGGTCATACTCCAGCAGTGACTATTACATTTATTTGTCCATCGGAGAGAAGAGAAGTAAGTTATTCTGTGACATGGCTTCTTGAAAGTTGTGTAGAACTGCGGCTAAATTATAGTGCAACTTAAATAGCCTGGGACTGGTTGTGTTTCTGTATTATTGGATGTAAAGGGAAGAGCAATAAAAGATTAAGTTTTTTATACATAAATAAATATGTAAAATTGAGATGAGACCTGTATAGTTAAGTTTGGCTAACCGGTAAGCCATTGCAGAGGTGCAAGCAGCTTATTGTTTGGTTTTTATTTTTATTAACCTGAGAGACTTTTATGTAGGGAATTTTATTATGGGATTAGGAAATCTTGTTTGCTAGGCTCTGACTTGTGCTGAATCTAATAAGCTCTTCAGCAAGGTACTGTGTTTATATAAGATAACAAAATACAGTTTAATCAAGGCTGGTTTGCTGTTAACACACTCAGATTTATACATCACTTATTTTTGCCTTTTATGAAAACACTGAATACATTCCTTTTTAAAAGTAGCCCTCATCCTGAGTACTTCATTATATCCTTATCACCCCTTCATCTTCACCTCACTCTGTGCCTTCCATCCATCCATCCATCCATCCCATCCATCCATCCATCCATCCATATATAACTATATATTTGTGTTTCTATTTTTGGGTGATTATTTAATTTTCTGATACTAGTTAATGGGTTATATGTTATATATATATATATATATATATATATATATATATATATATATATATATATATATATATATATATATATATATAATATATATTATATATATATATATCTCACCCAAATTATTATAATATACTAGTTAATGCTCTGAGGTGCATGCATATGTGCATGTGTGTATATGTGACCTGTGTCTCTAATTTAAATTCTTATCTCCCCAGCAAGTATCAGAAGTAATCCACTTTATATTTTCAGTAGGTCTTCTCCAATAAAAAACCTATTTATGTAGTACAAGGTACTTTCTTATAATTTACTCATTTCCTGGAAAGTTGTGTATAAATTGAGTTGTTACTGAGTCATAACATTTTAAATGCAGTTAAGGAGATGAGTATTTAGGGAGTCCTCCTGTGAAGTGAGCTGTCATCTCCAAATTAAACTCCTTTGTATGTTTGGCCTTTTGTCTGTTGAGGTGTCAGAGAACACAGCAAATTTCTCATTTTTGCCTGTGGTGTGCTCATCAAACATGAATGGAGCTTTGTGCTTTTAAATAACTGTTCTTTTCTGTTTGGTTTTATTAGGGCACAGTTCCTAAGCTTACTGCTAAATCCAATTGCCGATATGAAATTGAATGGGTCACAGAGTATGCTTGCCACAGAGATTATTTGGAAAGTAAAACCTGCATTTTGAATAGTGAGCAACATGATATCTCTATTGACCTTACCCCTCTCACCCAGAAGAAAGGTATGTGTGCTATAGTTTCCCCCTTATGCCCTCTTATTGTTTATTAATAAGAAATTTCCTGGCAAGAAAGTTGTATAATCATCAGATATATCATGTTGAGCTTAGTTTGGGACTTAAATGAGGAATTTTGAATGAAATGAAGTAAGAAAAAAATGTTTCTGATCCCTAGCAATGTGAAGGAACTCTTATTTGGAACTAAAGATGTATTTCATTTTGGTTTTATTTTTTATTTTTAGATTATGAATCACCATACTATGCTACAGATGGAAAGGAATATTTTTATTATATGAATGTTTGTGGAGGCACTGAAGCCCCAGTTTGCAGTAGTAAAAGAGAAGCTGCTGTTTGCCAGGTGAAGAAGGAAGATCTAGGACAAGTCAAAGTGGCAGGAAAATACCAGAACCAGACCCTCCGGTGTGTTATTTGTGGCTTTTGTGCGATACTGATGCATACCTCTGCTTATTTGCTTTAAAAAAAAAAAAGCCTGAGAACCTTATTCTCTCTGCTGGAATCTCCTCCCCAATCCTGTAAAGTAGACAGAAAAGTGACCTTGAGCCAGCATTCCTTCCTGCCGCAACTAGGCTTGTGGTTTTTGTAGGACTGTTTTGATATCAAATCACCCAAATGATTACATACTATTAAGCTGAAATTCTATCTTTGTAGTATGGTTGAGTGATCTTGTGTTAAAATTGGCATTTGATATAAATGGTATCATTTCTATAGAAGTCACACAAATATCAATTACATTAGTATGTAATTTGCATTACATTAGTAATATAATTACATTGGCATGTAATTATTTCAGTAAATTCAAGTCTTGGTTTTATTTTTGAGATATCTTGGTTTTCTGTGACAACTTTAATACCTGATGACACTGTAGTGTGAAGGAAGCTTGTAAATAACTATAAGGAAAAGATAACTTCTCAAAGATAGCTTCACTGCAACTCTTGACATTTAAATGAGTGCTTTTTTTAATCTTTAAAAATTTTGTGGACCTGTGTGATTATGTGGGAATAAGTACTGACTTTTACCACTTAGTTAAGTTTCCAAATTAATTTGGCCATGTGATATTTTTAGGTTTGAAATATGTTTATAGAGTTCACAAATGCTGGTTTAGTGACCTAGATGTGAGGGTGTGGAATGTAATTATTAAAGTGTATTAGGGAAACATGGAAGCAAAATAAAGGAAATTAGGCCAATTTTTATAACTGCCATGTGCAGTTTTCCACATTTCAGTTGCCATAAGCATGAGCTACCATGATTTAGGGAAGTGTAGACTTAATGACTTGTTTCAGATTTTAGGAGTAGTAGTGTTATTAAACATTGAGCTAAGCGAATACTTTAGTGCTGCACACACTTCTCTAGGTTGATACTGATATGTTTGGGTTCTGTTCTCATGGTGTATAGTCTAGAAACAGCCTGTTTTGCTTGTCTGTGAGATCCTTTACTTAAATTTGGCCACATCTTTGTCTTTGACTTATGCCAATACCTTTGTATTGTCTGAAGTCAATAGTATCACAGCTTCCTATATTGTCCCTTTAGCAGGATTCTAGGATGTACTCACCTCTATGCCTTACTTTCTCTGAGCAACTCATATTCTAAAACTGAAGGAAGAAATGGAAAACCACTCTAGCCCTTGCTTACTCTTAACTTTTACCCTCCAACCTTATTTTCTACTATACTGCTTAAGTCTCAAGTCTTCCTTGCTAATCTATTAGAAGGTAAGACAGTCAAGTTGACAAGCATTTATTAAGCACTTACCACTTGCAAGGCACTGTACTAAGTACAGAGGATTCCAAGAAAGGTAAATATCTTAACAGTGTAGAGAATATTGATCTGGATCAATTCAGGTGAAGTTTAACAGGGGTAAACATAAAGTCTTATAATTAAGTTAAAAAAAAATCACCGTCACAAGTATAAGATGGGAAGACATGTTTAGCTACCTCTTCAGAAAAATATCTGGATGTTTTAGTGGACTGCATGCTCAATATGAGTCATTAATTTGGTAATACTGCCAATAAAACTAATGTGTAGTGTCCAGATTCAGGAGGTGATGGTCTCATTGTAGTGTGTCTTAGGGAGACCATATTTGGCATATAGTATCAATTCTAGGCAACACATTTTAATGGAAGCACATTGATAAGCTGGAGGGTGTTCAAAAGAGGGCAGCCAGCTTGATGAAGTCCTTGAACATGAAATAGAAGGATTAATTGGAGAAACAGGTGGTGTTTAATTGGGTGGAGAGAAAACATTGTGAGGGAGAGGGGATGAGAAAGATATAATAGCTATCTTTTAGTATTTGGATGGCTGTTAAGTAAAGGAAGTATTATTAGACTAGTTCTCATGGCCCTAGAGGGAAGAACCAAAAGCATGGGTGGAAGTTTCAGGGAGGCAGATTTAGGCTTGATGTAAGAGAATTTCTTAACATTTAGAGATTTCAAAATGGAATGGCTTGGCCTTGGAAGGTAGTTGATTGTTACTTAAAGGCCTTCAAGCAAAGGTTGAATGACTTATTTCTTGTGGGATGTATCATGGACTAGATTCTTGAATTAATGGTTTTACTAGATACCTTCTGAGGTCTTTTCCAGTTTTGAGAGTCTGTGATTCCTTTCCTTTCTTGTCTCCTAGAAATAATCACTGGCATCACAGTCTTTTCTAGAATATTTGGGTTTTATAGAATGTTGTTTTGGAAACTGCTGTAGTTGACTTAATTTCCATATCTGTTATGTTTTCGTCTTAGGCATTTTCTCACATACTAAACCCAGAAATTTTATTGACAAAGAGGAAAACTGTCCTAGCTCTTGTGGCAAAATATCTTTGAATTTTTTTGTCTTAAATCTAATTCTTAACCAACGCTAAAATGATTAAAAGACTTGATTTACTTGACACCTACTTCCTTTAAAAATTTCCCGGTCACTAAATAACTTCCTGTCTTATTAGAAAGCTGATTGGTTCTTTTTGTGTCAAAAATCTTAATGGAGGGAGGGAGGAGAAGGAAGGAGAGGAGAATTTTAACTGTAAATTGCATTTATGTTAATGAATTTTAGATACTCTGATGGAGACCTCACCTTAATCTATCCTGGTGGAGATGCATGCAGATCAGGCTTTCAGCGAATGACGGTCATCAACTTTGAATGCAACAAAACAGCAGGTGAAGTTATAGTTCTGTTTACTCTACTTGCTGCATTTGAATTCATGATCTTGTATTAAAAGGAGAGAGCGTAATGGAATGGTAAATTTTCCTTGGGAACTAGGCAGCCCCACGTTCACTATGGCAAGAAAACCTTTTTCTCTGTTGCCTAATGGGTAGGAGTATTTCTCTAGGCATTCTGTTCTGTGACCCTAAACTTTTATGGCTGCTGTGCCAGCAGCTTATTAGAAACTGTTGTTTTGCTTTCATTTTGTTCTGCGCTGATGTAATGGATATAAAAGTAAATCCTATCTTCATCTTCTTGAAATCTTCGTCATTCAAGGCTCATCTCAAACATTTCTTCTATAAGCCTGGTATTAACCAGGTGGTAGTGATTTTTCCCTGATCCCTCAGCATTTTCCACTTTTGTTATGTACTTATAGTCTACTTTGTGTTAATTTTATCATTTTTGTACATTTCTGTCTTGTTTCTCCTTCTTGGTGATAAATCTCAGGAGGCACTGTCTTTTCTATGTTTGTATTTTCTCCTTTTCATTTAACACCTAGCTTAGCACCTTTTACATGGAAAACATTTAACACTGACGCTTAATGTTGAATAAATGGTTATTCCATCATTGGATTTAAAAAAAAAAATTAAAAGTTACCTTTATAGGTTAACTCAGGCACTTAGGTCCTGCAATGGTTAGAGCATTGAGCTTGGAGTCAGGAAAATCTAAGTTCAAACCTGGCCTCAGATATTTATTAGCTGTGTGACTCTGGGGAAGGGAGATCTCTTTCTGCCTTGGTTTCTTCATCTGTAAAATGGGGATGATGATAGCATCTTCCTCCCAAGGTGGATGTGAAGACAGATGAGATATTTGTAAAGCATTTGCAAACCTTAGTGTGCAATATAAATTTATGCTGTCATTGTCACGATAGTCATCATCTCAAATTTAGAAATAAATGTCTAAATTCTGTGGCATAGAAATTAACTTTAAGGAAACTTTAATGGAAATGGATTGTAGGAAGATACTAGATGGTATTAAGTATCTGCAGCAGTATTTGGGCCCCAGCCAACACTCTCAGGTCCAGCATTCTTTCCACTGGGCCATGTTGCCTTACGTGTCTTATATGTTCTGTTCATAGGAGATGAGCCTCTTGGTAAACAGACATTTCTGCAGTTTCTTCTTATAGGATGCACAACAGAAATTCAAACTGAGCTTTTGTTGGTATTCATGCAGCTCCTCCTGCTTCCTATTCGCATAATTAGGGAAGGCTTTTTGAAATCACATGGACTATGGCATTTCAAAAAACCACAAATAATCCTTTCTGTAATATTCTAATACAACAGCTTACTTTTTGTGTGTGGTTCATATATGAAACTTCTATAGAAATCTGTTCTGTGTTTATATTTCAAGTAAAGAACAGGATATTTTGAATATCAGTCTTGAGGTAAGGGGCCTATGCTTTAGAAACCTATGTGAGTAACATGGATGAAGAAGTGAGGTCTGTATTTCTGGCTTTATGCGGTTAATAATAATAAAGAGGACAGGGATAATAATAATGATAATAATTTGCTGTGTAGTGAAGCCAGGCTTAGATTTATAGTAAAGCTCTAGATGAAAGTGTCCTTGGCAGAAAGGTCTAATTTATTGTTATCTTTTCAGTAAGTACCATTACTACTCTTGTATTTACCAGTAGGCATTTGTAGTTCGCATGAACCAATGCAACAAATATTAAGTGCCAATCAGTTATATAAATGTATGAATATTAATTGTCTATAATTATTTATAATATTTCCTAATGAACGTATTTCTTTTTAGGAAGTTCAATCTCTTTGTCATTTCTCTTTGGATCATTTGCCTTTATAAAGTTTTGTGCTTTAGCTATCTTTTCCATGTGGTAACTCTCTCACCTTTCTGCCTTTTCATACAACATACCCCTTTACCTGTCTGGTCTGGTCTTTTTACTATTTTCCACAATATCTCCCCCATCACCTTTGGGAACTCACATATGACCATTTTTATTTAAATGCTTTATTATTTGTTTTTGTTGCTAGACTACCTTTTCCCCCCTTTGTTTGAGTTCGTTCCCCTAATTGAAAGGTAAACTTCCTAGGCTAAAGTTATCTGTTTTCTCTCTGCCACCTTCCAATACCTTCACCCTCTTCCCAACCTTAAAAGGGAGTAATTATAGGAGATGACTTAAGGAAAAAGTGAAGGGTGTGAAAAATAAACATAGAGAAGTGCCCATCCAGTGTTTATAAGTCAGAGAAAGATTTCACAAGGCCTTTTGTATTAATACAAATGTAGTAGATAAACAGAGGGGGGGGAAATACACACACACACACACACGCACGCGTGTGTGTGTGTGTGTGTGTGTGTGTGTGTATAGTTACATTTTTTGTTACATTTGAGTTTCAAACTGTTTCCCTCTCTCCCAACCCCGAACTACAGAAGGCCAACATTTCACACATGCAAGCAGGTGCGCTCCCCCCCCCCAATCCCCACGCACCCTATATAATACATAGTTGCATATATCAGTTCTTTCTCTGGAGGTAGAGATAGCATCTTCCTTCATAGGTTCTTTGTAGTTGATTTAAACATTCATATATCTTAGAATAGCTTAGTCATTCAGTTATTCTTCTAGCAATATTGGTGTTACCTTGGTTCTGCTTGTTTCACTTTCATTATTTCATGCAAATCTTTCCATGTTTTCCTAAAGTCAACCTGCTTATCATTTCTTATGACACAGTAGTATTCCATTACATACATACACCACAACTTATTCATCTGTTCCCCAATTGATGGGCATCCCCTCGATTTCCATTTTCTTGCCAGCATAAAGAGAGCTGCTATAAATGTTCTAGAATATATAGGTCCTTTTCCATTTTTCCTGATTACTTTGGGAAACAGACCTAATTGTGGTATTACTTGGTCAGAGAAAAATGCTTTAGACTAATTTCAGGATTATAGGCCCCAAATTTCCCATTAATATTTCAAAAAAAGGAACTAGGAGTCAGACTGTTTTGTGAAGACATTGGCACAACATACAACTTGCCAACAACATACCATGCATCATCAGGAGAGAGCTTGGATGAAAGTGTTATGAGGCAAAACTGTACTGTATTCACACCTAGAATACTGTATATTATTCTAGTCTTTGAGCCTGAAGGAAATAATGAAGCCATAAACAATCTGGATAAGATAAACTGAAATAATGAAGGGGGTTGAAGGAACTATACTGGAGGTAAGCTTCTTTACAAAAGAGCAGATATGATGGAAGTTTTAAAAATCATGAATGGTGTGGATAGGGTGGCCTTGAAGGGTACAAATTGAGGCTTTCAGGAAATACGGTTTGCATTGGGCAAGTGAGGGAATTTGGAGAGTGTATATGATGAAAGTAATACCTTCAGTAATGTTAGTATTGGCAGTGGGATTGGCCTTAGTATGATGTTTGCTTGTTACCTTTTAGTCTTCTTTTAGATTTCTTCACTGAACATTTTCTGAAAATATGTAACTTGTGTTTTTCTATATTTGTGTCATGTGCATATCTGCCATTTGTCACTTGATAGAAATAGAAACTACATAATGGATTTGTGACTGGACAAGAAATACCTTAGTGTTTTCTCTCACTATTTGAGATCCCTAAGATTTTGACCATAATAATCTGTGTGTGTGTGTGTGTGTGTGTGTGTGTGTGTGTTGTATGGTTGTTACACATTTGTATATGCATGCACATGTATATGTGTGTGTGTGGTGTGCCTGTTTCCCTCTACAGGCAATGATGGAAAAGGAACTCCTGTGTTCACGGGTGAGGTTGACTGCACCTACTTTTTCACGTGGGATACAAAATATGCTTGTGTCAAAGAGAAAGAAGATCTTCTTTGTAGAGTTACAGATGGGAATAAGCGATATGATTTGTCCTCGTTGGTTCGTCACTCAGGTATGGTTCTTTTGGCATTGTGTACTCTTCCCTTCCCCTCCACTCAATTCTTTCTTTCAAGTGGCTGATTGGAGATATTTCTGACTCTTACTTCTTTTCCCATAGTTGTCTAATAATTGAATTATTTTGAATTTTAGGGATGGAAAGGGACCTTAGAGAGCAGAAAATCCAGGTTCCACATGTTGTAGGGAGGAATTAGGTCCAGAGAGGCTAAGTCATTTGCCCAAGTTCACTTAGTGCTTTGGATAATTAAATTGAGAAGAAATTGCCCTTTTAAAGTACCTTCCATAGCTTCTTGTCTTGCAGTCTTAGGTTTGTACAGATTTTGTCACTACTCAGATTTTCACCTTTATTTCATTTTTCACTATGTTCACAAAGCTCTATAAAATAGAGTAGATATTATTGCAGTTTTAAAAAAATGAATAAACAGAAGCAGACATAAAGTGAATTGTCTGAAACCCCATACATAGCTAATCATAGGTTTGGACCAGAAACCCTAGGTTTCTTTTTTTAAAGTTAGGATTTTTGAAAAAGAAATGTTGCTTTTTGAAATGAAGCCTGTTTCCTCATTCTTATGTATGTATGTATCTAAACACATGCATTGTATAACATGTCTGTGCATATATGTATTTGTATGCATTAAAATAGTATGCAAATCAGGAGTCCTTTGTGTGTATGCACATATCTTATATTTCTTATTCTACACCTGCAGTGAGGTGTGTAACCCGGTGTATTTTATTATTTTTATTGTCACATTAGATTCCTCTAATATAACTTGCTTTCTGAAGTGTGTAGTAAAGTGTTTAAACTTACTATACTTTTGTTGGCTTGAAGTGCCTCCTTTCTTCTTGTTAACTTTTATTTAGTTTTCTAACTGTTCAGAAACCTTCTGGCTACATGCCCATCAGCACATCAGTATATCTGCAGTGTGTGTACTACTGATCTTTTTATTTCAACATTATTGCAACATTGGTTGTGGTTATTTCTATGTGATTATCAGATCACTGTAGAAATAATAAACTTTTCCACACTATCACTTAATTAGCCAGATGACCTTTGACAGTTCATTTAAACTCTGTGAGTCTTAGTGTCCCTATCTGTAAAATGGGGATGATAACTGACCTCACAAGCTTGTGAAGAAAGCACTTTCTAAACCTTAAAAGTGCTTAATAAAGTGGGGACCATTTTTGTTTATGTCTCACTTGGATTTATGGCTCCTTTTGGCCCAGAAAGATTGACTTCTTGCTGGATTATTTCAGTCTTTCATGTCAGAGGTTTTGTTTTGATGAAGGGCACATTGCCTTTGCCACTCATTTATTGTTGACATCTGGAATCTTATATTGTTTTATATTTTTATGGACAGATCTTATTTAAAAATTGCCCCTTTTATTATAAGCTTAAACTTGGCCAGCAGAACATTTCAGTATACAAAGGGGAAAAAGGGATTGTAGATAAAACCACAAACCCCTGTTACATAACTTTTTTAAAAAAAGTGTATGCTAATTTTCGCACGGTACTAACAAATTGCTGTTAGTTTGTGCCTCTTTCTGAACTTCTGCATATTTTAAAAATGTTTTTGTGATGCTCTTTAAACAAAATTTTAAACCTCTTCTCACTCTCCCCTTCTTCCCCCATTCATTCTCTCTCTCTGTTGCGCGCGTGCACGCACACACACATTCCCGCACACGTGCGCATGGCGGGGCCCCCCTCCCCCCCTGCCGCCCAAATAGCTAAGCATAGTTGCTGGCCTTGTCTAAAAATGCACTACTCTTTTTACAGCCCTAACCATTAACGTCTCTACCAAGGAATGGGTCCACATTTCATACAAATCCTTTCCCCTCAACCATATTGTAAGCCCCTTGAGGGTAGGACTATGTCTCATCCCCCCCCCCGCCCCCAAGAACTTCTTGGCACTTAATAACTTTCTTGGAGATGTAAAAGGTTGAAAATTGCTACTGAAGAGTCAGGTTTAAAACTTGATGGCATATTCATGTATCACATTTCTTTCTTTTTTTTTTTTCCAGACTTGTAAAAAAAAAAAACAAGCTGAATTTTTAATTTCCATGTAGCTTCTTCCATGTAGCTTCTTCCTTGGCTTTTCAGTTTCTTACATAGTAGCTACCTTATTATGGGACTCTGAAGAACCATGTTGAGTTGCTTCCCCCTCCCCACCCCTCCCCTTTTTAAAAGCCTATTCCAGTGACATGATATATTTTAATTACATTAAAGTAGAATCATGAAAATCTCATCTGTTATTTATATGGATTAAGTTTCTAGTTTAGGTTACTGAAATTTAACTTTAATTGTTTAGATTAATTGTTGGTGGTAGTGGTGTCTTAGTAAGGCTATTGTTTTTGGCTGAAAGTAAATTTTTCTGTTTTAGAATTGGAGAAAAATTGGGAAGTTGTGGACAGTAGCCTCATAGAATCAGGAAAGAAACACATTTTCATCAATATTTGTCATAAAGTACTTCAGGAAGGGAAGGCTAAAGGCTGCCCAGAAGATGCAGCTATATGTTCTGTTGGTGAGTATAACATCCAGAGAAAACACTGTGGTAGTTTTCTTCTAGGGCTTATAAAACTTTATCACTTTAAATGGGTTTAGCTGTTTTTTCAGATACATAAATATCTTATTCATAAGCCATATGGTTGTGATCCTCAGTGAACTTTGAGTTTCAGAGAAAGCTTGTCTGAGGCTTCAGTTGAGAGTTAGAAATAAAGATTGGCTGTAGATGGAAGAAGTATTGGGCAAGGCTGTTAATATAAAGAACCACAAAGAAAACATTCTGTCCTTGAATACTGTTGTGTTATGTGATCTTAAGACAGTATTGTTGACAGTTCTGTAAATTAACTGTGCTTTTACAGTTAATCACTCAGATCTTTTCTTAAGTTGTGGTTTAGGAAAAAGTCAAATATAAGAGACTTTGTCCAGATGATCACACAACCTGGATTTGTCTGGGACAGGCACAGTTTCAAATCGTATGTCACATTGTCTGCTAAAATCAGGTAATGGCCTTTAAATTCCATTGTTTCAGCAATTAGTAACTGATTGAATTAAGGCTGAATTTTAATCAAAATATTCATAAAGCCAAAAGAAAAGATTTTCTATTTTAAATTATAGACGGAGAAAACTCTATAACTTCTCAGAGATATCTAGCCAAATTGTCTGGCATTTTATATGTTTATGGCTCTATGTGTGTGTAATATGAATGTGGTGTTCTTGGCAAAGTGGTGGGAACAACCGGCTACTACTTTTCCCACTGTAAAACCTCTGAACATTATTTCATGTATTAATACATAAAGGCCTGGGTTATTATGGCTGCAAGGAAAAATAAATTGACTACAATGAGGGGCAAAATGGTATAGTGGGTAAAGAGCCAACCTTAGGGTTGAGAAGACCTAAGAAAGACCTGCCTCTTACACATTTAATTCATCTTAAGCATTTCTAAATATTTTCTGTGTGTCAGCACAGTAATAGGTAATGAGATGCCAAGGCAAAAAGGAAACAACTCCTACCCTAGAAGAACTTATTTTCTACACATGTTGTCAGTGTGACTGTGAACAAGTCCTTTAACCTCTCAGATATTCTAAGACTGAGTTACTCATCTACATTGATGAACTGGTAGAGGGTATATATAGTATTCTGGATTATCCAGAAGTAATTGCTGATTGGTTCTTGAATGTCAAACATTTGCATCAGTGGAGGTAGTTTCCACACCAAGTAGTAGGTCTAGACCACAGAAAAAGGTAAATATGGGCATTACTTCTGGGAAGAAAACTGACCATCACTTCATGGTCAGTGAAATATCATTGTCTTTATCAATAATATTGTATATTTCCTTTTAAAGCTTATTTCTTAGCTGGGTGTAGTGGTATGGTTCTATACTCCCTGCTTCCAGGAGGCTGAGGCTGGTGGAGCTTGGTGGACCTAGGAAGTTCTGAGCTACAGTGGAACTAAAGTCAGTTGGTTGTTTGCACTCCGCCCAACCACAACATGGTGGAGCCCTTGGGAGTGGAAGGGTTGGGATGAGGGGCAACCACGAGGCTGCATAGAGAGGGGTAAGAAATGGATCAGATGAAAGCTTCCATGCAGGTTAGCATTGGGATCAGGCTTATGAGTGGTCACTGTACTTCTGTCCTGGGCAAGATAAGGAGACACTAATCTTCACCACAAAAAAGATGGTTCTTTGACAGTGAAACTTGTCACAAGTGGAATGATGTTTGCATATCACGCTAGGAAGACACAATCAGAGTTATCTTTATAATATCTTTATAGCCCCATTGTAATATATACATTGTTTGGACCCAAACTTTGATCAATAAGAACAAAAAATAAAGCAGTTATGGACAAATTTTTATTAAGTAGGACTTTGTAATGGTGCCTCATCTAACCCCAAAGATTGAAATCTTTTTACATCTTTGTAAAACTTTAAAATAAATAAATAAATAAATGAATATATGTGCATATATATATATACATATATATACTGGAGGAAATGCCAAAGTTTTTGAACATTTTATCTTTCCAGGTGAAACAAGTGAACAACTAATTGCTTTTCTTTGTTTAGTGCTGTAGTATATTTATTAATGATTGTTGGTATGTTAACTGGATTGTTGATATATCAACTGAGAATACTAATCTAGTTTCAGAGAATCTTCTGGAAAATGTTGGCTAAGTGAAAGAATTTTAGCAGGAATTGCTCATATGGTGCATATTTGTGACACTTGCATTTAGTATTGATGTTGTCAAAATCAAATAGATGTAGATGTAGATGATGTACTTCCAAATGATGTGGAGTTATAAAAGTGTTTTTTCCATATTTTTACATTGTGAAGGGGATATACCCTTCCACTTGAGCATACTATGTTACAGAATAATGCCTGTTTTTGAAATAATGTTTGTTTTAAACATATATTTTATCTCTCCCTTATTTGTATACCACCTTTGTTTCTGTGTTTCCCTTTCCTTTACCTGCAAACTATCCCTCTTAGAATCTCAGTGGGATTATCAGCTGATTCTGATGGGATTTTCATTGTCATCAATGTTATCTTTTTATTGGTAGCTTTTGTTTTCATCTATATTTCTTTTTTCTTTTTAAAGGCAGTTGGGGTTAAGTGACTTGCCCAGGGTCACACAGCTAGTAAGTGTCAAGCATTTGGTCTAAGGCCGGATTTGAACTCAGGTCCTCCTGACTTCAGGGCCGGTGCTGTATCCACTGTGCCACCTAGCTGCCCCATTTTCATCTAAATTTCTTAACATTTCACCCTCCTATAACTTCCCCCCCCCCTTTTTCCTCCCCTGAAAATCATCCATGTTAACACATAATGAAAAGGGAAAAAAGGGAAACAATTCAGGAATATTAATCGACACATCTGGCTCCAACATTATATACAGTATTCCACTCCCATGGTCCCACCATGTCTGAAAAAGGAGGGGTGGTGCCTTCTGCTGTGTCTTCTTTGGAGCCAGACGTGCTCATCATCATTTCATAGCATTCAGTTTTTATTGTTTTCTTCTTGTTCTTTGCTTTATTGTTTTCTTCTTGTTCTTTGCACTTAAGTTACAGCAGTCATTGTGTGTTTCATCCTGATTTGGCTTACTTCACTTTACATTAGTTAATGTGCCTTTACTGATTCTTTTGGCATTATATTCATTTACTACCATTTGTTTAGCTGTTCCTCATTGGATGGAAATATACAGGGTGTGCCAAAAGTCTTAGTATAGTTTTAAGCTTTTAATAGGTTAGTTTTAATTTCTTTGATACAAGTGTTTCAACCACATTAAGCTTATTATTATTATTTTTTCTGGTAAAAATACCCCTGATATTCTGAAATTTTGGGATCCTCAGAATTTTACTTTTGGTTCTTAAACAATGTTGCCATCAATATCTATTATATTTTTAAAATGTAGGGCCAGTTCTGTATTGGCACCAAAAGCTGCATATGAATGTTTTGTTTGTATGTGAATTTAAAAAAAAATTAGACCTTTTGTTTCTCAGAGAATTGTGGAAGAAAAATTTGTGGAGGGAATTGGAGAGGGACCCTAGAAGAAAGAACTAGCAGTAGTAATGCCAAAAGAAAAGAGGGTAAGTAAAACAAAACAAAAAAAAGAACAGAAAAGAAGCTCAGAAGGAGTTGATGAAGAAAGATAGCTTTGAAACTAATGTGATGAGTTAAATACATATTTTTTAAAAAGCAATCTGTAAACAGAGATTCATGGTTTCTCATACACACACACACATATGAAAATTCTTTTTTGTTCTTTGCATATGGAAATGCTTGTATTGGATTTGGAATAAAAAATAAAAATTATTTTAAAAAATGTCTGTGTTTCTTTGCGACTTGTAACTCAGCTGCTGATTTCTAGTCTGAGGCTAAGAAGTACGAGCCTAATTCTTTCTCTTGACACCCTTTCAGATATTTGAAGACAGTTGTCATGTTTCTCTTAAGTCTTATCTTCTCCATGGTCTATAAATATCTTCTGTTCCTTCAATCAGTGCTTACCCTCATGTGACAGGTTCTGTAGTCCGCTCACTATCCAGGTCACACTCCTCTGGATGTTCTAGTTTGTCATTGTCCTTTCTGAAATGTGGCACCAGTCTAGGGAAGAGTACATCAAGGATCTCCACATTGTGGACACTGCCTACATTCATTTGCTTCTTGAAACTAGGTTGTGCTAATTTAGTTTGACCTTCCAGTTTATTCAGACTTTTTTTTAGTACTTTATTCATCCAGATACTTATGAACATACAAGCACACATACACATAGAGACACTATTAAATATATGCCTTAGATCTGGGCTTATATATTTTCAATACATTTTATAGATTCTTCTATCTTCCTTGAACATCTAAAGATGCCCACAAGATAACATACAACAACTTAATTGTCCAAACTCTAGAATGAAAAAAAAAAAGTTGTGGAGGTAGAGCCACAGCCTGTGATGTTTTACTTTTTATTTTAACACACACCTCTCTCAAGGTTAGGGTTTACAACACTCTGCATAGTTTACCCTTAGGTAAAGTATGAAATCTTCTGGCACTTTGAGAACTGTGGGGAAATTAGCAAGCAGTCCCTACCCCACCCTCTACTCCTAGTGTCAAGCCCTTTTGGCAGATTTCCGAAGGATGGGTTATACTTATTTTGTGGCTCCCACCAATTATAAAGTAAACCCTGGAGCCATTTACTTTCTTGGTAAAATATTGAGGAGAAGGGAGGGAAAGATTGAAATTGGAACAGTTAAAATGAAAGGTTCAAGATCTTCTCCGGGCTCTGTTTATTCAGGTCATTTCTCACTTGTCATGGTAAAGTTGGTTGTTTCTTTTAAAAGGCTCTAAGGAGGCAGAGAAAGAAATCCCTTAGGAAATATCAGTTCAAAGATGATAGTTTCTGGCTTTTAGAATCTTCTCTTGGTTTTTCTTCCTTCATGGTGGAAAATGTACACTTCCTGGGTCAGCCCTTTTACTTTTTTTTTTAATCTCACATTGATTCTTGTTGTTTAATGTAAAAGTTTTTGGGGAGCCTCTAAATTTTTTTTTCTGAGGTATAAAACATAAATTGCATCTAATGAATGAAAAGTTGTTAGAAAACTATAATTCACAAAGTGTCTATGTCTACTTAAGTAGAATTCTATTTTTTAGACTAAGCTATTTTAAATATTTGCTACCCCAATAGAATTGTTTATAAAACTAAGCAGGTGATTTAGAGATTAAAGTTTTAAAGTTAAAATTTTTTTTCTACACCTTATTGTCATACTTTCCCCATTTTATAGTTTCACAGTTGATTGTAAATTTTTTTTATCCAAATGGAGGAGAGTGAAACAGGTAGTAAGTGTTCCATACCCATAGTCCTCCCATGAATTATAGAAACTTTAGAAAGACAAACCTTGTTAGCTTCTACGCTATTTAATATGAATTAGTGTAAAAGCCCCTCTAGTGTCCAGAACATGGAGAGATCTTCATGTTCCCTGCTTTAGTCGTTACAGGTCTAGAGTTTTGTCCAGTTCTGGGTGCCATGTGTTTTGTTTTTTTTAGAGGAGTGAGGTTGAGGGGAGGAGAAACATCCATTATTGGAGTATAGTAATTTGCTTTAAACATATCTTAAACATCTCCCTCTTTGAGGTAAGTTTCACTAATAGTAGCCAGGTGACTTACATATAGTAATTTGCTGCTAATCCCATTTCTACTTTTTTTTTTCACTTTTAAACTTGTAAAAGTAATCTATACTAATGTCTCCACTTCATCACCGACTTAATCTTGCATGTTTTGGAATGTGATCACTGCTCCCACCATTCTAAGGCTACCTAGAAGGTTACCAGTGTTTGCCTTATCCCCATTTTTCCTCATCTTCTTTGTAAGCTCCTCTTGAAAATTCTGACAAGGCTTAGAATTCCTTCTTTATACAGCTCCCATGCTCTTTGTTCTGACAGCTGCCCTTCCCTAGTTCCTTTCTTCTTCCCTGAATCTTCAAAGTTGGTATTCTGGCTGTGGTAATCCATCACTCGAGGAGTTCAACTCTTTTTTTTTTTTTTGCAAACAGTTACACAAAATACTTCTCTAATCCCTCTCTTCCAAGTTGCTGACCATTGTCTCCAAACTAATGTTTATAACACATTTAAAAGAGAGAAATTGAATGGAATACGTGGGCAGATAATCCATCTTGATGCCCAGAATATTTGCTGCAGTTTTGCCCTTGGATTGTGTACTGGCTTTGTGATACTGGGCAAGTCATTTAACCTCAGTGCCTTAAGCAGCAATCTAAAGTAAGTTGCAGAGAAGGGGTTTCTTCATTAATGGACTTCACTATATCAGGTGCAATCCATATTCCTATCACATTTATATACTTATTCGACCTGTTTTCCACTAGCATTTTCCTCTGATAACTCAAAATCAACTTGGTCAAAATGTTTCTCATCATAAAATCAAAGGTGGAATTCTTGGGTTTGAATCCTGCCTCTGACATGACTTGGGCAACTGAGCAAGTCAAGGTTAAGTTTAAGCCGTTGTATTGGAAATTATTTCAGCAGCCCCGTGGCTTAACCCGCACAAGCAGTGATGCCCACTGAAATTCTAGACTGCAAAAAGAGGCTTATATTTGAATCCAGGTTCTCTTAATAAAAAGACTAGTGCAATGCCTTTTGAAAGGGCTGCGTCTCTACTGTTGCATATATATGGGATGGAAGGGTGAGAAGAAAAAGTATACAGTGCTAAGCTCTAATGGCAAGATAAATGTAGATATAGAGATTTCCAAGGATATCTATAAAATCTATCTGAAAGGTTATCAGATATAGAATCCAATAAATATTACTGCTGTAGGTAGATATCTATATAATATATTCCCTTTTCCTTTCGCCCCCTACCTTCCCCGAAGGGGAGAAAAGCCCAGCAACCTCAGGTTACACAAGACAGAAAAAAACCGGGAGTCATTCTTAGAGCTTTCCATTCTCTAGTTAAATGGTCTGGAAGAAAGCGAAGCGGCTAGCGATGAAACAAGCATTGCGCAGTCACGTTTTGACGATCTTAAAAGTACGATCTCCGGGCACGCCCTACGCCATAGCGCCTCCTCGTGGCCAGAGCCCGGCCCTTCCTATGCGGGGATTCAGCCAGAATTTGTGAGCTCGCCCCTCCCCCTTGGAACTTTGGAGAGCTGTGGGGTCCGTGGTGATGTGGCTACAGTGAATCCCGTCCGAAGGTTGTCGTGTGCGGATGTGACGGCAGACCACGTGGTATGTCGCGGCCCGGTGGTTTTCCCGCCAGCGGCTTTGGGGATATGAATGCGGACACTAGTGTGGCCTTTCATGATCCCCCAACACAGCTTCCAAGTTAGGCGTAGCCCCAGGCGCAGAAGCTTGTCTGACACCGCGGCTGCCCGTTTCCTTGCGGTTCAGACCATGACTAGCACACGGTCATCGGCCCAGCTCGTTTTCTTGTCCTCGGCGTCTTGGCGGCGCCTTTTGATATCATCAGCGGACCACCGGATGTTACGCATTTGGCGCACGATTTAGGACCGAAATTGTGATCCAAGGCCCTTTGTGAAGCCCCTGCCCTTTCGGAAGAACTTGATGACTTTTCTGAAGCACTGTGGCCTTAAACATTTCATGTTTGAGGCGTGTTCATACGTGTTCATTTATACATACGAACGTACCGACGCACACTCATGCGTACACATGTACACACGCGGACACATACACACCCGCGGCCACTGGGAGGCGCTCTGACTCCACGCCTGAAGGCAGCCCGCTGTGAACCACCGGGAGCCCCGCCGCCCCAACTTCCTCGCTGTCCTCCAGACCGCTTAGCACAGTGCACACATGCTAGCTCATCTTAATGAGGATTCTTGGCATATATGCAACACTTTAAAGGCTGTGAATTGGGGGAAAGAAAGAATAGGAAAAAGAGCTATACCGTATTGTGTGGACATCTGGCCTAGTTATACATTCCTAGATTTAGAATCAGAAGGGAACTTGGAGCCCGGTTGGTGTCTACAGCCCCCCTCATTTTACGAATGAAGATGCGGTTCATAGATTAGAGTTGGGAGGCATACAGCTCCCTCGTTCTCAAGATGAAGAGATGTCCCTAGTTTAAGACTTGGAAGGAACGGTTAGAGACTCTGGTATATACAACCCCTAATTTTGTAGATGAAGGTAATGAGGCACAGAGAGGTTGCCTAACGTGGCCAAGATGTGACAATAACAGGCATGCTTTGAATCCTGGTCCGTTCTCCGCCCCTTCCCCCTCCCCCTCTCAAAGCACTTGTCGTATTGTCTATTTCTACTTTATGTATAACCGAAAGAGTTACAGGTTCTCTGCTTCACTCTAAAAGAACTGAGACTCCCTTAGGCACTAATAAAAGCAAACGCACACCCAGCATTGGGAAAATCCTTGGGTGGTTGTATTTGTTTGTACTGCGACACATAACGGTAAAGGAGCTACGATGTTAGCTAGTATTTATATATCACTTTTAAGTTTGCAAAGTGCTTTATCAATATTGACTCTTGTGATTCTCACTACACATAATCCCGGGAGGTGGGTGCTATTGTTTGACCCATTTCACAGCTGAGGAAACTGAGGCAGACAAAGGTGGTGGTTTTTGCCCTGTGATGCAGTAAGTTTCTGAGGTGTGGTTTGAACTTGGGTCTCCTTAACTCTAGGTCTATCACTCTGCCCAGAATATCATCTCACTGCAAAAAAAGAAAAGTTGGTTTACTGGTAAGGTTGGCATTGAATGATGAGGGAATGCCGCTAGTACGTTCTACTTACATTCATTAGAATATTTGATTAATACATTATATTAATTTTTTATTTTCCATCTTACTTTTGTTTAAGACACACTTGACCAGGTCTTCTTTCCTCTCACTTCCCAGGTGATCAAGGTTTTAAAAATCTGGGCAGGTTTGTGTCTTCTCCAGTAAAGAATAAGGAAAACATTCAGCTTTCTTACACTGATGGTGATAACTGTGGCCAAAGCAAGAAAATCACAACCATCATAACACTTATATGCAAGCCTGGTAAAAACAACATTTTAATTAGTTCTCTTGGCTTTTGTAGAACTTGTGCATTTCCTGCATCCAACCATCCATCCATCCGTCAATCCGTCTGTCTGTCTGTCTGTCTGTCTGTCTGTCTGTCTGTCTGTCTGTCTATCTATCTATCTATCTATCTATCTATCTACGTGTGTATATGTATGCATATATATATGTATGCATATATATATATATATATATATATATATATATATATATATATATATATACATTTATTTATTTATTTATTTTTTTTGGTTAGCCATTCATTGTGTAGCAGTTTGACCCTGTTTCTTCAGTGGCTTAGCTCAGGGACCTCATCCTTCATGAGGTCTTACCTGATTTCCACCCCCTCTACCCTCCACGTTGTAGTTATTTTGTATATATTTGACTTCCTTCTATGTGTCAATGTCTCTGTCTTTAGAACATCAAGTACTTGAGGGCAGGGAATGTTTGTTTCAATTTTGTTTTAACTTATCTAGCATCTAGCGTAGCAGTTAGTGCCTAGTAATCTCATAATACATGGTTATTGAGATTTGGGAGTAATGACCATAGGTAGAATATTTGGTTGGGCTCAGGCATTTTGATTATGCATATTTTCTCTTTTAATCACTGTCCTAATAGTTATTTCCTCTTGATATATTTTGAAAAAATGAAAGGTTATCATTTGAAGTGGAAAGCTCCTATAATTTTCCAAATGATTTAATAAACTAGAAATAATACAAGTTGATGAGTATGAGAGTAAAACTCTTTTTGATCATTACCCTGATTTGGAGGTGATAGGTCATTCTGGTTTATCTGGTTTATTAAGATGAAAAAAGTAAGATTTATTGACAATGGTGATTGCTCTTGCTTCTTATTGATAGGTGATCTAGAAAGTGCTCCAGTTTTGAGAAACTCGGGGGATAATGGCTGTTTATACGAATTTGAGTGGCATACAGCTGCTGCCTGCGTTTTGTCTAAGACTGAAGGAGATAACTGCAGAGTTACTGATTCACAGGCAGGTCTGTACTAAGCAGAATCCACATTATTGTGAATATTGTTTTGTAATTATCTTAATGTAAGATTCAGATAACTTTTACCAAATTAGTTTTGTGTAAGGAATATTTATAGTTTTTCCCCTTTTTGATCCATATGAGTACATTTTAGATGGAACTACACTTAGAACCGTAAAATATGATATCTAGATTTTTGGAAATCCAGTGACATTATATGATTGCGGCTTCTGGCTCTTTGTGATGTTGAAAATAATGGCTTGTCTTTAAGGTATGGAGGGGGTAATTTCTGTCAAAACCTAACTTCAGTTTTACTGTGCTTAAGTAGTACCCAAATGGGACCCAACTTCTTCCTGCCCTAGAGTCATTTCCCAATCTTCCTGGCAGTGCTTCCTTTTGTCATTCGTTCCTGGCCTGATATTTTATCCCAAGTCCTGCCAGAGAGAATCACCTCTCCACTCTGTCCAGTAAGTAGGTCCACTCTGCCTGCCAAAGGTGATGGTCTACTGTGGTGGGTCAGGCATCCTCCTGTATCCTAAACACTCACACTCCTTTTCCATCTGTCTGCAGCTGAGGTCTTCTGGGCAGTGTTGTCTTTCCCAGTTAGAGTTAGAATGTGCACTCTTTGAAAGCAATGACTGTCTTTTTCTATTTGTATCTCAAGCACTTAGCAAGCACAATTCTTGCCAAATTAAGTGCCAAAACACTTAATAAATTGTTTTCATTCACCTGCCTACTGTGTATAAAGTGCTGAATCGAGGAAAGGCAATTGAATAGTCTTTGTGATCTTTTCACATCAGGGTTAACTGAAAAAATTAACCCATTAAACACATAATTTTGTAAATTTGATGGCTACTGTGCTTTAAACTTTGCCCATAGGATTACTTCTTTTGACAAAAGTGGTAGTTGAGCATAAAAATGGAAGTACTGTAAGGAATATCTATCTTAATTATTACTTGTATCTTCACTTTTTATTACACTTAGGATTTTCTTTTGATTTGTCACCTTTGACTAAGAAAAATGGGGATTATTCTGTTGGAACAGAAAAATATAACTTTTATATAAATGTTTGTGGTGCTGTCTCTCATCAAGATATTTGTCAGCCAAATTCAGGAGCATGCCAGGTGGAAAAAAGGCAAGTAGCTTCTGTTCTGTTTAGTGTGCTTTTAAGTAATTGATGCTTCTTGAGGGTTTTACACTACAAAGTATACTTTAGAGGAGTCAGTTGTAATCTCCTGGTAAAAACTGAAGACTACCTTATGTTTAAAACCTCATTGTGGTTGTACTAGGAAAATCTGATATAATGACTAGAGTGTGACAATAACTTATTTTTTAACATTACATATAAAACTCCTTGAAGAGATACATCGTTCAGGCACTGGTCTTGGTGTGGAGATCTGAAACTGTTACTTTGTAGAGTTGTGGTGAGGAAAAAAACTTAGAAAATTGATAGTAATTGTAAGTCGTTGGTTATCAGCATTATGATTAGTGAAATTCTATTTTAGTCACCTCAGCAGCTCAGGATAGGTAGCTAATATCCATTTAATGTATATTTCCTTACCATTGGGTGGGTAGTATCTCTTTACCTAAAGAGAACAGTACCTTGAACAATTAATGTTTCTTTTGCAAAAAATGTTATTGCTTTTAATTGTTCTTTTGAGAGAGCTTTATGCTTTTCTTTTAGTCAAATGAAAGCTTGGAATCTGGGAATGAGTAGTTCTGCTCTTTCTTATTATGATGGGATGATTCAGTTGAGCTATAAAGGTGGTACACCTTACAATGATGAAAAACACACACCACGAGCAACACTTATCACTTTCCTTTGTGATAGAGACGTTGGAGTAGGTGTCCCAGAGTACCAGGTAAGAAGCACATCTTATATATGAAAAGTAAAGTAAAGCTAAAAGAAGGGGAAGGCTAAGTACTATGTTTAATGAAATTACTATGATATTTCTGAATTACAAGTGAAATGTCATGAATAGTAGGGAAAGTATGAACCACAAAGTTCTTTACACATAACCTATGATGCTAACTGCTGTATATTTTTTCCCTAAACTTATCCAGGAAGCTGTCATGATGTTTTTCTTAGAAGTAGAGCTATTAGTCTGGTTTCCTGGCCAAATTCTTGTCTGCTATGGATCTGAATTGCTTCTTTTAGTTTTGCCAGAGTACACTGGTGCTATTCATTTTCTAAATCGTTTGGTGTCGTGAATGCCTGCACTTAAGCTCCAGATGGTGTTAGTACAGTGTACAAAGTATGGAATGCTACAGAATTTTATAGCATAAAACATAAGGCTATTATGTTCTCATTCGCCTTTAGCAATGATAATATGAAGAAAATCCTGGAATCCTTGCTTAATTTGTGATAATTTAAGAATAAAATAGATTTTACTTATTTTATAAATTAGTAGGAAGCTTGGTTATATTTCTTTTTGCCCATGCCTCACTCTGAAAGGTTTTCATATCTTCCATTTGTTATCACCATCATACTTTTTTAGGAAGAAGATAATTCCACCTATAATTTTAGGTGGTATACTAGTTATGCATGTCCAGAGGAACCCCTGGAATGTATGGTGACAGATCCCAATACTCTGGAGCAATATGATTTATCCAGGTAGGGGTAGTTCATGGCTTTCCATTGCTCACTAGAATGGGTACAGGTAACTATGTCTGGTCTTTTAGAAATTGTTAATGAGTATGCACTTGAGTTGATGTTCAAAAGTAGTTAATTTTGCATGTACATGAACAAAATGGGGATTTGGATCAAAAGTTCGAGAGTTTAGAGCTAAAAGGACTTTGAAGCCATAATGCAACACCCAAATTTTTAAAGTTTAGGAAAGTGAGGCATAGTGAGGCTAAAATTGACTTTCTCAGAATAATCTAGCTAACGTCTGAGGTGAAATTTGAACCCAGACTTCCTGACTCTAAGTCCAGGGCTCTATTTTCTTACTATAAAATAGGTAGATGTGGCATATGGTAGGAGAACTATTATACTAATAGCTGTTTTGTGTCACAATGAAGATTCAGCGTTAGAATCCATTTACTATCTCTGTATAAAGTTGTTCCTTTCCTTCAGGGTACAACTTGAGTACCATTACTTCCCTTTAAAGCCTTACTTCTGCCCCCCAGCTGAAAGTGACGTCTCTCTCAACAATTTTTTCTTAGCGTTTTGCCTAGACCTCTCAATTGTTTCCAACGTATTCTCCCTTGTATAAGTAAATAATTTGTCCATGTACCTTTTTCCTTTTCACCTCTCTGTTATTGGATTGTGAGCTTTAGAACAGGGTCTAAAGTTTTAATCTTCCACCCATCAAGTATAGGAGGTACTTAATTGTTGATTATAATTGAATTAGCTTCATAGGATGGATACGCTCGATGATTTTTTTGTACATTTTCAGGTCAGTTGGCTTTTAGAGGTTCATTATGTCCTCATGAAACTTTTTGATAAAAACAGTTATTTGTAGTAATAGGGATCGGTAGCTAACGTAATAGCCTATAATTTAAGCAAATTTTATTAACTGAACAGTAGGGGACTTTTTGTCTGAAATTGGGCATATATTTTCCTGCTTATTTCAAATACTTAGGAGATGTGTGTTATATGTGATGTTTAAAGGCATGTTTTATTTTGAAATTTTAGTTTAGCAAAGTCTGAAGATAGTAGTGGCAGAAACTGGTATGCAATGGACAATTCGGGGGAACATAGCACATGGAAGAAATACTATATAAATATTTGTCGACCTCTGAATCCAATTCCAGGCTGTGATCGAAATGCTTCAGCTTGTCAGATGAAATATGAAAAGGATCATGTAAGTCTTGTCTTCTACTGGTTATTTTATTTCTCTGTGGATATGGGCCAGTATAACTTGTTCTGGTAAGCTCAGCATCACTGTAAATATGAATACAATGATGTGGTTGCAAGAGTGTAGCAACTGATCATAGGTGTGGACTTTGAATCACATCAGCTTGCTGGCTGAGGAGATTTTGTGTCATTATTCAGATTTAAAATGTTAAAAATTAAATTAAAAAATCATGCTGGTGACTTGATTTTGTAGGAATGGGGGTACTTAGTGACTCTAATTTTAACTCAAAGACTTTTGAATGATTCAGCATTATTTTCTGGAATACATGAAGAGTTATTTTAGCATCACTACCAAAAAGTCTTGCTTCTGTATTAATTAACAAATCTGAAATTTAGATAATTGCTTTTTAAGGAGGCTAATTAGTAATTTAACATTAAATAAATTCAGTTGCTAGAACAACTTCTGTATGTTTTTCCATGGTTGTTTGAATATGCTAATTCTTGCATGAAAGATACATTTGTGCTCCTGTAAAAAGATACATTTGTGCTCCTGTAAAAAGTTTTTTATAGGGCTTTGGCGATTTACTTTTCTTGGCTTTCTTTATGTGGTAGCTTGAAGGTTGTTTAAAGAAGGAGGAATGTCCAGCAGGGTGTTAGAGTGAAAGGCTGATTCTAAGCCTAGCTTCTGTCACCACTTCAAAGTGAAAAAGATACAAAAGAAAATGATGAAAATGGCAAGAGAAAGAAGGGAGTCACTTTTACATAATATAAATCCTACTGGAAAAAAAAAACCCAAAACAGGCATCTGATCAATGCACTGCCCCATGGGCTATTTGTGTTGCTGTACTTGGACTTGTAGCTTTGTGTGTTTTTTTGTGGCAGAATTTCTCCTTTCTTGTTGGAATTTCCCCTTGTCCCTTTACTCATCCCTGCCCAATAATAAGGGGAGAGAGCATTGAACTTGGCCAGTCTCAGTGTCTTGGGTGGGAGAACTGTGAGAGGGGTCAGTAGTATAGAGCCTTTTAGATAGTTATATAGTATAGAAGAGAAAGGGCTTCTATGAGCACAAAGGAAAGATGAGCTTAGTTGCAGCAGCAGTTTTTCCCTTGGGTGTCTTTCTTCTACAGTGATCCAGCTGATCCTTTCTCCCTCTATGGGCCTTCCCCACCTTAATAAGAAGAGGTCATTGAAACCAACCAGACATCATAGTGGACCAGACAGAATAAAGCAATCCAGAGAAGAGCACCAAATACTACAGAATGAGAAATAGTGTTTCAAATCTTGGATAAAAGGGAAATGAGGCATTAATTTCTGCAGATTCTTTTTACCCCTCTCCTCCCCCTACCACCATGATAATGGAGCTACAAATAGAAATTCTAGAATGATTTAGAGGAGAAATAAAAGAATTAGAAGTAAAGAAGAATAAGGCATAAAAGAGGAAAATAAGGATGGAAATTAGGATGGAAATCAGAATACTCAAGAAATAAAAGAAAAAATGAAAATCAATAATTAGAATTTAAGGCAGGAAAATTTCTTCAAAACAGAGGCTCTGAAAAGGGATATGGCAGATTTTGAATTCAGAAATATAATATGTTTAAGAAATGAAGTCATTATCAGAGAAACTCACTGTAAAAACATTTTTTCACAGCAGTGATTGCCATTGTATGTATTTCCTTCCATTCTGTTTCACCCCTATTTATCCTACTCTCTCTCTGTCCATTCTGAAAACTGTTTTGCTTCTGACTTTTGCCTCCCCCAAACTGCCTTCCCTCCTATCATCTCTCCCCTCAACACCCACATTCTCTTATCCTCTTCCCTTCCTACTTTCCTCTATGGCAAGATAGATTTCTATACCCAATTGATGTGGAATTATTCCCTCTTTGAACTTATTCTGATGAAAGTAAGGTTCATGTCTCCTCTCCCCATTTCCCCCATTTCCCCCTTTACTATAAATTCTCTTTCAGGCCTATTTTATGCCAGATAATTTATCACATTCTACTTCTCCCTTTCCCCTTTTCCCAGTGCATTCTTCTTTCACATTCCTCAATTTTATTTTTTTAGGTAATTATACCATCACATTCAACTCACAGTCTGCTTTCTGTCTATGTATACCCCTAACTGCCCCAATAATGAGAAAGTTTTTAGAAGTTATAAATATCATTTTCCCATGTAGGAATATAAACAGTTTGACCTTATTGAATCTCTTATGGATTTCTCTTTCTTGTGTAGCTTTTTATGCTTCTTTTGCATCTTGTATTTGAAAGTCAAATTTTCTATTCAGCTCTGGTCTTTTCATCAGGAATGCTTGAAATCTCATCTATTCCATTCAATATCTGTTTTTTTCTCCCTGATAGATTATACTGCATTTTGCTGAGTAGGTGATTCTTGGTTGTAATCCTAGCTCTTTTGCCCTCTGGAATATCATATTCTAAGTCCTCTGATCCTTTAATATAGAAGCTACTAAATCTTGTGTTATTCTGACTGTGACTCCATGATATTTGAATTGCTTTTTTTTGAATGTTGACTTTTTTTCATGATTTTTTTGCATTGCTTTTATTTCTCTTCCCCCTTTTCCCTCTACCTCTCTTACTCCTTTTTGAGCTCTTCCATGGCTGAGACAAATTCATATTTTTCTTTGAGGCTTTGGATACATGAATTTTGGCTTTGTTGTCTTCTTCTGTGCGTGTATGTTTTATAGTAATTTTCTATGGTCAGATTTTTTTTCCTTTTGTTTGCTCATTTCCAGTCTATTTCTTAACTTGTAACTCTGTGCTAAACCGGGACTCTGCTTCCCAGATGGAGGGGCACTGTCCCAAGCTCCAGGCTTTTTATGTAGCTGTTTTCAGAGGTAATTCTGGGGACCTGTAAATTTTTAATTCTTCCGTGGTGGTATGATCTAGGATTCTAGGAAGAGGTGTATTTACTACTCTTCTGTGCTGTGCACTGGTTTGTGAGTGACCACAAGCACTCTTTTCTGCCCTGGAACTGTGACCAGGGTCTCCACTCCTCTGCAGCCACAAGCTCTGCTGTGCTAGTGCTCTTCCTCACACTGGAACCAAGATCTAGGACTGCCTAGATCCAAGCATAGGCAATGAAACAGAGTCCTGCCCCTGGTGCCAGCAAAGGGACCCCTGTAAATCTTTTGACTCGATGTCCAATCTCCTTATCTGTGGGCTGAAAGGTCTGGAAAATAGCACTGCTGCCACTGACTCAGTCACTCCCAAGGCCTGCTCTCAGTTTTCTGGGGCCTGGGCTGCACTGGCGCAGCCTGTGCTGGACTGCACTTGTCTCCCACCCTGGTGCAGCAGACCTTTCCTGTCGACTTTCTAAGTTGTCTTTGGCTGGGAAATTGTTTCACTGTATCTTTTTGTGGGTTCTGCCACTCTAGAATTTGTTTAGAGTAATTATTTAGAGGTATTTGGAGGGATGTAGGGGAGAGCTCAGGAGAGGCCCTGCTTTTACTCAGCCGTCTTGGTTCCATTCTAGAGTGTTACTTCGGTGTTTCCTTTTTATGGAAAAAAAAACCCTAAAACAAAAAACTACTTAAAGCTTTTTGTTTTCTTCCTAGGATTCATTTTCTGAAACAGTGGCAATCAGCAACTTAGGTGTTGCAAAAACAGGTCCTGTAATTGATGGCCGTGGTAGCCTCATTTTAGAGTATGTGAATGGCTCCTCATGTGTTAATAGTGAAGGAAAGACTACTCCTTATTCCACAAGAATCCATCTTATCTGTTCTAGAGGAAGTCTGGTAAGGTGTAATGAATTTTAATGATTTTTTATTAGCAGTTTAAAAAGCAGAACTAGAATACTATGTGGTCACTGAAATGCTATTTTGATTACTTACTACAACTCCATCATTTTACAAATAAGGAAATTGGGGCCCTGAGAGTTGGATTTTCTTTTCCTGGGTTACACAGGTATTGACTTCACTGGGGGGACTGGTAAGTAGAGAAAGTAGGGTAATTCTCTTTAAAGGTGTCTAAAAGCAGTCTGTGCATTAAGTATCTGCTGTGTGCTAGGCCCTGGGAATACAGAGACAACAATAAAATCACCCCTGCCCTCAAAGAGCCTAATTTCTTTTGGAGGAAATGACATTTACATAGGTATTATACTGAATAAAGACAAGGTAAATATTTTTTGTGGGGAGGGCACTAGCTGCCAGAGGAGAGTTTAGGAAAGGTTTTATGTGGAAGATGACCTTGGAGCAGGATTTTGGGCAAAATAAGGGATTATAAGAGATGGAAGTAAGAAGGGAGTGTATTCTAAGCTTCCTGGACATGCAGAGCAATGGTATGAAGATGGGAGACAGAATGTCATTTGTAAGGTACAGTAGATAGGTCACTTTGGCAGGAGCATAGGTTAGATTGTCCAGTTTGAAATGTCTAATAGGCAGTTGGTGAAATGAATCTGAGGCACAGGAACTTGATTTTTAAATATCTATGTATGTGTGTACGTGTGTGTGTGTGTGTGTGTGTGTAAATCTGCATATATATACACATACATGTATATGTGTACATGCATATATGCCCATTTATCTGGGAATCCCTAGCATAGAGATGGCAGTTGAATTGTGGGAGTTGATGAGGTCACCAAGTGAGAGAATATATTGAAAGTAAATGGCCCAGCATCTTTGGAACATAGTCACAACCAGTAGATTGGTATGATAAAGATGTTGAACCACGAAAATTGACTTATAAGTAGCAATCAAACAGGGAAATAAAATATCATGAAAACATAGAAGAGAATATCTAGGAAGAAAAGACAGTCAACTGTATCAGATACTGTGATGAGGTTGTGATGCAAATTATGAAAGATTGGGTTACAATGAGGGGTGGAAGTGGAGACAGTGGTTTTAGATAGCCCTTTCTAAATGTAGGAGAGGTGAGATATAGGATGATAGTTTGAAGGGATTGTACAGTGTCTTGAGAATTTTTTAGAATGAAGATTTGGGTGTTTTTTCAGGCATCATGGAAGGAACCAGTAGATAGGAAAAGATTGAAGGTTTGGGGAACCAGGATGTGATTATGGGGGGAATCTGATGAATAGGGTGTGAACACGGGAAATGTAGATGGGTTGACCTGTGGGAGAAAAAGGGTCACCTCTTCAAAGACTGGAATAAAAGGAAAGAGAATAAGGGATGGCACTAATGGGGAGGGAGGTTGAAATGTAGAAAAGGTGAGAAGAGAGAACTGAGTGGATGATAGGAGCTCGCTGAGAGGAAAAACTAACTTATGAAGCTTAAATTTCAAAATTACTTCTATAAGAGCATCATTAATTTTCTGATGTTCTATAGAAGCCTCAAATGTGTGTCATATGTGTAGCATATTAATATAGGACTCTCAATAACAGTTCTCATGCAATTGTAAAAAAACATTCAATATCTTCATTGTGGCTGCTGTGTGTACTGATCCTTAAAGCTTGGCTTCAGAATGGTAAAGACATAGAATATCAGAGCTTGCAAGAATTTTACAGTTCTTTTAGTCCAACCCTTTCATTTTACATATAAAGAAAGTCTTGGTTGATTTTTCTGAGATTCCACAATCTCTGTGGGCAAGTCACCCATAGGCTTCAATTTCTTCATTTGTAAAATGATAGAAGCTATAAAACCCAAGAAATTTGGTACATTGTCTGAGATTTTTTTTCCTTGTCCTTAAGAACTCTTTCATGCCCAAGGATAAAGTATTTTGCATCATAATTAGTCCAGAAATGGTTTCCATTAATTAAATATTTAGACAAGTTAAAATCTGGGATATCTGATAAATCAGTAATTTTTGTTTTCATAAAGAAATAAGAATAAAAATCTATGTTTGAGCTCTGTGTCAAAAGTTATTTCAAAATAAAAATTCAGTTGTGCTTCAACAGTATAATTAACAGTGAGTTATACTAAAATGCTCACTGGGCTTAGTATAGTATAGGAAGAGTGTATTTTTGATTTTAGGCCAAGTAGCCTTTTCCTGAATTTTATTTCCTTGATGCTCAGTTGTGTGTATTATGTAAGGGAAAGGTAAAACCCATTTACTAGATTGGCATGTGGCTGTGCTTTTTATTATAGATAACAACAGGAAAGAGCTACACTGACAGGGCCCTTTTACTTTATTTGCCCTGAGTGTGATACGTCTCCCATTTGTTTTCTGCTTTCAGTTGTGATCCCATAGGAGTGTTATATAGCTACTTGCTCCTGCTCTTTCTGACCACTTCCCGTACTGTTGACTCTCATACAGGTAGTACCAAACAGAAATGACAGTCTTTAATAGAGGAAATAAACGCTTGATTTGGAGTCAGAATACCTTGGTTTCAATCTTTTAAACAACAAGCCCTGTTGCTTGCTGTTGGGGCAAGTGTCTTGACTTCCATTTCTGTTAGGTTCTTGAGCTGTAGAATGATAGAGTTGGACTACATGAGGTCTTAATTTCCCTTTTACTTCTAAATCTTGTATTTATTTTCGATTAATTTGGGTATGTACATGTTTTTTCCCCTCATAGAAGGTAAGGTCCATGTGAGTGTGGATTTTTCCCTTTATTTTTAATCTGTATTCCCATCCCTGGTACATAGAAGGTGTTTAGTCAGTGCTTGTCGATTAATGCGTCTTGAAATCTCTTCTTTACTTCTTTCTTGTCACATTACAAAAGTACAAGCAGGTAAGTATCATGTACAAGTTGAGCAGTATCCTGCTCTGCAGGAAGGAAGCAAATGTAAGAATCTGTCGTCTCACTTAACTTTCCCTCATTTCTTCGAGTGGCTTTTGCAGTTATCTATAATGTGAAAGGTTAATTCTGAGAAATAATTTTGGTGTTCCTCAGAGCTGTTCTTTTTAAGGTTTCATATAACACCTTACATTTCAGTTGAATTCAGTAAGCATTTACTATGTGTTGACTATGTGCAAGGCTCTGCTATGTGCAGTGGTGACGGAGGAAAAAACCATCAACAGTTCCTTCCATCTAGGCAGTTGCATTCTATATTGATGTAGCACCTTGTAGTTTTGAAGCATATATGATTTCATTTGAGTCTTACATTAATCCTAAGGAGAAGGGTGGGGATGGCATTTTCCCATTTTTGTAGGTGGGAACAGTAGAATTCAGACAAGGAAAGGGACTTTTCCAGTGCCATGTAGTTCATAGTCAAAGGGATTGAGAACTAGGGCTGTTCAGTATCCTTTCTGTCACACTGCAATCTTTGTTTCCTGCTCTCTTGGATTTGATTTCTCAGAACACCCACCCGGTGTTTTCTATCATTCGGGAATGCACTGCCACTTTCCTATGGAATACAGAAGCTGCCTGTCCAATCAAAACAACTGATGAAAATCAGGTGAGTGTTTTCTCTACCTTAAATCAGAGAACATGGAAAGGAAAGAAGTAGTTGCAACATTTGTGATAAAGCTAGTTTAAAAAAATAAGGAAGTTGTTGTTTTTAATTCTGTCTGAAGCAATATCTTATAGAAATTGGTGAAAGGTTTGTAAACATTATAAACAGATTATGTCAATCAGGTACCCTGCCCCCAAGAATGGATTAGTAGGTGATAATAAGAATTCTTGTTGAGTATATTGAGTACGTATTGAATATATGCTGATGAAAGATAAACTTAGGGTTTTAAGCCCTATTTTGCTCTTTCATCTAAAAGCCTGTATTTTTAAACATATATGTTGAGACAGAGCTAGAGAAGAAAAAAGGACGGAAGATCGTTCTGGAAGCACACAGAACAGGGGTGGGAAGACTTGTGGCTGGAAAATTCAGTTGAGTTTATAAGCAGGCAGATATATGTCTTTTTAAGTAGCAGAAAGCAGTCTTAAGATTGTTATCTTCTTTTGGAGAAGTTAATAAATTCATTTCTTATTTTTACAAATTCACCCTGAATTTTAATTTAGTATTCATAGGCTATTAGGACTATTTTAGGAGCAGTCAAGAATTAGGAAATAAAAGATACTCTGTATCCTGGATTCTGTTTTGTAAAATTGTTCTGAAGAAGTAGTCCAAGACTTAACAAAGGGGTGTATTGTACCACAAAACTATAGTTTGAAAATCAGTAATTATGATTTGGCATAAAAGTCGGACAGAAAACTTCTGTCTTGAATTTAGGAAAACTATACTTGCCATTCAGATTCCCTGCCCAACACTGAGTAGCAACATATCAAAATTACAGGAGGTATTCTTGGACCCAGAACCCAAGTATTGAAACCATCAAATTTAATTCATAGAGGAATCCAGTTTTGTGATAGTATTTTTTAAAGTACTGTGTCTGTTCTTTTTCTTGTTCTTTTGTGGCCTGATCTCCAGAATATCTTCCATGCATTAAAATTGGAATGCCTATCCCATGTTTAACTTTGTATGATATGCTACAGTGTCTAAACTTTTGAAATATCCACGTTCCTGTGAGTAGGCAGTATGCTATGGTCTGTCCTTGTCTACCACAACCATTGGAGATTGTTTGCTTTTAGCTAGACAAAGAATGGGTGAAGCTCTTTAAGTAGAATCACAAATGACAGTCCTAGAGTTGTTCATATTTTTTCTATCTGGCCTACTATATAAATATAGCCCAGCCTAAATCCAGCACTTCATTGCTCACATCTCAGAGGTTTATTTTCCAGGAGCTTGGCTGTGTGTCAAGTGAACTGGAAGCTTGAAGGGGAAAATCTGAATCCTTTGTTGGCTAGTTATGATGGAGTACAATTTACACGGCTCCTGCTCAGTTACTGATTTCTGACAGGGCCTGCACATGGTGAGCAAAGTTGGATGAGTTATAACCCTGGAGAACAAGAGGCCAAAGGACATAGTTAGCTTCATCTTTTGGAATGTAATATTTTTTGTGTAATGGGAAGATAGGTCAAATTATAGAAGGGTCGAGGAAGAGATATTAGACATGAGATTTATTAAAATTTATTAGAAAAATAATTTATGCCTAATTTTTTGTTAAAGAACCAACTTTCTTTCCCTAATACATCCCATGTACTTTTCTATAGGCATTTGGTAACAAACTCTTAAGGCACGTAAATATGCTAACCCTGTAGTTTATTGTCAAGAGAAATCTACAAGGTCATCTGCGTATACTAAGGATACGTTACTGCAAAGGGGTCAATAAGAATATTCCTTGGATGTCATTGAAAAGTCAGGAAGTAGATTCCATGGCTCTTAAAACTTCACCGATGTATTTTGTACTCTATTGTAATTTTAAAGTTAACTTCCTTCCTGCCACCTGTTGACTCATCTCACTACTGATTGTGAGGAAACAAACAGCTTTATAACATGTTGGTGACTAATTCTTTACAAAGGACTTTGTACTTTGTTTCTATGGAATTTTTGTATGCATGTGTGCATCTTTGTTTCTTTTTTTAGGCCTGCTCTATAAAGGATCCAAACAGTGGATTTGTGTTTAATTTTGACCCCCTAACTAACCCAAGTGGATATAAAGTCTCTGGTGTTGGAAAGTTTTTTATGGTAAGAGTTATGCCAAAGTTTCATTTAATTATGAATTATTGAATTGTTTTAAAATGATGATAGCTAGCATTTATGTAATTCTTTACATCTGCAAAGCACTTTACAAATATTATCTTATTTGATGGCTCACAACAATCCTGAGAGGTAGATGCTATTATTATGCCCATTTTATAGATGAGAAAACTGAGGCAACCAGCAATTAAGTGACTTGCTTAGGTCACATAGTAAATGTCTAAGGCCAGATTTGAACTTAGGTCTTGTCCTCCCTCCCCCCCACTTTTAAAAACTTCTAAAATTTATTTCATTAAATATTTCTCAATTACATGTAAACATATTTAACATTCATTTTTTAAAATTTTGAGTTCCAAATTTTCTCTCTCCCTGTGCCCCTTCCTCATCCCTTGAGAAAGCATATGAGGTCGTGCAAAACATATTTCCATATTAGTCATATTGCTAAAGAAAGCATTCACATGCAAAACCAAGAAAAATAAAGTGAAAAAGTATACTTCAATTAATATTCATAGTTCATCAATTCTCTCTCTGGAGTGGATAGCATTTTTCATCATGCGTCCTTTGGAACCGTGTTGGGTCGTTGTCTTGATCAGAATGGCTAAATCTTTCACGCTTGATCATTCTTAGAATATTGTTGTCACTGTGTATAATCTTCTCTTGGTTTTCCTCATTTCACTTTGCATCATTTCATATAAGTCTTCCTAGGTTTTTCTGAAAGCATTCTGCTTATCATTTCTTATACCACAGTAGTATTCCATCAAAATCATATACCACAACTCGTTCAATTGTACCCCAATTGCTGAGCATTCCATCCATTTCCAGTTTTTTTGCCACCACAAAAAAGTTACTGTAACTATTTTTGTACAAATAGGTCCTTTTCCCTTTTCCTTCATCTCTTTGGGATGCAGATCTAGTAGTGATATTTCTGGGCCAAAGGTTAGGCACAGTTTTCTAACCCTTTGGGTGTGAACTTGGGTCTTCTTGACTCCAGGTCCAGTGCTCTATACACTTTGTCACACAGTTTCCTACAAGCAGCTGCTATTAGAGCCCCTTCCACACTGGCAAACCTTGCCTATTAGAATGATGACTTTTTATCTGCAAGCAGAAAGGCGAATCTAGAGCAGAAAAAAAAATATGTAATTGGCATTTTGGCTATGTTTTTATTAGGAAAGTAATGTTCAGCTTTGGAAATAGTCATTTCAATTGGGCTACTGACTCACTTGAGCTCAGGAATTCTGAGCCTTAGTAGACTAAGCCATTCCAGTGTTCAAACTAAGCCTGGCATGAATATAGTGAGCCCTTGGAGCAGTGGACAGCCAGGCTGACTAAGGAGGAGCGAACCAGCCTGGGGCAGAATGGAAGAGGTCAAGGCTGCTGTGCTAATCAATAGTGGGAGTGGGCCTAATAGTAGCCATTTCACTTCAAGTCTGGCCAAGATGGGAAGACCTAGTCTTGTACTCTACATCTTTCATTTGCAGTTTATCTTTCTTTTAGCACATTCCTGTATGATCCAGTGTTCTGTTACTGAGAAACTGTAGAGTCCAAAGGAAACAGTGGTTATGTTACTCAATTAAGGAGGAAAAGGAAACACCCTGGTTGATTATGTGCCATAGAACCTCCTGAATATACTTCCCAAATGTACGTGCATGGCATTATAACTGGAGAAAAGGATCAAGGTTTATTTATATTTCCATTGGAAACTGGCATTTAATTAAAAGGAGAAAAATAACCACCCACATTTGGGCTTCTTCGAGCTCTACATTTTTAATACTACTAGCAAAACCAGATGTCCAGAAGAGAGGTTTCTGTTTGAAAATAAGTAAACTTTTCTTATTCGATAAGATGGTTTAATAAAAGCCTGAAGCAAAAATAAGAACGCCATTGCCATACCAAGCGAGAATAGGGGAGAGCTTACAACAAGCTTGTGAAATACTGGCAGCTTAAAGGGTAGCCCTTCTGGGGCTTCCAGCTAAAGCTGGGCCTGCCACCCTCCCTCCAGCAGGGAATGTAGGCGTTAACATGGAAGACTTTTCAAGGCATTAGGGCTGTGTACAGGACAGTTTAACAAACAGAGAAATTCTGAGATGCAAGGTAGCTCTTATATACCTTCGTTGTCAATAAATAGAGGAGGGGCTATATAGATACTAATGCTAGAAAACACATTGAGTATTTAATTTAATTAAGGAACAGGACAAATGGAGGTTTTTAGAATGTAATAGAGAATAGAGTACCTGTGACTTCGTAGACTAGTTCTTAACCTTTTTTGTGTCATGGACTACTAGGGCAGTCAGGCAACGCCTGCTTATCTGGACTCCATCTCAGAATAATATTTTTTAAAATGCATAAAACAGTACATAGGATTACAAAGGAAAATGATTACATTGAAATACAGTTATCAAAATATTTAAAAAAAATTTACAGACCCCTTGAAATCTATCCATGAACCCCAGGTTAAAAACCTTTGTCTTAGATCAGTTTTCCTGAAGGATAGTAATTTGTTAAGGAAAGGAAAAAACTTTAATAAATGTATTTTTTTCCCCTTTCTTTTGGTTGAACTAACAATTTTATTTATTTTTTGAAATAAAATGTATTGGTATCATTTGTCTTTACAACCTATAAATTTCCTCCTGTATCTCTTCTCTTTAACCCTTGCACGAAGGTCATCTCCTATGACAAGTAAGAATTTTTAAAGAAAAAAAAAACAGCCAGAAGAGAAAAAAAAATCAAAAAACTGATCAATGTAGTGGAAAAAAAAAACCCTGAAATTATATATGATGTTTGACACCTGTGAATCTCCTACTTCTACAAAGGTGTGAGGCGAGGAAACTTTTCATATCATAAAATTTTAAATCACTGTTGAATAGGGAGGCACAAGGAACTCTTTTATACAAGTCGAAGGAAGTGATTATGATTTTGTTTGATGTTTAGTTCCTGTTGATCTTTTCTTAAGAGATACGAGTCAAATCAGCAAACACTGAAGTGCTTACTATATGTCAGGCACTATTCTAAACTCTGGAAGTATAAACATAAATAGCAAGATAGACCCCGACCTTAAGGAGCTTACGTTCTAATAGAAGAAGACAACAAATAAAAGAGAGCTGGAAAAGTAGAAGATGGATGGGGGGATGGGAGCAGAAAGAGATGAAGGTACCTAGCATTGTAGTGAAAGTCAGGGAGTGTCGAGAGTGCAACTTGGAGAGGAATGAAGACATGACTGCCCTCCTCCTCTGTTAAATGGAAATTCTGGAAGGAACCCTCTTCTCCCACCTCCAATCAAAGAAAGAAGCTACAGGGGCAGAGAATACCTCCACTGTGTGAAGCACAGGGCTGGAGTGAGCTTCCAGTGGGAAGAGGTTTCTGGAGTATGGTAAGCAAAATCCAGGGGAGTCAGAACATTGCCTAGAGAGGATTGAAGGCATGCTGATATGGCCTTCCTCCTTAAAATGGTGGTTCTGGGAGGAACCAGCCAATGAAAGGGGAACCAGCCACAGGGGCTGAGGATACTTCCAATATATAAAATCAAGAATGGAATGAGCTTCCAGGGTGAAGTGTTTTCTAGGGCACTATAGAATTAGGAATGCAGCCACATATATTTGCTATTGTCATGGAAAATGTCCAATGCAGAGTCCAAATGGAAGAGGGATTTCCTAAGATGATGAGTTCCTTAAAATGCTCCTATTGGTGGGGGGGGGGGGTGGGGTGGAGCCAAGATGGGAGAGTAAAGGCAAGAACTTGCCTGAGCTCTCCCCTACACCCCTCCAAATGCCTTAAAAAATGACTCTAAGCAAATGCTAGAGTAGTAGAACCCACAAAAAGACAGAGTGAAACAAATTTGCAGTCCAAGACAACCTGGAAGATTGACAAGAAAGGTCTATTGCACCAGTCTGAGAGAGGAGTGCAGGCTGTGCCAGTGCAGACTGAGCCCCGGCAAACCCAGAGCAGGCCTCAGGGGACTGAATCACTGGCAGCAGTGGTGGTTTCCAGACTTCTCAGCTCACAAATGCCAAAGACAACTTAGAAGGTCAGTAGGAAAGGTCTTTCAGACCTGAATGAGAGAGGAGTGCAGTCCAGTGCAAGTGGCACCAGCACAGACTGGCCCCAGCAGGCCAGGAGCAGGCCTAGGGAGTGACTGAATCTGCAGAGGCAGCAGCTGCTTCCGGGGTTCCCAGCCCACAGACGGTAAGGGGATCCAACAGCTGGTCAGAAGAAAATCACAGGTGTCTTTTTTCTAGCACTGAGGCAGGACTCAGTTGATTTGCCCATACTTGGATCTGGGTGGTAGTCATGGGGTGAGGAGGGGCACTAATGGCAGGAGTGGCAGAAAAGAGTGCTTGTGGTCACTCACAGACCAGAGCACGGGAAAGGAGTAAACACCTCTCTTTAGATTATACTCCCTTGGAAGAACTGAAAACTTACAGGTCCCTAGAAGTATCTCTGAAAATAGCTGCACAAAGCCCCTGAAGCTTGGGACAGTTCACTTCCCACACTGGCAGCAGAGCCCTACCTTAACAAAGAATTGAAAAGTCAAGTAATAGGCTGGAAAAATGAGCAAACAATGGAAAAGGACTCTGGCTATAGAGAAACTTACTTTAGTGACAAGGAAGATCAAAACATACTCAGAAGACAACAACAAAGTCAAAGCTCCTACATCCAAAGCCTGCAAGAAAGATATGAATTGGTCTCAGGACATGGAAGAGCTCAAAAAGGATTTAAAAAATCAAATAAGAAAAGTTGAGGAAAACTTGGGAAGAGAAATGAGGGTGGTACAAGAAAATCTTGAAAAATGAGTCAACAGCTTGGTTAAAGAAGACCCAAAAAATAACACCTTAAAAAATAGACTAGACCAAATGGCAAAAGAAGTCCAAAAAGCCAATGAGAATGCCTTAAAAAGCAGAATTGGCCAAATGGAAAAGGAGGTCCCAAAAGCTCACTGAAGAAAATAATTCCTTAAAAATTAGAATGGAGCAGATGGAAGCTAATAAATCTATGAGAAATCAAGAAATTATGAAACAAAATCAGAAGAATGAAAAAAAAATAGAAGACAATGTGAAATATCTTGTTGGAAAAACGACTAAGCTGAAAAATAGATACAGGAGAGATAATTTAAAAATTATTGAATTTCCTGAAAGCTATGATCCAAAAAAGAGCATCTTTCAAAAAATTATTAAGGAAAACTGCCCTGATATTCTAGAAACAGAGGATAAAATAGAAGTTGAAAGAATCCATTCTTCCTAAAAGAGATCCCAAAAGGAAAACTCCCAGAAAGACTATAGCCAAATTCCAGAGCTCCCAGATCAAGGAGAAAATAGTACAAGCAGCCAGAAAGAAACAATTCAAGTATTGTGGAACCACAATCAGGATAGCACAATATTTAGCAGCTTCTATATTAAAGGTTCAGAGAACTTGGAATATGATATTCTGGAGGTCAGAGGAGCTAGGATTAAAACCAAGAATCACCTACCCAGCAAAACTGAGTTTAATCCATGAGGGGAAAAAGTTGATATTCAATGAGTTAGAGGAAGTTAGTGCATTCTTGAGAAAATACCAGAGCTAAATAGAAAATTTGACTTTTACATAGAAGACTCAAGGGAAACACGAAAAGGTAAATAGGAAAGAGAAGTCATAAGAGACTTACTAAAGTTAAATTGTTTACATTCCTACACGGAAAGAGATTTGTAATTCATAAGACCTTTCTTATTAGGGTAGCTAGGAGGAGTATATATAGAGGGCACAGGAATGAGTTGAATATGAAGGGATGATATCTAAAAAATAAAATTAAGGGGTGAGAGAGGAATGTACTGGGAGAAAGAGAAAGGGAGAGAGAATGGGGTAAATTATCTCACATTAAAGAGGCCAGGAAAAGATTTTACAGTGAAGGGGAAGAGGGGAGAAGTGAGAGGGAATGTCTGAACCTTACTGTCATCAGAATTGGCTTAAAGAGGGAATAACGTACACATTCAATTGGGAATAGAAATCTATCTTACCCTATAGGAAAGTAGTGGAGAAGGTGATAAGGGGGGGGGTTAATAGAAGGGAGGGCAGATTGGGGGAGAGAATATTTAGAAGCAAGCACTTTTAAGGAAGGACAGGGTGAAAAGAGAGAATAGAATAAAGGGGGGGCGGGATAGGATGGAGGGAAATATAGTTAGCCTTTCACAACATGACTATTATGGAAGTCTTTTGTGTAACTATACATGTATAACCAATATCAAATTGATTGCCTTCTCAATGAGGGTGGGTAGGGAGGGAGAAAGGGAGATAATTTGGAACTACAAAGATTTAAAAACTAATGTTAAAAATTGTTTTTTACATGTAACTGGGAAAAAATACCAAATAAAAAGAGAAAAAAATAAAAACATTATTTTTAAAAAAAGATGCTCCTACTTGTAGATGACAGCGCGCTCAAACAGAAGTCAGACTTAAAAAATATTTTTTCTCTATGTCTTGCTTTTTAGTGTGCAAACTTTTAGTGAAATTATTGTCAAACTTTGGGGAAGTGATTGACTTCTATATTTTAATACCTAAGATCACATCCTTTGTCAAGGGGGAAGGGTAATATATTCAGTGCATGCATTTCTACAAATTCAACCAATACTTAAAGTAGGATAGTAGGATCAATTCATGCAGTTGAATCTCTGATCTTATTGATTTGGTTCCAGTTTTACAAATCACAACCTCTTTGTTCCTGACCAAATTCTTGTCCGTGTTATTCTGTAAATTCACCAAAGGGAGGACCACCCTCATTGATTTTGACATGGATATACCAGAGGAGCACTCAGGCTGTGTACTCATTATCTCTCATTCTTATTATGTGACCATCTCCCATGTGCCCCCCACCCCCCTTTATTTCTGGAAACTTGTCTTTCCCTGAAGACTAACTTAACTCTAGTTTTCTTTGAAAAAATTTTGAAAAAAATAGTTTTCCTTCTCACCCTCAACATGTACTGCTTCTTTGCCCTCTGGGTGACATTCTCAGCTCTTCAGTAACAAGTAGTTGTGCTCTGTCTGTCTCAACCATACGACCCTGCAACCCATGAAACAGTGGGATCAAAAACAGTTTGAAATCTCTAAATTGTCAGTACTAAAAACTGCAAAATCACTAAACTTTTTTTTTTTTAAGCTCAGAGTGCTTTGTTTTTGGAGGTGGATGTTTTATTTAGAATACCTTATGAGAAAGTAATGCAACAATAAATAGCATAATGTAGGTTGCTGTTTTTATAAAATGTCTCCTTCTTTCCAGTTTAATATCTGTGGAACACTGCCTGTCTGCGGGACTATAGAAGGGAAGGAGGCTGCTGGATGTGAAGGAGAGATCAAATCAGGAGACCTAAATAATCTGAAACCAGAAAGGCAAGTTGGAGCTAAGAAAAGTCTTCACTTAACCACAGAGGGTTTTATAACACTTATCTACAGAGGAGCCCTTTCACCATCTACAGGTAAGTTTAAAAGCCAAATGTGTCTTGATTGTTGACATAAGAAGTGAACTCTTTGGGCAAACCCAGTTTGTGTATATCTTGTGGGCCTCTTTTTTATTTTTATTTTTTGTATTCTTAAAAGAAAATGTACCTTTGTTCTCTGGTAAAAAATATGAGGATATTTTTTAAAAGCCATTGATAAATCTAAAGATATTGTTTTGCTTTCCAATTCCTCATCCCCTTATCCCTCCCTCAATCTTCTCACCTTTGACTTGTAGTCTGTGTTTCTCATTTTCAAGGCCTATAGTTTTTGGTTTGTTTTATTCTCAGGTGTTATAAGGTGCCACACCAAGGATACTGGTAAAGATTATTTAACCTGAGAGGGTGTATTACGTTGTAGTTCTTTCTGTCTCTTGCTGAACTAAAAGAAAATAGTTGTTTTTAACATTTTCCTGCCCAAATAGATACTATACTCTGCCTTTCTATCTCAAAACCTATTAATGCCTCTTGTTTTCTTACTTTTTTCTTATTGCTTGTGGGGGTTCAGTTTAGCAGTTCTGTTAAAGGATATTGTTATGTTACTTCCTCTTGAGAAGCATAATGTTATGATGAAAGTTAGGTAGGCAATGCTATTGCAGTTCTTGCAGTGAATATTTGGATGCCAGGAGTAATACTCTATTCCATGTTAAGACCTGAATGGAAGTCATTCTGAATTAGGGCATCTTCATCAGGACTGTGCTCTTGCTGCCATTTTCAGAGCATTGTTTTAGAACTGTTCTACTCACCTAAGGGTTGATAACTTTGGAAGTCACTAATTCTTTTTTTATTTTTATAACTGGATCTGTTCTTTCTTTGGTATAGATACCACCTGGTGAAGAGCTTATTTTTATCAAGGTAGCCCCTGCTCTACAAATTAGATTCTTTCAGGCTTCCTCAGTGTCACCCAGCCTGGCAAGATTAGAGGCAGGACCTGATTGGAGGTCTTCTTGAGTCTGAGACTGGCACTTTATTCATTACATCACCCTTCTTTTCATGGCTTCTCTTAGCAGCGTTATTGCCTTGGAGTGCCTAACTAACTCAGAGCTTAAAAGTGCTGTGAAATGGAGCTTCACAATATGTCAAATGGACAAAATCTTTGTCGAAAGTCCTGATATTTCTATACAATCAGTTCTAACTCTTTCTAGGCAGAGTGTGCAACTACCAGCCCTTCTATTAAATCTCTTCTCTTGTGAGAACAGAATTCTCCTATAGCCTTTACTTTTTACTTACTTGAAATCTGGTTTGAAGAAATGAGGATTATTAGATTTTTGGCCAGCCTAGCTTTCTCAAACACTTGGTTCTAGTGTGAGCTTTTAGTTTGACTAAAGTAATCCAGAAAGTTACTTCACTATCCTTTTTATGTTTTCTTTAATACTCTATTTCCGGGCATTTTTTCAGATATAATTGGTATATATTCTGAACCTCTGTTCTTCCATGCCTATAACAACCCATATCCCTTTTTCTTTGTGACAATTTGGAATTATCAGCAAATGACTTGTATCTCAGGAGCTAACCTCCCTTCCCCAGAAAACCTCTCAACAAAACAAAGCTTAAATGATTTTTTTGGTTAATTGGTTTAGTTATCAATTTCAAATTCTCCTAAAACTTCCCTCAGCATCTGTTACATGATAAACTGATTTAATCGATCATTTGATCTCCATTGCATTCCTATAGTTTTTGTAACTACAACTTCCTACCACATCTCCCTTGCTTTTCACACTCATTTAATATACTCAGTGCTTCCTCCATAGAAGCTAGATTTTTCCCCCCACTCTTCCTTTTTTTTATGTAGGTACAGTTTATTGTAATGGATAAAGCAGTAACTAGACTTAGAGAGACCCAAATTTCCAATCCTACCTAGATATTTACTAGCCTGTGACCTTGGCCTCATCACTTAACTTCATCCTGCCTTAGCTTCTTTGTCTGTGAAATGGAATGATAGCTGCATCCACTTCACAAGTCTGTTGTGAGTGTCTAATGAGATAATATGTGTAAATCACTTTATAAAACAAAGTGTTCTATAAATGTTAGTTATTTTTAGTTATTATGTGCCAAGTTTAAATGAAAGAACTTTAAAATATTCTCTATTAGAATTTCTTGTCTTATAATGCTAAAGAATTCTATATATTGATATTATCTGTAAGATATCTGAATGACACTTAAATTTTGTTTAAAGGAGCCAGATAAGTTAAAGGGAGTAGTTGAAAGAAGTAGAAGATCCTGGAATATTCAGAATGTTAACAAAAAATGTAATTTGTTTATAGCTTGAAACCAAACATAATACGGTACATTGTTATATAAATGATCAAAATCATATCCCTCTGAAGCATGATTGATAACCTAGTATAACTTGTAAGATTAGTTTCATCCCCCATCATCGGTCTCCTAAAGGAGTTCCATTGTTTTGACTATCATATATTTGTATCTTCTGCTTTGTGTTTTATGAAATTTGACCTTTTTTTTCCCCTACAGGTGCTTCAGATGCTTTCATCATACGTTTTATCTGCAATGATGATATCTACCCAGGAACACCCAAATTCCTACGTCAAGATATTAATTCTGAACTAGAAATCTATGATACTTTCTTTGAGTTTGAAACAGCATTAGCCTGTGTACCTTCTCCAGTGGATTGCCAAGTTACTGGTAAGTTCCTGAGTGTGTGTGTGTGTGTGTGTGTGTGTGTGTGTATACGTGTGTGCACGTGAGAGAGTGTTTTATTTTGAAGGAAGGCAGGTATACCATGTTAGTCCCCTATTATGTTAGTAGTTTTCCTATTTATGAAGATAAAAGAATTTTCCTGCTTATATCTTGTAAAAGTTGAGTATATCTTATTTATTAGTGACATGAAAATGTATTTTAAGATCAGTTCTTGATTGGAAAACAGAATGTTAGGGGAAAATCTAGGAAGTTTCATAAGCAGTAATGTTTAGAATCACTATATGCAAATTATTTTCAATTAATTTTTATTTGACAAATTTATATAGTCCCATTTTTCATATAACAGGGATAATTTTAGGGGGAAAGAAAATCATCATCATCATCATCATCAGTGAAAGCTTGTATGATGAAAGATACTGGGCCCCATAAATCTCAGTACAAAAAGAACATGAATCTTGGCTCACTAGACTAGTTGGAAAGGAAGTATGTAAATGTAAAATGATAAAAACAGTGATAAAAGATCTTGTACATAGTGAGTAGTAGTGGCATTGTATGCAGTAGAGATCAGGCAGCTTCAGAATCTTTTTAAGGCTTTGTGAGTCTAGCTACAAAACAAAGAATGGAAAATACAGAAAAGACCGTTGTTCTGCACTGGGCTTTTTTACTGCTATAATTGTAGTCTGACCGTTATTACTAGCAGTAGCAGTATCTTCACATAAAAAGAACAGACTTATGTCTACATAACACTTAGGCTAGAAAGATCAGAAAACTAGAGAGAATCTTATGTGTTCGATGGATGTGTTCAGGGCCCTGAGAAGTTAGTTTACCATCTTGCCACTTTTCGTTTCAGAAATATGCAATAAAAACACGTAAGATTCCAGAGGGACAGGAACTGTATCCTTCTCTATGTAAATACACACACACACACACACACACACACACACACACACACACACACACATATATTTATACATATATATACACACATATATATATATACACATACACACACACACGTGTGTGTGTGTGTGTGTATGTTATATGTGACCATATTACATAGTCTATATAAATGCTATACCCTGGCATACTAAAAGCAAAGGATGATTGTCTCTCCAGCATCTGTTGTTTACTACCTACGTAACCTTCCACAAGTCCCTTAGGCTTTCTGAGCCTCAATTTCCTAATCTTCAAAGTGAGGGAGTAGGTCATGGGTGGCCTTAAGGTCTCTTCAATCCCTGAATCTATGATCTTTTTTCAAAATAGCTTTTTGTGAATTTGCTTTAATTCTGAAAACCTAAATTAAATGAAAATCATAACTACAAGAGAATATTCTTTAATCCATTAAGACAGTGCATTCTGAACAAGAAAGTACAGTGTTTTTCAAATATCTTTTTAGACCTTGCGGGCAATGAATATGATCTAAGTGGCCTGAGCAAAACAAGAGAGCCTTGGACTGCACTTGATACTTCAACAGAAGGAAAAAAAAGAACTTTCTACTTAAATGTTTGCAATCCTCTACCTTATATTCCTGGATGTCATGGTGAATTCCCTTTTATCTTTTTATTTTGGTTTTCTTATATCATTAGATAAAGAGATTTTAAAAACATTTGACTTAAGATTTAAAAAAAAAAACTCTACTGAAATGCTAGTCTTTCTTATTGCTCCAGGCAGTGCATTGGGATCTTGTGTAAAATCTGGTGACAAAGGCACAAACCTAGGTGTTGTACAGATCAGTCCTCAAACTGCTGCTAATGGATCCCTGAGTATTGTTTATGTGAATGGCGATAAATGTGAAAATCAACGTTTCTCCACACGTATCATCTTTGAATGTGATCAGACACCTGTGAGTTTCTGCATAAACATTTTATCTACTTCTTAATTACATTTCTATATGTTTTAGTCTTTCTGCATTTTTTTTTTACCTTTTTGGGAACTCAGTGGAAAGGCCTTCACATAGAAGATGTCTTTTTTCCCCCCAGTAATTTAAGGTTACAGATGGGGACAATTGGTGTAATGCCTTTGAGTATACCAAGAAAGGTCAAACACTAACTCCTAGGTACTGAGGAACAGCCATGTATTTGTGCCCAAGATAATTTTGTAACAGTTAAATCTTAGGTCTTTTGAGTAATGCTTTCTAGGTTACTTGTTTGAAGCTACCATTTTATGGTTGACTGCCTTTGATAAATATAAAAAGAACAGCTTGCACCCAAATGAGCTGTCTGCTTATGTTTTTAGGGATCACCAGTATTTCAGCATAAGGAAGACTGTGAATATGTATTTGTCTGGAGAACCATAGAAGCTTGTCCTATTCGCAAAGCAGAAGGTGAGATCTGGTGGCCTTTTACACCCCGAAAGTTTTCTTTTCCATTGATCTAAAAGTTCGTGTTAATTATTACAAATATATTAATGTGATACCTTTTAATGTCCCCTAGTTAATTCTTTGTTTCTCAGTTCTTTAATGTAAAGAACCTTTGAGAGACAGAACTTTAGAATAGATTCTTAGAGAAAATTTAATTCATTGTAGAATCCAAACTGCTTTTTTCTGAAATTAATTTTTAATTTTTATAAAGGTAAAATAGTATCAAATGTCTTCTATAAAACTCTGCATGATCTTTTTATTCAGTTTTTAAATCATAAGGAAGACGTAATGTATGTATGTATGTGTGTGAGTGAGTGAGTGTTACATATTTTCCTTTTTGCTCTGTCATGTAAAATTTTTTCCCCACACGTGACCTCAAAGGAAGCAACTGTGAGGTGAAAGATCCAAGGCATGGCCACATTTATAACCTGAAGGCCCTTGCTGTAAATGACACGATAGTGACAGCCGGTGAATACAGGTATTACTTCCGGGTCTGTGGGAGCCTGTCCTCAGATGTATGCAAGCCTGCAGACAGTTCGAAGAAAGTATCCTCATGTCAGCAAAAGAAGGGGCCTCAGGGTTTCCAGAAAACTGCAGGTAGGGTGCATTTGCTTCTTCTCAGGATGATGTTAAATAGAACTTAAGGCAAGATGCTAAGTTACATCTTTGAGTTGGATAAACTACCTCTTCTTTTTTTTTTCCATAGATTTCATTTGACTTTTTCATGCAGAAAAGCACTGACAAAATGTTAGATTGGTGTTACTTCTTGTTTTCTGTAAAAGTTTTATTGGTGGCTTTTAGAGATGTGATGTTTTTGTGTATGTAACAGTCATTTCCCAACGTCAGAACATATTGTGTAACAGAAAAACAAGTCTGCAAAACTGATGATGTATACAGTATTCTGTATACGTAATAATCCCATAATCCTCCACTTCTCTATCAAAACAAAGAAGTACATAGTTCATCTCTGTTTTCTGACACCAAGATTATTTACTCCATTTGATCTCTTTGTGGTTGCCTTTTAAATTATGTCTTCATTTAAATTATTTTAGGTATTGTGGATATTGTCTTACTCTGATTCACTTCACATAAATCTTTCTGTGTTTCTCTGACATCCTAATTTATTCTTTTGAGGGGAGGGGAAGAAAATAAGCATTTCTATAGCACCTACTATATGCCAGACTCTGCTAAGTGCTTTTACAAATATTATCTCATTTGATCTTATAGTGATTTAAAAAAAAATTTTTCATTCGTTGTTAGCAACGAAAGATAATGACTTTTCTTCCAGCTATTTAGGTAGTTCAATACATGGCGAACTAGGGAAGTTATTGCCTGTAGCAATACTAAATAGAGTTGATTCACAGAATGACTTAAAAATGTTATTTGATGCTATGGCATGTAATACCTCCACTGTGTCAGTAGATTGCTTGTTGATAATGAGCTTGATAACTAGTTTAAACAAAGTTGTAGAGGTACTCAATTAAAGAGCCAAGAGCTGGAGAATCAATGTTTTTGTGGTCATCCTTCAACGTTGTTAAGTGAAAAGCATTCATTTCATTTGTTTGGCCACTATAACCATGGAACACTGAGATGACCAAGATGTTTTCAGGGTGATTATTTGTATTTAAGAATGACAGTATGGCAGAATGGAGAGATCGCTGTTCTTGGATTCAAGAAGAGCTGTATTCAAATCTTTCTTTTGACCCTACCTATGTGAACATGTGGAAGAACTGGCTTAAATGTATGAAAAGCATATTGTAAACCATAAAGTACTATGTGAAAGTAATTTGCAGTGATTATTATTTAAAAAAAGGTTGGTTTAGTGCAAGTATAGGTTAGATAATGTATCTGAGTGTTTTAATTTTCTCTGTTCTTCTGATTCCCCCTTAAAATAGGATTACTTACCCAGACGCTGACTTATGAAAATGGATTAATAAAGATTAATTACACTGGTGGGGACACATGCCATAAAATATATCAAAGATCTACAACCATATTTTTTTACTGTGATCGCATCACTCAGAAGGTGAGTATATTTGACATAGTTAATAAAAGAGCTGAAGGATGCCATCCAGGGAGTATGTTCTGTTATAGAGGAGAGAGAAAAAACACCCCTATAAAAATAATTTTTCATTTTAAAGTCGAGATTTTAAAATGACTGCATCCAGTTTTACATCTTTACAGTGACACATGTATTTATTTTTAATCTTCTTTAGCCAGTGTTCTTGAAGGAAACTTTAGATTGTTCTTACTTGTTTGAGTGGCGAACCCAATATGCTTGTCCACCTTTTGAGTCCATTGAATGTTCATTCAGGTAAGTTAGTTTATACTTTTACTCTTCTGGATCAACAGATAAAATCATACTTAAATTTATTCTTATCTCTAAGTTAATTTGTAATGTTCATACATTTTTAGAGGCTCATAGCCTTTAATGTGGACAGTAGCCATCAGAGAATAAATGATTAGGCTGAGAATCACTGTCAGGAGTTGTACAGTCAGCTAAGTACATTCTTCTTGCCATTGGTGTATATTGAGGTAGCTTATAGACACAAAGAGCGTGTATGTCATCATACCTTTTAAATAACCTTGGGAAGCAGTGATGCCATGTGTTGGGTGTATTTTTCTGGTCAAGAATTGAAATGATCATGTCCATCCCGAACTCTCCCACCCCCAATCATTTTTGAACACTTGCCATCATGAAATAGTTATGAGATTTTGAGACATCAACGCTATATATTGTTGCTGGTATAGACTGAAGTACAGATAGATAGGATGTTTACGGTGTTAAGTGTAATGCTAATGTTTGATTTAGCATATATGACTGAATTGTAGCTGAACTGAACTCCCATCCTTCAATTTAGAGATCACGAAGGAAACTCCTTTGACCTTTCTCCTCTGTCACGATACAATGACAACTGGGAAGCAGTTACAAGAACTGGTGCTACAGAGCGTTACTTCATCAACATCTGCAAGTCCCTGGCCCCACAGGCCGGCATTGGTGAGCGAAGGGTTACTTTTTTGGTTATGATTTGTCAAGAACTGATAGTCTTCATTATCTTCATCATTATATTAGGTTAGACAACACTGAAGGAGAATGAAACTTATAAAACTGAGGAACTTGTTTCTTGTAGTGATTGGTAGGTTTGGTCATTTAGTAGAAAGAAGAGAAGAAAATATTGTTTGGAAACGGTTTTATTCATAGTGGCCTTTAATGTATTGTCACTGCTAGATAAAACTAAGGCTCAAACATAATGATGCTTATAAATTGCTTTATAGATATAAATGCCTGGGGATAAGTAGTAGTAGCAGCAGAAACAAAAGCTGGTAATCTTCTGATTACCAAGCTAGAAGAAGGCATAGAGTGCTATGGAAACCTTAGTTTTGTGTCCTTGTCCTTGGACATTTTACTGCTTTATTGGAAATCTCAGTATTGTACCATATGGTAGAAGGAAAAGAGGGAAGACCATTCTCTGATTTGTATTTCAGGATCCTGCCCTCCTGATGCAGCTGTCTGCTTGGTGGAGAACTCTAAATACACAACCCTGGGCAGGGTCAGTGATGGTCCTCAGTGGAGCAGTGAAGGCACTTCCATTCTGACATATCTCAACGGAGACCTGTGTCCCGATAAGATTCGTAGAAAGATGACGACAATCCTCCTGACATGCAGTGAGAGTCATGTAGTGAGTGCCATTACTGTGTTAACAGCTGCCAACTGCATCCTCTTGTAGATGGGAACTTCTAAGTTGGAGTGATCAAATAGCCCTTTGTTGGTGGGGAGAACACTGACCATATAGCATTCTGCAGAGGGTTTTATATGTATCTTTTGATTCTCACAGTCTAGTGAAGTAGATGCTACTATCTCCTTTTTATAGAGGAGGAAACTAAAGCCAAGATAGGGTAAATGAATAACACAGCTAATCAGCATTTTGAGGCAGGATCTGAACTCAGCACACTATCCACTGTGCCAGCTAGCTGTCTCACATAGCTACAACCACGATGGCAAAAGGTTGTATAGTGTTGTAGTCAGTGACCAAGATTTCTTCTCTGGCTCAAGAAATGTCTATTCTGGATGTTTTAAATTATTTGATCATGTTTGTGTTGAACTCTTATCTTTAAGATACTGTATAAAATTTTAAAAAACCCATTGTATAAAATCCATATGTATAGTGATTCTCTATCATTACCTTTATTCATATCCATAATTGCCTTTTGTAATTAATTGGTATATGGCATCTGATTAGTTTCTTAATAAGCTGATTTTTTAAAAATTTAGTACCTTACAGATTATGGGGCAGTTCTATGCCCTAGAGGCTTAAATAAGCATTTTTCTAGCTGCCTGTGTGAGGCAGTAATCAGGGAGCCCAGAGTCAGGCCAGGCTGAACTAGCCTCTTGGTTATCAGGGCAAAGAGACTATGGTAGGCAACTAATTTTTATTCTTGAGAAGTAGTAGTCCTGATGTCCTGAAGACTGAGATATGAGGAGGCCCTTAATCATGAAGTTTGTCTGCTCTACTTGAATAGAAATTAGAACTGCTTATGTAGAAGAAAGTGGCATATGCACCTAGAAGCCTTCAAACATATTGCTGATTTCTGTGCCGTGTGTCTTTGTATGGAATCATAAACATCAACTCAGAAGATTAGGAAAGAAAGAAGGGGAGGAAGGGAGGGAGAAGTATACCTTTGGGACAGTACATAGATGAGTATCTAATGAGAAATTGGAAAAGAAAGAATAGGTAGGGTCAGTAGGAATTTGACCTCAGAGTAAGTGTACTGCAGAAGAGAACCTTTTAAGGTTCTGTGGTAATTTCAGTACGCTTTGAAAAGAATAAGGTACTATATATATATATAAGAAAGATGATTTGGGAGTCAGGAAGACCTGAGTTGTAATCCCACCTCAAGACCTTTATTATAAGCTTTGCAACCTTGGGCAAGTCACTTAATATCTCTCAAGTTCAGTTTTCTTATCTGTAAAAATGGGAATAATAATAGTACCCAATTCACAGGATTGTAAGCATAAAATGAGATGATATTCATAAAATACTTTTGCAGATTTTATATGTCATTATCATTGTTATTAGCAATAATAGTATAAAGACTTTTTTAGTTTGTTTGGAGTTGTTTTGGTCTACCAGATCAAAGGACGTAATGCCTTTGATTATTACTTGGCCTCCTACAACAACTTTAGGCGTCCCAGAACATGGTACATAGGGGGAGGCATTAAGTAAGTGCTTGTTGCTTGATAGATAACCCTACCTGGAAGCTGCCACTCTGGAAGCTGGGTTTTGTAGCTTGTTTTTTTTTAAACTTGCATGGATTCTTTCAGAAAGGTAGTTCAACCCTTGAGTTTAATACTTGACCTCTGCTCTGTTTTCTTTCCCCACTTTGTAATCACGACATAACACTCCCATAGAGGCATTAAGAACGTTTTTTAAATGTTCAGAGCAATTTGATACAAGCTGGTATTGTCACAGCCCCCCATAATGCTGGACTCTTTCTGTACTTTGCCTGTAGGATTCTAAGCCCATGTTTATAAGTGCAGTGGAAGACTGTGAGTATACTTTCTCATGGCAAACCTCAGCTGCATGTCCTTTAAAGAGCAATGTACAGGACAACTGTCAAGTCACCAATCCTGCTACAGGTAAACACTCAGACGGATTCTGTGAGATACACTTTAGAAGCAGAGGAGTCTGGCTTGAATACATCCCCGTGTTTTGTGTGAAAATCTTTTCATGAGAATGCACCACACTGACTGTTTAGACTTAGAAGAAGCCGTAGACATACTAGTAAGTGCCTGTGTTGTGGTGACACAGGCCTACCTTTTTGGGTTTAACGCTTTCCTCTTCTTGTTGTTGTGTTGGGAGGGCTGCCTCAGTAAGCACATCTGAATGTGGGACACAGCCTTCTGCAGTATGGATTGAAGGAAAAGGGAACCTTGGAGGTTTTCAAAAGGTCCTCACGTCTGGAAACTGAGAGGGCTACAGGGGGGAGAGTCCTTTAAGAAACCAGGGCTTCAGGGTTATCCTTTTGGGAGGAAGTGACACAGCTATAGATGGTGCTTATTGTGCAGCAACAGGAGGAAGAGCATAGTCTGAGCCATTTGCCTCCAGGGAAATAGCAAGGCTTTCAATTAGAAATTCAGGGATTAAGTGGTACAACCTGGACAAGGATATCTATACTGTCATCACATTTTTCACGCCATTTCAGTAGAAGAGTGTTGATAGATTGTTAAGTTTAGCACTGGTGGTAACAGAATATAGCGGCCTGTGCTGGAAACATTGTGATTCCCAATCCTTCAAAATGTCTGTCTGTTATTTAAAACACTAAAGTTTCCCTTTTCTTACAGGCCATCTATTTGATCTGAACTCTTTAAAGAATGATTCTGGTTACTCGGTTTCCTATAGTGAAAAGGGATTAATTTATATGGGCATTTGTGGAGGGACTAAAAACTGCCCTTCTGGAGTTGGTAAGTGCCAAAATAGGTTTCCCTATTAAAGTCCTAATGCCTTAAGACATCAAGATCTTCCTGTGCTGAAGCTCTGTGAGGAAAATAGGAAAGTAAGATATATTTTCATCCTTCTGTTTACCAATTTTGCTGAAAATTAAATTCTGAACTTAAACATCTTGAGTGTGAGCCCTGGTATAAAGGAAGGAGAAAGGAATCAGGAGACTTAATTATTCAGTGTCACAGGCAACTATTTTTGTTTTTATCTGTGTATTTTAAAAATGTGTTTTTAATTCTCATTTCTTTTTTTTTTGTATCTCAATGTGCACAATGCAGATTGGCACCTGCCTACAATTTAGTGTTAGGTTGCCTAGAGGCACTGAAAAGTTAAGAGAATTTGAGAAGAGCTTTTAAATTAAGTCAAACTATACCTTTTTTTTGGGGGGGGGTCTAGGCAATGGAGTTAAGTGACTTGCCCAGGGTCACACAGCTAGTAAGTGATATGTGTCTGAGGCCGGATTTGAATTCAGGTCCTCCTGACTCTAGGGCCAGTGCTCTATCCACTGTGCCACCTAGCTGCCCCTCAAACTATACTTTTAATACTCAGTGATGTATACTTGCCTAAAAGGATGCCCAGATGGAAGAGTAATTCTCTGTAGCAGATGCAGTGACCTAGATGTTTTTTGTGAATTACTTTGCACTGAAGACATCAAACTCCAGAATACCGCAGAGCTTCCTCAGTGATATCCCTAGTCACTCAGAAAGGTTTGACCTAACTTTTCACATAAGGAATTCAGAGTCAGATGACCATTAATGCATATATATGTAATGGACACCATGACAAGACAGTGAGGTAGGCAAAGAATAAAAAGAAAGATAGATGGAATTACCTTTGGGAAATTATGCAGGCTTCTCCCTGAAATGAAGACCCATATTTTAGAATCATGCAATAACAGTTGACCAAAAATTGAAATTGTGGGTCATGCAAAACACTATGAATAGGTAGTTGTGGCCTTGACATGTTCCCAACAAAGGATTGCACAGAGAAGTAGCATTAAAGACACCATTAGAGATGTATAATGATCAAGCAGTGAGAGTGAGAGATAATCATTGGGTGTCTAATGTGCTCCATTGATATGCATGGCATGTTGGATGATCAGAGAAAATTCCTCAATATGTTTCTTAGAGCCCCTGTGGAGGACCTAAAAGGGGACATAAAGGTAAGAGTTGTATGGGATGAGACTTTGTGGATAAATTACAACTGCTGCCATAGGAAGGAGTGTCATAATCAATGATGTTGCAAATCCATTGATGGAGGTATATCACACTTTAGAAGCTGATGGATAAATGAATGATACATTCTTAAATGTGCAGTGTTACAGTAAGCCATTTAAAAATAAGTGTGAGGTTTAAATATGACCTGAATTTAAGGAATAATCTAATGAAAAATAGGTACCTTACATCATTAATTTTTTTTCTTTTCCATTTGTTTCAGGTGTTTGCTTTGGATTGACCAAAATTAACGCTGGAAGTTGGAACAACAGGCTAATGTATGTAGATCAAGTCTTACAGCTTGTTTATGATGATGGAGCTCCTTGCCCTTCCAAGAATGCCCTGAAGTATAAGAGTGTAATTAGCTTTGTGTGCACACACAATTCTGGGGTGACCAATAAGCCTGTGTTTGTTTCCTTGGATAAACAGACATGTACTCTTTACTTTTCTTGGCACACCCCGCTGGCTTGTGAGAAAGAGGTGAGTCCATTGAACTGGGTCAACTCTGAAAGAGATTGTGCTTTGACTTTTGGTATATCTGTTCTGGATTTCAGTGTCTTGTCTTTCATACTACAATTGTATCATTGACATTGAACATATCTGAATCTACCCAGGTTGTGCTAGCCATAAAACACACTTGATGGAAAATATCAGAATAAATATGATGAAACTTTCTAAATGAGCTCAGCAGTTGTGCTTAGGTTGTAGAGTTTTCAAATCCTGGCATAAGTGCTGCTTTGTGTCTTTGGACATACTGATATGTAACATGACCCAAATTTCCTGTAACAGGAGCAGTGTTCAGTGAAAAATGGAAGCTCTGTTATTGACCTCAGTCCTTTGATCCATCGAACTGGTGGCTATGAAGCTTATAATGAAAATGATGATCTGTCTGATACCAAGCCAGATTTCTATATTAACATCTGTCAGGCTCTAAATCCCATCCATGGAATTTCTTGTCCTGCTGGAGCAGCAGTGTGTAAGATTCCTGTTGATGACCCTCCCATAGTAAGTATCACATATACAAGTTTGAAAAATAATTTTGACAATAGCCTTTATGGAAATAAAACTGGTGTTAGGCATACTGTGTCTTTTGATGGAAAGAAGGCTAAGGAGCCACATGCTGTTTATATGTGCATATCTTTGTATGCGTATACATATGTGTTTGTCATTGTCATTATCCCTGAGTAGAGACTTCTGTATCAGAGGCACAGGGGCTGGCAAGTGTATTTGCTGAGCCTAGCTTCTTAATGTGAAGTACAAGACTTGTGTAATTCAAAACACTTGTGAAATGCAAGTGTGTTTTTTATTAGCTAAGAAATCTTATTAAGACCTTTTAATAAATAAATCATGCAGGAAAGTGAATTTGATTTTCTACAGTATTGTAAGTATATCAGTTTTTAATATTGAAAACATTTTTAATAATTATATTCACTTACTTCAGGTTGTATTTTCTGGAAAAAAGCCTCAAAAACCATTTTATTTCTATATTTTTGCAGTCATGTGTTTGAAAGACTAAATACTGTTGTAAAAGATAGATGTAAAAGATAGATTCATTTGTGAACTGAATCATATACTCCATAGGTCCAAAACTGAACTCTTATCTTTTCTCCCAAACTTATACCTCTTCGTAACTGCCCTTCTACTGTCGAAGGCACCACCATCCTCTCAATCACCTTAGCTTATAACCTAGGTACCATCTTTGGCTCCTTACTGTGACATCTCTTACATACTCCCCCTTCTCTCTTTTGACACTGCCGTCTTGGTGCCAGCTCTCATCTCCTCACGCATGCACTATTGCAATAGTCTGCTGGTTTTGGGGCTTCCTGCCTAAAGTCTCTCCCCATTCTAGTCCATCCTCCAGTCAGCTATCAAAATGATCTTCTAAAACACAGGTCTGGGTCTGACCTCGTCTCTCCCTATTGTGCTTGCACGTGCACCCACACACACACATGCACCCACACATGCACCTACACCCACGTACCCCCCCACCCACACCCACCCACACCCACCCACACACACTCTCTCTCAGAGGTGCCTGCCTCCCCCCATTCATTAAACTCCACTGGTTCCTTCAGGACCAAATAGTAAACTCCTCTGTTTGCCTTTTAAGCCCCTTTGTAACTCGACCCCTTTCTGGGAGCCCTGATGGATAGGACCTATGAGCTTACTGGAGGTAATATTCAATAACTTAGATTCTTTGAGAATGAAATACAAATGGAAATGATTGACAGTTTTAGAAAAATTTTTTTGATCATCACTGATAAATTCATATTCTGGTAGCATCATATAATCTCTATATGGCAGACATTTTGGTCTGAATTGAATGAATTCATAGATGTATACTTTTTTGTTATTTTATTTTAATACTTAATCAGCTATCTCTTGAAAAATTGTTTTCCTGAGCCAGCTGTTTTTTCTTTTATCTCTTAGGATGTTGGTCGTGTCACTGGGCCTCCACAACTTAATCGTGCAACTAATGAAATTTATATCACTTTTGATAGTTCTACCCCATGTCCTTTAGACAGAAATGCTAACTATTCCTCAATTATTTTATTTCATTGTAAGAGAGGAATAAATATGGTAAGCAACTTCTTTTCATGCCCTAAATATTAATATTTCATTTATTGGTGTGACAAATGCATGGTATAGTGTATGTTTACAGTGTAAGGATATTATTCTTCCCCTTATTTAAAAAAATAACCCAATACAACTGCTCTACTTTGGATAAGTCTAATCCTAGTTATTGATCTGGGAGTTTGCAGACCTGATAAACACTGCTACCAATCAGCTCTGTAGCCACTGGGAGGACAGTGGAATGAGTATTAGAGCTGGAGTTAGAGAACCTAGGGTCATGTTACAATTGTGAGTAACCTAGAGTGTAGTCTCTGGGCCTCAGTTTCTTTGTCTGTAAGATGAAGGTGTTGGGTAAGAAGACCTCTAAGTTCTCTGCCAGCTCCAAATCTGATTCTGGGCAAGTTGATTGATAGGTCATTTAACCTCTGCTCCTCAATCTCTTTGTAAAATGAGCAAATTGAACTAGTTGATTTCTAAAATCTCTTCCAGTTCCCAAAATTCATGATTTTAATTCAAGGATGAAAAGAATAATTAGGAAGCCAACAATGAAGGTTAACGATAGAAATACGAATATCACTCTTTACATGCAGAAAACTTTGTAATAACTTGCAAATTATTAATAAAGTAGTAGCAGTGTATTTTAGAACACTTGAGCATAAAACTAAGGGGTTTAATTTTAGCCCAATATAAGGAAATAGGCTAGCCAGGTGGCACAATGAGTGGATAGAGCACTGGGCTTGGAATCAGGAAGACTCTTCTTTATTAGTTCAAATCCAGCCTCAGACACTTATTACCTGTGTGACCCTGGGCAAGTCACTTAACCCTGTTTGCCTCAGTTCCTCATCTGTAAAATGAGCTGGAGAGGGAAATGGCAAACTACTCTAGGATCTTTGCCAAGAAAACCCTAGATGGGGCTGCAGAGAGTCAGACATGACTAAATAGCAACATAAGGAAATACTTTAAAAAAATTATAGCAGTGAAAAAATTTGAGAGTTTTCTGTCACTGGTGGTCTACCTATGGAAACTGTAGTACTACTTTTCAAGTATGTTCTTAGGATTCATGTTTTGGTTAGGGATTAAATTAGATTACCTTTAATATCCCTTCCAACTCTAGTTCTATGATTTTTATGTGCCTAAATAACCAATGACCTAGTGGTACTACTTAGCTAGTGGACAGACTTGAGCAGCCTTAACCATTTGCAATAATGATTAAAAAAATTTATAAAGAACTTTGAGATTTACAAAATATTCCTCACAACAACCATGAGAAATAGGTTCTATTATTCCTGTTTTCACATGAGGAAACTGATGCTGGAGTTAATTGCCTTGCTCACAGGGAATAAGCTTATGGAATAAATCCTCAGACCCAGAAGTAAGAAAAAAGACCACTCTGAATGGCAGAATTTGCAGTCAAAGTCCATATACTTTTTTCTCAGGAGAGGGCCTCTGGCCTGTTGATGTAAATCTGTCGTTTTATCCTTTATACCCATTTTAAACAAGTTTGGTTATTTACCAGGAATTCAGAGTGGATGCAGGGAAGGTGGGGTGGGGTGAGGTAGTGGTAATGATGAAGAGGTTAGTAAGACTTCTAGACAGAGATACAATAATAATGAGAAAAGAGATTCTCTCCTCTCCCCCAAAAAAAATCACATTAAAAAAAAACTGAAAAATTGAATGGTTTAGGGTTCATTTTGGATAGGGACAGATAGCCTCACATAACTCCAGAGGTTCTCAGTATATTTCAACTTATTTCAAAAATTGTCATTTATAATGATGGGTAGTTAAGAAAAGGTTTAATTATGTTTAGCATATTCTAAGGAGATGAACCATATAGAATATTATAGAAAGATTTCTATCAAATGGTTAGAATTTTTCAAATGGCATTTGAAGAGATAAATCTGAAAAGTTCCTTTATGTGGAACACTTCTTTCCCTCACAGTGCTATATAAATGAGGCTTTATGCTTCATTTAGGATTACACGTAGGAAGAGAGTGTACTAAACACCATGGCTGAGTCTTGGAGTAGCTACGTGTTGGCAACAAGTCAGTGTTTAGTTGCCTTTAGAAATCTGGAGACTGAATATTCCAGGTTTGTGGGGCTTATTTGAAGTATTTTTCCCCTTGTGGTTTCTTTCCTTCCTGAATGGTATGTGCCATGTAGGAGCAATTGAATACAGACCATGTGGAAAAGAAATCTTTAGCATCAGACAGAAATAGACTATTTGGCCTAATGAATATATTTTACTCCTTTCTCCTGTTTTAATTGGCTTCAGATTCTAGAAATAACGAATGCATATGTTTTGGCAGAGGAGGTAACTTTAGCTGTAAACAGAAATAAGCTGTTTCTGTCCTTTGCAATGACAACCGCTAACTGTATTTCAAAGCCCTTTTCTTTTATTCTTCAATGACTACTTAAAATCTAAATATCTTGATGCAGATTTGTAGAGTTTCTGGGGCAGTGCGATGTTATGGAAAGGCCATTGCTCTCTGAGGATTTGGTGGAGCTGGGTTGGAGCACTGCCTGCCACTTCATACCTGAGTTGATATTGGATAAGTAATTCGATGCCATTTTTTTCCTTCTGCAAGGTGATGGCATGTCTACTTCATAGAATTGTTTTAAGAATCCATTGAGATGTTTGTGAAAGCCCTTTCTATCCATAATGCACTGTGTATATAAATATAAATACAAAGTGGCATTTAAAAATATTATTAGCATTTGTGCCCTGGAGTTATATAGGTAGTTCTAGGTAACTACAGAATTGTTCCAAAGGGGCTTTTGTGGAACTCTTTACATGTGTCATGGCTGATTTTCTGGGCTTCAGAAAAGGCCTATTCCAGGTTACCTGCAGCCATGGAACATTCCTTATGTCTGCATCTTCAGAGTCTTTGTCCCCAGTGACATCTTGCTGTTGTTGATATGCCAGGCAAGTACTGTTGGTACCCAGAAGTACAGGTGTGTAGTACCTTCTGGTAAGTAATGCACTATACTACTTTTTAACCCTGTGGCTGTCTCAGGGTATGGTTAGGATCTCTTGATAAATCATATTACACATTTTGTGTCAGCTAGGATAGTGGTGGTATTTTAAGAAAATCATGACATTTCCTATGAAGTTAAAATCTTTTTTTTTTTTAATAGGGATCACCAAAGATGATAAGAACCAGTGGTTGTGATTATGTGTTTGAATGGGAAACTCCAGTGGTATGTCCAGATGATGTAAAAACTGTGGGCTGTTCAGTGACAGATGAACAGCTGTACTATAGTTTTAACTTGTCCAGTCTTTCTAAAAGACCAGTTAAGGTAATATTCTTGATCTTTGGCATTATCAACATACACTCACACACACACACACACACACACACACACACACACACACACACACAGAGGTATATGCATATATATATACAGATACATGTGCATATGCATTATTTATTTTTTGAAAGAGCTATAATTCTACTATAATATTTTTTTTGGAATTTTTAAGTGTCCTCTGTACCATAATATATTTAGTATTTCTGAACAAGTAAGTCACCATAGGTAGCAGAACTTTTCATTATTCCTTTGCTCCAGAAATGGAATAGTTTTCACTGTTAGATGACTTTCTGTGTTTGTGAGGGTGGTGGCTAATCTTGATGCAGGGTCTATGGAAGTCAAGCTACTATTAAGGTGTCAGGATTTTGAGGAATAAAGGAAGTTTCCTGCCCTTTCTAAATATAATGGCTCATGATAGGCATCAATTTGATGTGAAATTAGGTATATCTGTTTACATGTTTTCATTTGGATATACTACACTTCTCAATAAATTACTGGTCAGCTCTTTTGAAATATATGTGTGTGTGTGTGTGTGTGTGTGTGTGTGTGTTTATGTGCAAATTAATGCCACTCTTTGTATGCTATAAAATTTTAATTGTTCATTAGATGGTACTGCATATATTTAATGTCAATGTGGAGTGTGTCAAATGTTAGCCAGCAGCTTAATATATTAAATTCTTTGATTCTCTGGCCTCTTGGGCAATTTGCTGAAAGCAATTAAATAGATCACAATTAGTTCACCAGAAAGGTGAAGTGAGGTTAGAGGTAGGGAAGGGGAATCCAACTTGAGAAGCACCTGTGCCTGGACAAACTATGTGCTATGTAAGCCCTGCTGTGGTTTGCCAACATCGTTGATGTTTGGGTTGCAGCAATGTCTTCCAAGTGATGTATCTTTCCATTGGGGGCCTTGAGTATTGTAATCAAGTCCATTGACCTAGAGTTTGCAAAGTTAGGATCAGCTTTTGGTGCAGACGTCTTAAGTTTCTTTGAGGTCTGAACCTGTACATAGCCTCCATCCTTCTTGCTAAGGAGACTCCGTTAGGTACACTGGGACTTAGAAGGTGGAACAGTCTTAGCCAGTGTGTGAAAGCTCAGGGTAAAAGAGACAAGTAGCAGACTTAAGGCCTTGGTTGTGGATAGGTCTGCCTCTATTGTGGGATTTATGAAGCCTAGGTGATGGACTGGAAACAGAGCCGAGGAAAAGAGGAGAAATCTGAGTGATAAAAGTAGAAGCAGAGATCCTAAATAAATAGAGGTTCTTTACAGACTCTCTCTCGGGGGGAGGATGGCTGATTAGACTAAGGGCATGTCAATAGCAATAATATACCTAGGTGAATGTCTGGCAGGAGGGTACAAAGGTGTGGTCTCAGCAAAACTGTGGCAAAGGTGAGAGGGATGCATATGTTAAGACAGTTCAAAATATGTGGCCTTATTTAAAGATAAATTATTTAATAGTAAGGTACAAATAACTGATGATTTATATTCATAATAATCCATGAAGTATTTGTCCATCTAGGTAACTCATGGACCCCATACTTACAATGTGGGTGTGTGTTCTGCAGCAAATAGTGATCCTCAAGGGAGCTGTAAAGATGGAGGGGTGTGCTTGCTCTCAGGTAGTAAGGCCTCTTCATTTGGACGGCTAGCATCAATGAGTTTGGATTATAGACATCAGGATGAAACAGTCATTTTAAAATATCTAAATGGTGATCAGTGTCCTCCAGGTGAGTCATCACAATGGGGGTGTATTATAAGTTGAATATTAATTTTGGAAATTACTAGAAAAACTGGGAGCTTAAAACACCAGACACTGAAATCTGCCAAACCCATTAGATTTTTTTTTAAATTGGAAGACAAAACAAAACGGAGTTGTCATAATTAATATAGGCTTTAAAAATAAACTTAATAGTACTATATGCAGAAGAATGTTTTACATTTAATGACCACGACTTGTAATTATTACAATCCAAGTCAGTGATTTATATAATGGGTGGTTATATTATTATTTCCTGCCTTATATTCTAATCTACACCTAACCCTTTGGCATGGGCAATGTACTACTTGTGTGATATTAATTACATATGTGGTACTTGTTTTCAGAAACTGAACAAGGTGATTCCTGCGTCTTCCCTTTCATCTATCGGGGAAAGAGCTATGATGATTGTATTAGAGACGATAAACCGAAACCTTGGTGTGCCACAACAGAAAACTATGACAATGATCAGAAATGGGGATATTGCAGAGCTTGTAAGTAGAAATTTTGGCTGTGACCATGAAAGAACATTGGTAATCTTCAGACATACATATACAATCATATTAAACATATTTCCACATAAATCTATACATACTTGAAAAAAAATTTTTTTTTTTGGCTAGGCAATGGAGTTAAGTGATTTGCCTCAGATCACACAGCTAGTAAGTGTTATGTGTCTGAGGCTGGATTTTGAACTCAGGTCCTCCTGACTCCAGGGCCAGTGCTCTATCTACTGCACCCACCTAGCTGCCCCTACATATACTTTTACAAAAACAAACAAACAATTTTTTTTATGCCATTAAATCTACTAAGAAAAGTTAAATAATAAAGTCAAATTTATAATACAAGAGTACATGATGAAAAATAGGGAGACTGTGTATTTCCCTGCCAGATTAATGACACAGACTTTTGTGTCTTTGGAATTCTGACAGAAACTCTGAATTTTGTACTAAACTTTAGATTTTTTTTTTAAATCAGGAGAGCCCAAAATATAATCTATTTCATGAACATTATGCTCCACAGCAAATAGCTATCGATCATCTACTATTATATTCAGCTGTGATGAAAATATTGATATTGGAACACCACAAGTTTTCAGTGAGACCCGTGGATGCGAGGTGACTTTTGAATGGAAAACAAAAGTTGTCTGTCCCCCAAAGAAGATGGATTGTAAATTCATTCAGAAACACAAAACCTATGACCTGCGGCTGCTTTCTTCTCTTACTGGGTCCTGGTTGTTTGTTCATGATGGTACCTCGTGAGTAGAAGTTTCTGTTTAACATCTGCCAGACAGTAGTAGCAGGAGAGTATTAGGTGGGCTTTAAAACGGCTTGATCTCAAGTTCATTCATTGGTACTAGAGAATGTTTGTTTTCAGCTTAAACTGTAATTCTAGTCTTTGGGCTTAGGTAACTTCAGATATAACAAATATTTATTAATCACCTGGTGTGTGCAAAGTACTATGCTATCTGCTGGTGGATACAGTGCTTGAGTTATAGTTTCTGCTCATCATATTGTTGGAAATAAATGCTCGTTAAATTAATGGTGGAGCTGTTCTAGTAGGTAGAATATGAACCATTGTCCTCAGATGAAAGCCAGCAATTCTGAATCACCTGGAGGGTATTGCTCAGGTTTAATGAAGGTATTTTAACTTTTATTATCCTCTAGGGTGCCAAGCTGTCTTTGAAAAAGTGTATATGTGTGTATGTGTGTGTGTTTTATCAGTTGTATGATGTCCTAATATTAATCTACTTCTACAACTGAGTATTTTATTCCAATTTCATGTGGGAATATCAATATATTGAGTTTTTTTTTGGAGTTTGAATCCTAATTAATTTTACTGAATAATTTTCACTTATAAATATTATGAATTATAAATTCATTATAAGAATTTATAATTTTTAGTAAGAATTTTGGTTTTTTGAAAATTAAAGAGAATAACATTTTGTACATTTCTCAATGCATTAAAATAGAGCATTAATGTATTTAGAATAATCATATTGCATTTTCCCCAATGTTCTTCTTCTATTGATTTCTAGGTACTATATTAACTTGTGTCAGAGCATATATAAAGGACCCTCTGGCTGCCCTGAAAGGGCTAGCATTTGCAAAAAGAGTATAACTGGTACTGTCCAGGTTTTGGGACTTGTTCATACACAGAAGCTAGATGTGACAGGTAATCCTATTGTATCCTTATAGTGATTGTTCTGGTCACCTGTCTTTGTAAAATGCGATGACTCTCTGAGTCTGTGACAATCTCTTAGGTCTAGGAAGGATTTGAACAACTGCTTCCAAAAGTTATACACTTATGAATACCCTGTTTGCACATCAAATGAACCATTGTTGTCTTCTAGCCCATTTGAGATTCTGTTCCAATCAGGGTCCATGCTCAAAGTTTGGTAGACACAAGTATCTTGGAATCTGACTTTAGTCCAGAGACAGTAGGAGCTGGAATTGTCCCATAAATGACACATGTTATTTGCTGCTTCTTTGAAGTCCATATTGGTTCCACTTGCTTAACTGGATGTGTGCTTGTATGAGATGCAGAAGTCCTAGAACTGTTTTGCAAACAAGTAATTTACAAAATTGCCTAGAAACCTACTAAACATTTATTTCAAGATGTATTTTTGTATTGTCTTACTTTTTTCAGCTTAATTACTTCAAAAGTTCTGTGATTTTTACTGTGTAAAAGCTTCTTCTGCCAATGTAGGTCATAACCCTTCTACCTCTCTACATTTGAGTTGCTGTGACAAAAAAAAAAAATCAATCACTTGTTAACCAACTCTCCCTTCGGTGATGAGCCTCTTCAAACTTAGCTAAGCTGATCTTCAAATGACCACCCATTGCTGGGCCTACACTTGATCCTTTTCAACTGTGTAGGCTCTGCATTCCACTGACATAGTCTTTCAGAGTCAAGTCACTTCTGATGCTGTGATAACATCATTAGAAGAGGACTGCAATGGAGAAAACTACCTAACCATATACCTAAAATAATTCCCTTTAACTCTACAAGGTTTCTTACCCTCGGGTCCCTTGATAACTGCATTTCAATATGATTGGTTTCTTTGATAATTTTATATATTTTACTTTATTGCACATAAAAACAGTATTCTGAGAAGAGGGTTCATGGGTTTCACCAGCCTGATAAATATGTCCACGGCACTAAAAAGGTTAATAACCCCCCAGTATTTGTTTTGAGGTTGGATGGTTGTAATGAGAGAAGCTCGCTTTAGTGTAAACAAATTTAGATTGGGAAGGACAGATATCACTGTAAGTGAGGCTCACATATGTATTATCCAGTAGAGTAGGGATGTAATGCAGATTAAATGTTTTATGTAAATCTGAAAAAAAATGTGATTCATTAATTTGCCAAGACCATTAAAGTTGGACTTTTTTTCAAAGAGGCATCAAATAATCATAGCCAATACAGAATCTTGTAATTTCTTAAATAAAGGCAAAGATTTTAGGTTTTTAACATATTGTGTGCATGTAGAGAAGATTTGAACTCAATTCAGATCATTGATAGGAGCCTTTTCTCTGTATAAATGAACACCCACATGTTAAAAATAGCTTAGTTCCCTAAGACTCTTCAAAATGAGCAATCAATTTTTGCATCTTTAGTAAATATTTCAGTATAGTAAAGTGTTGTAAGAGTTATTAATATTATGTTACCTGGGACTTTTTAAACTTATGTATTAGGCCAATGGTTATGAAGTTTCTTTTTAGTATAAAAGAATTTTGTTTTGGACTTTAATATTATGTATATTTCACTAAAATCCTTTTTCTTCAGTGTACTAGAAATACTGTATAATTAAATTATTTATGTATTGCAGGTGACAAAGTCCTTGTAACTTATTCAAATGGCTATGAGTGCAGGCGAAATAAGACTGCAACCACAGTTATAGAGCTGAAATGTGCAAAGACAGTTGGAAAGCCCACGCTGAAGAGGTAGGGATTGCTTTGATTTGAATTGTTTATCAGAATAAGATTGTGGAAATTGTATACTGACAAGAATTTTCTCCCTGATTCTGAACCCAAGGCAGCTGGGTCCAGAAAATAATCAATAAATCTTACAATTTTATTTCTGTAAAATATTTTGTACTTTGTGAAGTTTATCTAGTTCATATCTGGACAGATTGGGCACCCCCCCCCCATTCTGGATGTGAAGGCAAGTGTTGCTTAAATAACTTTTGTGGGAAATAAAGTTTCAAACCCTGGATTCAATTAGGAAATACTCACAAAAAAGCTGTGTGTAGGAAAGCATCTCAGGTTCCAGTCCTGCCTCTTATACTATGCTTAGCATAGAGCCAGTAGCACATAGTAGGTGCTTAATAAATGCTTGTTGACTTGATCTGACTTTTGTGACACTGGGCAAGTTACTTAACTTCCTGGGGCCTCAGTTTTTTCTTCTGTAAAATAGGTAACACGGCCTCTGAAGTAGCTCCTAGCCTTCTATCTATGGTACTCTGTTGAAGTGTCATTGGGGCATTGAGACAGAGAGTTCTTTTAGGTAATTAAGGGTGTGATTCTCTAAGCTTCCTGATCTATAAAATGAGAGAGCTGGACTAGAAATAGATTGCCCTCCAGTTCTTCCTCTGTGACCCTGTGAGTTCTATGTAGATCATGCACAGGTCTATGTGCTTGGCTCTGGTCTTTCTCCCGAGCTCCAGGCCTGTAATACCAGCTGCCCATTGGACGTTTCCCATTGGATGATTGACATCTCAGAATCAGCATTCTCAAGGCAGAACTCATCTTTTTCCTAAACCCACCCCATTCCTCTTCTTCATATCCTAATTTTTGTTAAGGGCACCATCATCCAGTCTCTCAGGTTCACAATTTTATAGACATCTCCAACTCCTACTTTCTCTCCTCCCCCATTCCTATATCCAGTCATTTGCAGATTGGATAAATAACATAAACAAAAGACCTAGCATTTATTAAAGGCCTACTATGTTCCAGGTTCTGGGGATACAAAGACAAAAAAAAAGTCTTTACCTATCTTCAGTGAGGTTACATTCTATCAGGGGATACACACATGAGTATAAACTAAAATACATGCAAAATGAATACAAGGTAATTTTTTTATGAGGAAGATACTACTAGCTGGAATTTGGTGGGGGTGAAAGTAGGGATAGGGGAAGAATTACAAAAAGGTCTCATGTAGGAGTTGGTGTTCCCTGTTTCCTCAAGGATCCAATACAAATTCTTTCGTTTGCCATTTAAAGTCTTTTGCAGCCTGTTTCCTCTACCTTTATTTAGACATCACTTCACTTACTCTGGGGTTCAGCCAAATCAGCTTGTTTGCTTGTCTTTGTAAACTGTATTTCATCTCCTGTCTCTGTACCTTTACAAAGGCTATCCCTTATGCCTGGAATATATTCCCTGTTCACCCCTGCCTTTTAGAATCATGAACTTTTTAAAAAGCTTAGTTCAAAGCTACCTCTTACATGAAGAAGTCTTTCTTGATTCCTTTTAGCTAGGATTGCCTGTCGCCCCATCCTCTAAAATCATCATGTATTTACTTTGAGTAGGTCTTACATAATCTTTGTTATGCACATGTACAGACTATATCTTCCAAAAAAGTATAATTTCCCTGAGGCCCTTCACTGTAGGATTTTTGTCTTTGTCTTTACAGTGCCTGGTACAGAGTAAGTACTTACATGCTTTTTGAATGATTGATTTACCGTGTATGAATTGCGTCAAGAGGAAGTTGGCCACCAGAGGGAGTACGTTGGCTAATATTTATGTGTCTTTGCTTCCAAGAAGCTGGAAAAAGTAAAGTCAAATAACTTGAGGTTGCCATGCCTTGAATTTCTGTGGGTTTGGGAAAGGGAAAATTAAGAAAGTAGCAAAGGACTAAACAAACTTCAAAGGATTCAAATTTCTGAGAAGTTTGTAAAAAACCAAAACCAAGAATTCTAAAAGCAAATAGGCTTTATCTTTTAAATTTTGTACTATTTTTTAAATTTTAAGATACATATTTTAAAAGTTTTTTAAAATGTTTGCATACTTTATAATAATGCCAACATACTGGATGGTCTCTTTTTCTAAATACCTCTTACTTATACAGCAGAGATATTGTGTCACTAAGAGATTTTACCAATCATTAGTTTGACTTCATTTTGATGTCAAAGTTATGAATTGGCATAGGAAACTTTGGGGATTGTCTAGGAGCATTAATACATGAAAGGGATGTGATGATGAAAGATAATCCTGTGCCTGAACACTGAGAACTGACTTGTTGCTTAGGATGTTTTTGAAAACAAATAAGCTTGATTTAGGCATTCAATAAACTATATTTTAAGAGTCAACAATCCCCAAGGATAATGTGATCATTAGAGTTCATGATATATTCATTCTCCTTTATAGGTTTGATAGAGAGAGCTGTACGTATTACATTATGTGGGAAACTCGGGCAGCCTGTGCAGTGAAGCCACAGGAGGTGGAAATGGTGAATGGGACCATCATCAATCCTGTCAATGACAAGCGTCTCAGCCTAGGAGATATTTATTTTAAGTAAGTAAAATATTTTTCTTTTGAGTACCAAAATGTGTTTAAAATTAAGCCACTAATTCACCAGCATGGAGCAAAGCAAGATAAATTTAGTATTGTGTTTTAGTTACTGTAGCTAGGGGTAGTTATATTTTTCCTTATTATGGGAGAAAGCATCACTGAACTATTAAATTTAACACCAAAGATGGTGAATTCTTCAGTGTACAAAAATTTCCCCCTCCTTTCCTCCCTCCTTCAGTTTTTTTAAAAATAAATTTTTATTGATATCTTTTGTTTTTATATAACCTAAACCCACCCCACCCCCTGCCCTGTCTTTTCCTCTCTCCCCAGAGAACTATCTCATATAACAAAAATATTTCCCTTACTATTAGTAGAATTGAGGAACAGAAGATTTTTAAAATAATCTGTCACATAGTCTATTGAGATGCTAGAAGAAGAGGATTAATCCTTTATGCTTAACAGTTCATAGAAAATTTTTATTTCTGTGTCCTATTTTGGTATGAGATATTAGTCTTCTGTAGTTAATTAACAATGATCAAAACACTGTCCAGAGTGAGAGAAGATGGAGTATAAATAACATTTGCCAAATATATTTAAGGCTCTAAAAATGGTCATGTAGTGACAGTGCTAGCACATTATAAGGAACCTCATGCTTTCAGAGACATTTTTTGGGTTATATGTTCACCTCGGTGCTATTCACCTCTTCCTGCAAGTGTAGAAAAGGCAAAATGAAGTGTATGGCTCTGGAGCTATCTTTTTCTGTTTGAACTTTCATTAGGAGAAAGAGAGGTATCCCTGAAGCTGGTCACGAAAGAACAAACTACCAAGTTTGGACAAAATTGTAAGACACAGCACCCTGTAAGAATTCTTGGTCATATGCTGAACTGTCCACAACCATTGTATGCTTTATAACAAGACTAGAAGGCAACTCCTGTGGTGTGATTGGTGTGGTTTTTTAGGGATGAGAGAGGCTATAATGATATATTTTGTTTTCATTTCAGACTATTCAGTGCCTCTGGGGATATGAGACCTAATGGGGATGCTTATATGTATGAAATCCAGCTTTCTTCTATCACAAATTCAGCAAATCCATTGTGTTATGGAGCTAGTATATGTCAGGTTAAAACAAATGATCAACATTTTGGTAGGCAAGTTGGATCTTCGGATAAAACTAGATATTACATTCAAGGTAATTGCTCTTAATCTTCTCAGTATCTTCTTCCCAAAATAGGTTTAAAGTCTTAAGTGGATTCTATTCTCTCTTAATTTCTCATTAAACCTGTGAACTAGAATTATAATACTTAATAAAGATTTTGCTATTGACACTTAATGTAATATGTTCAGAAGAAAACTTGTTTATCAGCAAATCAGCCAGCTCTGTAGCTAATCTAAAGTGTATTTTATATTTAGGCCTATACATTTCCCTAGAGGAAAAGGGATGAAAAAAAATATTTTTGTCAGGTTATTTATTGAAGCAGACATGATGTTTTGGCATTGATCCTATCACAGATAGCAGTGCCAAGTTGGATGGTCTGGAATAGGAACATTTTTTGGTTTACAAAAAATGGGATAATGTTGGTACTACAGCTCAGATGACCTTAACAGGGTATTCACAGGTGTCAGTGCATATTTTAACATAATGCCTACTACAATTGAACTGGCTAGGGGTCTAGTGGAAAGGAATGTTTTACTATATTTTTCTATATAAAATCTTAGAGTTGTATTGAATCTTAGTGAATGGTTTCAGCCATCTAATTTTATAGATGAGGCAATCACAACTCAAGAGAAGCTAAGGGATTTGCCCCCAAGATTGCACAAGGCTGACTGGAGCTAGGTCTTGATTCCCATTCTAGTGGTCTTTTCCTATCCCATATTTCTTTTTAATTTAGGAGCAAAGATAAAAAAAATGACACAGCCCCTGCCCTGAAAGAGCTAACATGCAACTGAGTTCTAGATGATGGCTTCCAAGCCTAGTTTTTCAACCATTGCTGTCCAATTACTGATGACATCCTGCAACAAACCAGAGTAGAGTGTAATTTTGAAGGGTTGTAATTATAGCTGTGAAAGACCAATAGAGCTGGAAAACATGAAATGATGTCATCAGTTTTATACCCAGAATATAGATACATTTCAGATGACTAATGAAATAATTTTTTAGTTTTATATGTTTTATTTTTTTATTTTGAATTTATACCACATAAAGTGAGCATAATGAAATTATTTGTAAAGGTTATTATAGCATTTCAAATTGTGTATTCCTTTCTCTTGGTAGATGATGACCTAGATGTTGTGTTTTCCTCTTCCTCTAAGTGTGGAAAAGATAATACGAAATATGTCTCTTCTACCATCTTTTTCCATTGTGACCCATTGGTGAAGGAGGGTATCCCTGAATTTAGTCATGAAACAGCAGACTGTCAATACCTCTTTTCATGGTATACCTCTGCTGTATGCCCTCTGGGGTAAGTACATTTTTTTTCTTTTTTTCTCTGTAACTCTTAGATGGTCCCTTTCCAGTTTGGTTAATTTTGAAACAAAAGTTGGTAAATAATTGAGCACCTACCATATGCAAGGCCCTATGCTAGGCAGTGTTGGAGGTTACAAAAGAGAATAGAAACTAGGTCTTTGTCCTAATCAACATAGCTACTATGGGACCTTGAGAGACCAGTAGGTCCTCCTGACTGATCCCTGCTATTTATTCAGTGTTACACAAACATGTGGGATAGGGATGCTTTACTTTTATCACTCCAATTCACCCATATCCATTTCTGCTGTATAGTAAAAATGCATATCAAGGAGGTGGGGGGATGTAGACCCCTTTTGCGCACCCCCCCGACCCAAGATTGATAACATATTTCATATTTGTGATTGGATATGAATATGTGACAGAAGGAATCAAGTTTCACTTGCTGCTTCTGATTGTTCTTGCTTTATGGTTACATATCTCATCCCAGCTGCCCTGTCCCAAAGCTGGCAACTTGCCTTACTATGTCCAAGTCTTATTCTACATTCCACACATTTCTAAAACTTATGAGTTGCTACCCTTGTTGATTCCTTCCAAGAATTGCATGTACTATAAGGTATCATATGATAAATACCATAAATAAAAATATAAATAAAAAATGTTTAAGTGCATTAAGAATTCAAAGGATGAAGAGATTACTTCCGAGAACCTGGGAAAATCAGGGATGGCTTAGTGGAGGAGAGGTTGTATTTATTTTGAACCTTGAAAGATAGGATAACACAAAGAAGAGATTATTTTGGGCAGAAAGAACAGTATGGACAGAGGTACTGAGATAGAAAAAGTCAAGGTATATTCAGGGAATGTCTAGTAGTCAAGTTTAAGTCATAAAGTAAGTGTGTGTGTGTGTGTGTGTGTGTGTGTGTGTGTGTGTGTGTGTGGCAGGAAAATAAGGTTAGGGCCAGACCTTTGAATGCCAATTTAAGAACTTAAGACATGACTTGGGCAGTTGAAATTGTCAGAATTTTTGAGTTGGGGAATGGCGTGATTAAGTTAAGATGGGATTCTTTAGGAAAGTTAATGTTTTCAGTCACTGTAGGATGAAAGGTAACAAGAAGAAACTTGAGGGAGGGAGAACCAGTTAGGCCTTCAAAATGATTGTCACTGAAAACTTGGACCACGGTGGTGGCAGTGGGACAGAAATGAAGGAAAGGAAATGGAAGGGAAGAGGGTGAAGTGTGAAGACTTCATAAAGGAAAACACAATAGGATTTTAGTGATCAACTCTTCTCCTTTCTTTACCATCCGTATCAAAAAATGACCCCAAGTTCTTTACCTTGGGTGACTAGGAGAACAATGGTACCTTTAGAAATCCAGAAGAAGGTACTGGACTAGTTGTCTTTTTAGATATTCTGGAATCTACTTCCTATCTTGTATTCTCTCTGAATATGCTTCATACTTAAGAACTTCAAATATCTCATTTTATTGGTGTAATTACTCAAACAATGAAGATTGCAACCTTCCTGTATATTAATGTAGTTCTCAAAATGTGGTCTGAGGACTCCTGGGAGTCCCTGAAATGCCTTTAGGGAATCCCTAAGGTCAAAACTATTTTCGTCATAATACTGAAATGTTATTTGTCTATTAAACTGCTCCTCCCTTTTCCAACTACATATCTGTGTGAACCAGGATTTTATTCACATACTTTAACTAAAACAAAATATTTCAAAAGATTATATGCAAAAGTAAATATGAGTGTCTAGTTGTCTTCTTTTAAGCTAGACGTTAAAGAGATTTGCAAGAATATATAAAACAATGCCACTCTTCTCACTAAATGTTTTTGTTTTGGAAAATGTAGTTATTTTTCATAAAAAACAGTATTTACATTAATACACAGTATATTAATAAGTTTTAATTTCTAATGTGGTAAGTAACAATAGATGTAACCCACGCAAATAAAAGCTCTTCGAGGTCCTCAGTAATTTTTAAGAGAGGATGGGTCCTGAAACTAAAAAATTTGAAAGCTGCTGCTGCTGCTGCTGCTGCTGCTGTTGTTCTGAGTTTCTCTATCCTTTCTAGGCTGGAAGTGCAGTAGCTACACATGGGTTCAACCTCACTGCTGGTCAACTGGTTTGTCCCCCTAAACTGCCTGATCTGTCCTATCTTCCCCTCCCCCAACCCCCATGTTCCCAAGGGCTTACCATCTTAGTAATGTTGGATTTAGTGCAGATACCTGAGTGGTTTAACCCACTGAACCTCAGAACTCCTGAGCTCACCTTGCCCAGTAACGGAGTCTATAGGCATGTGCCATCGTGTTCAACCATGAATGTCTTTTTTTTTAACCTCATGTTTTTTATTTGTTTATTTATGTGTGTATGTATGTATGTATTTTTAGGCACTCGGGGTTAAGTGACTTGCCAAAGGTCTTACAGCTAGTAACTGTCAAGTGTTTGGTCTGAGGCCGGATTTGAACTCAGGTCTTCCTGACTTCAGGGCTGGTGTTCTATACACTGAGCCACCTAGCAGCCCCCATGAATACCTTTGTGAAATGCTCTGACCAAAGCCTTCATTATCCAGTTGTCAGTCTGGTAATGAGTTGCTCTGAACTTAACTAGGCTGGTCCTTGGACAACAGGCATACATTTTGTTTCCAGACTATACTTATTTTTTTTTTCAGACTATACTTATTGAAGCCTTTCCATCTTAGTAGGATTTATTGGAATGTGCTCTATTTACATAGCCTCCAAAGGAGTGATTTATGCATGCCACCATGAAGCCTTAAAGTAGATCATCAGTGGACTGCCAGCTTGGGGGAATCATGAAATAATTACAAAAAATGCTTTAAATTCTGTACAGTTAGGAGCAAAGGATTTAGAGATGGAAGGTACCTTAGAAATCATCTTGCCCTATCCAAATTTTTTTTTACATAAATTTATTTGTTTTTAGTTTTCAACATTTACTTCCACAAGATTTTGAATTCCAAATTTTCCCCCATATTAACCCTCCCCCCACCCCAAGATGGCATGCACTCTGAATACCCCTTCCCCCAGTCTGCCCTCCCTTCCATCTTTTCCCTCACTTCTCTTATCCCCTTCCCCTTCTACTTTCCTGTAGGGCAGGATAGATTTCTGTACCTCATTTCCTGTATTTCTTATTTCCCAGCTGCATGTGGAAACTTTTTTTTTTTAAACATGTGTTTTTAAAACTTTGGGTTCCAAATTTTTCCCCTTCTTCCCACTCCACCTACACTCATTGAAAAGGCAAGCAACTCAATACAGGCCATACGCATGCAGTTATGCAAAACACTTCCATAGTAGACATGTTGTGAAAAACTAACTCTATTTCCCTTAATCCTATCCTGCCCCCCATTTATTCTATTCTTTCTTTTGACCCTGTCCCTCCTCAGAAGTACTTCCTTCTGATTACCCCTTTCCCAATCTGCCCTTTCTATCATCCCCCTGCTCTCTTGTCCCCCTCCTCCCCTATTTTCCTGTAGCGTAAGACAGATTTCCATACCCAATTGAGTGTGTATGTTATTCCCTCCTTAAGCCAAATCCTATGAGAATAAGATTCCCTCATTTCCTCTTACCTTCCCCTGTTTCCCCTCTACTGTAAGAAACTTTTCTTGTCTGTTTTGTGCAAGATAATGTACCCCATCCTACCTCTTCCCCTCTCCTTCTCCTAATATGATCCTCTCTCACCCCTTAATTTTATTCTCCAGATATCACTCCTTCATCTTCAACTCACTCTGCCTGCCATCCATCCATCTATCTATCTATCTATCTATCTATCTATCTATCTATCTATCTATCTATCCATACGTACATATATAATTTTTCCCCTCCCCCTGACAAAGGTCTCATGAATTATAAATATCATCTTTCCATGCAGGAATGTAAACAGTCCAGCCTTAATAAGTCTCTTATGATTTCTCTTTCCTGTTTACCTCTTCATGTTCCACTTGAGTCTTGTATTTGAAAGTCAATTTTCTATTCAGCTCTGGTCTTTTCATCAAGAATGCTTGAAAGTCCTCTATTTCACTGAATAACCATTTTTTCCCCTGAAGGATTATACTCAGTTTTGCTGGGTAGGTGATTCTTGGTTGTAATCCTATCTCCTTTGCCCTCCAATATATATTCCATGCCTCCCTTAATGTAGAAGCTGCTAAATCTTGTGTCATCCTGATTGTGTTTCCACCATACTCGAATTGTTTCTTTCTGGCTGCTTGCAATATTTTCTCCTTGACCTGGGAACTCTGGAATTTGGCTACAATATTCCTAGGAGTTTTCCTTTGGGGATCTCTTTCAGGAGGAGATCTGTGGATTCTTTCAATTTCTATTTTGCCCTCTGGTTCTAAAATATCAGGGCAGTTTTCCTTGATAATTTCTTGAAAGATGATCTAGGCTCTTTTTTGATCATGGCTTTCAGATAGTCCAATAATTTTTAAATTCTCTCTCCTGGATCTATTTTCCAGGTATTTTTCCAATGAGATATTTCACATTGTTTTCTAATTTTTCATCTTTTGGATTTGTTCTACTGTGTCGTGATTTCTCTAAAGTCACTATCTTCCAATTGCTCTATTCTAATTTTTAAGGAAGTATTTTCTTCAGTAACTTTTGGACTTCCTTTTCCATTTGGCCAATTTTGCTTTTTAGGGCATTCTTCTCCTCATTGACTTTTTGGACCTCTTTTGCCATTTGGGTTAGGCTTTTTTTAAGGTGTTATTTTCTTCAGTATTTTTTGGGTCTCCTTTAGCAAGCTGTTGACTTGTTTTTCATGATTTTCTTGCATCACTCTCATTTCTCTTCCCAGTCTACTTCTCTTACTTGCTTCTCAAAATCCCTTTTGAGCTCTTCCAAGGCCTGGGACTGATTCATATTTTTCTTGGAGGCTTTGGATGTGGGAGCTTTGACTTTGTTGTCTTCTTTTGGTTGTATGTTTGATCTTCTTTGTCATCAAAGTAAGATAATCTAGTCTGACTCTTTTTGCGAGGTTTGCTCATGATCCCAGCCAGCTACTTGAGTTTTAAACTCTTTGTTAAGGTAAGAGTCAGCTTCCAGTGTGGAGAATGTACTGTCCCAAGCTTCAGGGGTTTGTAAAGGTGTTTTCAGAGATACTTGTAGGGACCTGTAAATTTTCAGTTCTTCCAAGGTGGTATGATAAGGATCGAGGTGTTTACTCTTTTCCTGGCCTGTGCTCTGGTCTTTGAGTGAGCAGCCACCAGCAGTCTTTTCTCTCTTGGAACTGTGAGGAGGGTTTCTTCTTCACCGCCACTACAAGCTCCGCCGCCACTACAAGCTCCGCCGCAACAGCGCTCCTCCTCACCCCAGCACCGCCACCCAAAACTGTGACCCAGATCCAAGCATGGGCAAAGCAAGAGATTCCTGCCTCAGCACCAGCAAAGAGATCCCTGCATCCCCCTCCGATCAGCCACTTGATTCCCCCTCAGTCGGTGGGCCGGAAGCTCAGGACGCAGCCATGCCCCTGCGCCTGCCCTCTCCTCCCGCCCTCTGCGCTCTGGAACTGGCTCAGACCTAGCTCCTCTCTCACCGCAAAAACAGACTTTTCCCACTGACCTTCTAAGTTGTCTTTGGCATTTGTGGATTGAGGAGTCTGGAAACCACCACAGCTGCCCGAGATTCAGTTCTCTGAGGCCTGCTCCAGGTTTGCTGCGGCCTGCGAGCCCACGACACACTGTGCTTCTCTCCCAGCCTGGCCCAATATGCCTTTTGGATCAACCATCCAGGATGTCTTGGGCTGGAAATTTGTTTTACTCTGTCTTTTTGTGGGTTCTGCTGCTTTAGAATTTGTTTAGAGCCATGTTTTTTACAGGTATTTGGAAGGGTTTGGGGGAGAGCTCAAGCAAGTCACTGCTTTCACGCCACCATCTTGGCTCTGCTTCTCCCCTCCCCCCCAATCCAAATGTTTTATACATGTAGCAGAGACACAGAAAGATCAAGTGATTTTATTTGGGAAGTAGAAGCAAGATTTGAATCTAGGTCTTCAGACTCCAAATTCAATGATCTTTTTACAATACCATATTTCTTATAGGAAATGGGGTTTTAAAAGAGTAATGAGTATGTGGATACCTGCTTTCTTTCAAGACTTCTTTCCTAACTGCTTCTAAACAGAGTTTCTGAACATACTTTGCTTTTAAAAATTAATTGTATAAAATTCTCCCTGTGTTGTAAACTGCAGTCTTTTGTGAGTTAGAGCCTCTTCATTGTGCTCTATTAATGCTGGCAGCAATAACTGCATAGATGACAAGAAATACCTTAGTACTTCGCTTTTTCTTTTGTTGAGGCTTTCCTTAAGTGTTTAACAGGGAGAGTACATTTCAACCCACAGATATGTGTTGCAGATTTTTAGATGGTAATTGTGTGGTCCTTGACTATAACATAATGGATTGATATTCCTGAGCCAAATTAGACTGCCTTTGGGGATAGGGCAATGCTGAGGGAAACTAGTCAGACATATATACATAATATCTACAAAGGAGACGTAAACATAGATAAGGATGATGCAAAATATAATGTGTTAAGAGCAAAGGACCTGTAGAAGCAAATTTGAGGAGGAAAAGAGGATGCTTTCATCTGGGAGGAGCTATGTACTATGTAAACTCTGCTTTGAAGACAGAAAAATATTTCAGCTGGGGTAGATGTGGAGGGAAATTAATTGTAAGCATGGGTGAAGGCCTGTGAACATGCACAGGGGCAAGAGATGACAAGTTAAGGCTGGGGACCAATTTGGTTAGAATATATGTGATGGATGGACTTGATTCAAATGAGTTCTGTTAGTTGAGGTTCAATTTTCACACAAAATGAAACAGTCATAGGTGATTCAGTGGTTAACAAAAGAGATTTACTTAGTTATAGCATAAAAAGACTGTTTGACCCAGGGTACTGAAGCATTTATCTTGGGTAGACATAATCCCCTTACCTCCATATGGAAATGTGTCTGGTCAGCAGGGCAAGGTACAGTGGCTGATATAGGGGCTCTGACTCCATGGCATACTTTTGGTGCTCTTCAGTGACCAAGAAACCCTCACATCAATGTGGCTAGATTTTATAAAGAAGCTTCTGCAAGAGAGATGCCTTGGCTCCCTGGAACAGTTAAGTCACTGGACTGGGTTTATGTTGCTTCTGAGAAAAAACTAACCTAACCCATGTGATAGAGGTAGGGGAAACCCTCCCTAGTAAATAACGGTCTTATCAAAATGTTAAAATGGCTATGGTGAGAAATGAGGAAAGAAAGGTAGGTGGAACTAGATAATGGAGAACCTTAAATGACAAAATAAGGAATTTGTATTTTATCCTACAGATAAGGGGAGCCTTTGAAGGTTTTTGAGCAAGGGAGTCACATGGTCAGGCTTGTGCTATCACTTGGATACAAAAATTTCCTTTAGGAATCAAAATGAAGCTGTTGGATGGAAATCCTTAGAGTAGATTTTTAAAAAGCAAAAAAAAAAATTATATTGAAGTGATGTCACTGTTTCTCTTCCTTCTAGGATGGAAGTTATTAATGATCAAGATGAAGATGTGCTGAATCACAAGGGTCTTTCTGGAAGAAGCCAGGCTGTTGGCGCAATTCTCAGCCTGCTTCTGGTGGTCCTTACTGCATGTCTCTTGATTATGTTACTATATAAAAAAGAAAGAAGGTAAGGAGAAAAGAATTGGGGAGAAGAAGGAAGAATGTATGATTTGGTTATTAGGTTTTGAGGTGAGAGCAGATGGCAAATAAAATTCCTGGTAACATTCATATAGGAATGTAGTAGGAGCATCAGAGCTTTAAAATCTCTCTGGGCTGTTGACATGTATACAAAAATCCTTAAAATTTAAGATAATAGATTCTGTAGTTTCTATGATGAGGGTGTGCTGATATCAACTCAGCAAAGCCAGAAATGGTTGATGTGAAGAACTTTAGAAGCTGGACACTGTTGAGTCTGATTCACATCCCATTGTAGCTGTTGGTATCCTGCATGTTGAAAGTGATACCTTTATGAACTACTTTCTTTAAATAGACCATTTTTCCAATCCATTTTCAGGTTTTTCAGTTATCTCATCTGCATGTCTAAGCCTTTCTAAACAAATAGCTTTTTGTTCAGATGGTTGTATGAGGTCTAGAAAAATGGGAAATCAGCACCTATTCAGTGATTAAAGGTTGTTGTGAGGATCAAATGAGATAGCATATTGAAAAACTCTTTGCAAACTTCCAAGCATTATCCAAATGCTATTATTTTAAAACTATTTCTTGCTTGAAAATCTTTAAAAAAAACTATTACAATTTTTTAAAAGAAAGAAATACCTAGCAACATAGCCCTAGGACTCAAAGAAATTGTATTTGAAGATAATGCAAGTATAAAATTGTAGTAAATACATTTGATAATGACATTGCTGTCATATGCCCCGTCCTTTGAGGGATTAACACAAAGCTGGGACCAGAACCTAGGTCTCCTGGATACTATTCCTTTAGTCATTCTACCACACTATTCTGCTATTTCTTTTAAGAATAAAGAGAAGTTATTAATTTACTCTTACCATCACAACTATGTATTTTTCCACAGGGAAACTGTCATGCATAGAATAAGCAACTGCTGTAAGAGAAGTTCCAATGTGTCTTACAAATACACTAAGGTAATTTTCTAGACTACCATGAATAGAACTTTAGATTCTCAGATTTGGACACTTAAAGAAATTCTTCTTTCTCTAGTTTAATGGTACTTTATCCTACCCTCTTCTTCCCTCAATACTATACATACTTGTTATCCTAAATTATATTTTTTGCTGAAAAAGAAAACTACTGTAAGATAGGTTCCTGATGTATAGATCAGAACGTGCATATTTTGACTTCAGGGATCCACGCAAGCCCTCCAGGTACTTCTGGCTTGGGCAAGAATAAAGCAGACAAGTTGTGAAAGGTGCTTTTCTCTTTTTCTTTCCCAAGTGATGCAAAAGGCTTGTTCAGTTGATGAATGTTTTGTTCAGACATTGCTGTGAGCTTTAGGCCAAAGTGCCCCAACTCTAACTTGTGCTGGTCACACTGGCCTGCTCTGACCCAGCCTTTAGTACAAAGGGGCCAAGTCTTGCCCTTGCCCAAGAACTTCTGCCTCCTCCTCCCAGTTAGTAATGACCAGAGCTAGAAGAATAGCATAGGAAGGAAGTGAGTCTGACACTGAGAACACTTTATCCAATGTTGGGGGAGGAATGCTAGAATTGTAAACAGGGTTTACATCGTATGTTCTTGCTATGCTGCTGTTTTTTGACAGGTAAACACAGAAGAAGAGGCAGATGAAAATGAAACAGAGTGGCTTATGGAAGAGATTCAGCTGTCAGCTTCAAGACCTGGAAAGGAAGGGCAAGAAAATGGCCACATTACCACCAAGTCTGTGAAATCAGATGCCCTAACTTCCCTGCATGCAGATGACCAGGACAGTGAAGATGAAGTCCTGACCATTCCTGATGTGAAAATTCATTTAGCGAGAGGTACACGGCCAGGAGGAACAGACAAGGTTAGAAATCTACAAAGGAAGACATTCAAGCATGGAAATGATGACACAATTGGTTTGCTTAAAGGGGAGAAGGAAAGAAAAGGAAAACCTAAGTCAGGACAGCAGAAAGCAATGGATTCTGCATATCCCATGTCATTTCATGATGACAGTGATGAAGATCTGCTCCATGTCTAAAACTCCCTCTCGTGCCTACAAGAGAAAATTTATTAGTGGGACAGAAAAGCATCTCCAACCAAATATGAAGACTTCACAACTTGATGCTTCTATAATTTTTGCCTTTAACAAGAACTCATTCAAAAGGGAAGAAGTTTTTGTGCTGGTGACGGGGAGAAGGAGAATGATGGCTCAGCTTATTCCTGTTTGTTTACAGGTGATGGAAAAGACATTGCCTAAGTTAGCCAGATAACGTTGGTACTCTGATTCCAGGGTTCTGTCCATGTCTGCATTTAGAAGCATAGCCATTAGAAGCTTATTAGCTCTTATTTAGTACAAATATACTCCCAAAAGGCAGGGTTTGATTTAAATGAAGGGGAAAAAAGCCCTGACTTTAGACCATTTAAGATACTTGATTATTAGCATTTTAATTCTCTCTCCACCCCCTATTTATTGACTTTGACTACTCAGGTTTGCTGAAATAACAGTAAAAAATTCTTCCTGCCGGCAGGGGGGTATTCTATTGATTCACCCATTGTAGGAGAAAGAAAAGGTGTTAATCCATATGCTGGGATGGTCTGAAGTAAAATTTTTGGACCTGGTGTATCATTTATCCCTTATGTTGAAATATTTCATTTCTGGACTTTGGATTTTTTTTTTTTAAGAAACAAAATGTTCTTTAGTTTCTTGGGTGCTTCAAAAGGTTCACATTCTGTATATGGCTTTAGCCAAAAACAGCTGCTGCTCTTTGCATGTTATTCTTGGTCCTGGTCATATGAAACAAATCTATCAGTATTTTGCTAGACTTCTGGTGAACCCAAACAACTGACCCAAAGATTGATTTCCTATGGAGTTGAGACTTGGTGCCATACCACAGAAAATAACCAGGTTTCTCAGGATTGTGGGTATAGGTCATCTCAGTATCATCTTCACTGTCTGTCTAATCCTATTTTTTAAAGAAAAAAAAAGAACTTTGTAAACCATTGGACCTACAGAAGCCTTAATTTGCACAATGTGTATCTTTATGGAACTAATTGCATGAAAAATGATGGGCCAAAATCTTATCAGTAGTATCATACTTCAAATCATCCTCTATTTGGAGGTCATAATTATTACTTATAGTGTTGCCTCTATAGAATGAAAATTATGGCATTCTTCCTCTAGCTCTTAACTCCTTTCTGGAAGTGTTTGTTGAATTATCTTCAGGGGGATTAACCTGATGTTGTAGAATTGTATATAGATATGTGGTATTCAAATTCTTAAAAACAAATAGAAAAAGCAAAGTCCCCTGGTTTGTACCTGGTTTGGCTGGCTTATTTGGTTTCAACATGAGTGTATTTTTAAAGGTTGATTTCTCTCCCCATTTTCCAATAAAATTTACTGTAATATAAATAAAGTATTCTGCAATTTCAATAAAAGATAAATTATTAATTGGGTACTGCAGTTTATTCCCCTTAGTGGAGAGAGAACTTCTAAAACTTTTATCTTTAAAGAAATATGGTTTTAAGATAGTGTGTTTTAAATGTAAAGTGTTCTGACTCTAACTTATATGAGTCTTGGTTTTCTTGATGCTATTTTCTCTGTAGAAGGGTACCAAATCCTAACAGACCTGATGAGCTCCCTTTTCTTCTTTCATTTCCATCTGATCCATGATAGTTCCAAGATAACAGATCTCTTTATGTTTCTAATTTCCCAAATGGTGACCTGGAATCCCAGACAAATAACAGTACAGTGGGGCTATCTCGAATTTAATAGAAGCAGTAATTAAAAATGAGTAACAGTAATATGAAGGAAAAGTTTCAAATGTAGGGTTTCTTTTTTTTTTTTTTTTTGGTCAAGGAGGAGACTTTTAAAATCAAGAGTGAGTATATTAACATTAAAGCAAAATTAATACAGAGTCTACTGAAAATTGACTCAAGTAAATTTTATTTTGAGACTATGCTATTTTTGATTTTATAAATCTTTAAAGGAGCTGTCATTCTAATTACTAACTTTGAGTATTACTACGATAAGCTTAGAATAGTGTTACATATTCAAATTATATGAAGAGTTAGTAACTGGAAAATGATAGAGGAAGGTGGGTAAAAATGTTATGTTTTTCTCTTCTTCTCTATAGCCAGCACTGGGGTAAATGCTTGAGTTGTATTTATGTTTGCAGATTACTTGAATTTTTTTCCCCTTTATGTTTCAGGTTAAGGGAAATATATATATATATATATATATATATATATATATATATATATATATATATACACACACATATATATATATACACACATACATATATATACACACATATATATATACGTATATATATATGTATATATATGTATATATATGTATATATGTGTGTATATATATGTATGTATGTATATATATATATATATATATATGTATGTATGTATGTATTAGATGCTTTTAATTTTATTTTTTATAGATACCTTCTGTTTTTATATCACATTTATTTCCGAATATATCCCTGGCTCTTCTTGCTCCCACTCATTAAGCCATCTTTTAAATAAAGGTTAAAAAAAGAAGAAAGGAAAAAAAGTTCAGCAAAACAAATGAATACCAGACCAGATCATTTCAAATATTGACTTTTCTAAGCTCATCTTCTCTATGCCCTAGGTTCTTATTATAGATTCTGAATCAGAGATAATTTACCCTTTGGCAAAAGATTGGAATGCCTTTTCTGCACATTTCTACTCTCCTGATTGATATTGTTTCACTTTTACCCAATGAATTTGTTTAGTTTGCGTAGATAAGAGAAACACAGTTTGATTAGATTAATTTAACCTTTAGAATCTCGTTAACGTTCATATACTTAGACAGCTCTCAGAGACTAGTAATCAGTGATTTAGTTCCTAATGGTCATTAAAGGCAAAGAGAAGAAAAGAACTAGTAATCAGTGATTTAGTTCCTAATAGTCATTAAAGGCAAAGGGAAGAAAAGAACTTTGGGATGTTATTCTTCTAGCTTTCAGGAATATTTACCTCAAGATGGAAAGATAACTTGAATTCAAAGGCTTAATCAACACAAGAGATCTAGGATGTGGTTTCTGGGTTGACATTTCAGTATTTTGTTCAAGGACTTAATAGAACAATTTTGCTTTATTAAGAAATTTTCGTATTTTATTTTTCCAACTTGTGATTTGTAAGAGGTTTGCTACATCCTTAAGTATGATTTTTATTGTCTTATTGTGAGTTCCCCTGTCCCCCAATCTACTTTTAATAAGGCTTTTGAGATAGTTTTCTGTGTTATAAAATGAGGCTATTACTATATATTCATTTGTTATTTCTATAGGACTTGGTGCTGCAGAAAATATCTAGAGATACTAAAGCAACAGCCTTGGTTATATGACTCATCCAGAGAACTGGAGGATAGGGCCAGTTACACTCCATCTTGTAGACAGAAGTCTTCTTACAAGTATTTTAAAGCAACTGAAGGTTCAATTGTATTTTCAGATTTTTAGAGAAATAAAAGGCTGGCCCCTTTCCAGACACAAACTGATTTAAGCAGGTTAGGGAATTATTGAGTTTGATTTATAAAGATTTTAAGGAAAAGTTGTTTTGAATCTTCCCCAGGGGCAAGATAGCTTTTTCTGGAGCTGTACTAGAGCTAAGCCTGGAGAGCTTGTAATGCCCAACCTATAGGTAGCTTTCTGGGAAGTTAGAAAAAAGCCAAGGGTCCCAGGTTTTTCCTGTATCTGTGAGCCAGTTCATAGGTCAGAGACAAGGGTACTCGAAAAAAGCCAAAGCTGAGCCATAGGGGAAAGGCTGTTTGTTTTACTTTAAATTTTTTTCTATATTATTTCGGTATAACTATGAGAAGTGTAGTAGAGATAGTTATGTGGCTATTTTAGTTTATTTCTTTAGAAAAAGCAATTAAATATATTTTTAAGCAAATACTATAATCAGTAAAGAAGCATTCATTAAACATTTATTATGTGGCAGGTACCATGTTAGTTCCAGAGAATATAAAGACAAAAATGGCAACCTCTGCTCCCAATGGCTTTATGTTTTATCAGGGGAGACATCATAAATTCATAAATATATACTGTATGTATGAAATAAATTCAAAGGAGCTTGAGGAAAGAGACCGAGGGTTCAGCGAAGACCTCATGTTGAAGGCAATATGAGCTGAGCTTTGAAAGAAGTGAGAGATTCTAAGAGGCAGAGGTGAGGAGAGAGTACACTCCAGATATGAATGCAAAGGTAGATTTAAAAAGAGGCTATTTAGTAAGAGAAGCAGCATATAATGTATGGCAAAGAATGCTACACCGGGAGGTCTAATCCCAGTTCAGTCATTAACCTGGTGTATGACCTTGTAGGATAAGGCAAACTTCGGAAGCCTAAATTTTCTTTAATGACAGAATTAACTACATAATCTGTAACATCTTCCACCTCTAAATGTCTCTAATTGTGTAACTGACACTTGTCCTAATTCAATGTCATAAAAAAAATAAACCAACTACTTCATTTGACTATGATCTTGAGCAGGGTACTTTTGACTTTCTTGAATTTGTTTCCCCTTATGTAAAATGGCAATACCCTGGGGCTAGGTGGCACAGTGGATTGAGTATTGGGTCTGGAGTTAGGAAGATCTTAGTTCAGATCCAGCCTCAGATTCTTGCTGTGTGTGGAGGAGAGTAAAATGTAAAAAGACTGGAAAGATAGGCAGGGGCCAGATTGTGAAGGACTTGTGAGAATGTGACCCAGCCTTTTATTTTTGATCCTGGTGGTAACAGGGATAACTCATTGGAGTTTATTTGGTAGGTGGTAACATGGTCAGAGCTGCACTATAGGAAAATCACTTTGGCAGCTGAGTGGAAAATGGATGGGGGTAGGGAGAGATGTGAGGGAGAGAGACCAACCAGAAAGCTATGGTAGTAAAGACAAGATGATGGCTGTGTGAATAAAGAGAGGGGAAAATATTCAGGAGATGTGAAGGCAGAAACAATCAGATGTGGCAACAGATTTGTGAGGGTAAGAGAAAAGTCAAGGATGATACTGAAGTTGTGATTGTGAATTGGCTAGAAAGATAGTGGTGCCCTTCTTAGTGTTAGGAAAGTTGAGAAGAGTCAAGGGCCCGGGAGGGAAAGCCAATGTTTTGAACATGTTCAGTTTGAGATGCATATGAGGCATCCAGGCTGAGGTGTCCAAAATAGTGGGGGTTTTTTTTTTTGTGAGACTGGAACTCGAGAGAAGTTAGGACTAGATGTATAGATCTAAGGATCATCTGCATAAATATGATAATTGAACTCATAACAGAGAAGAGAGTCAAGGATAGGGCCTTTGGGGACATCCATGGTTAGTGGGCATGACCTGAACGAAGATCCAGTGAAGGAAATTGAGAAGGAGCCACCAGAAAGGTGGAAGCACCAGGAGAGAACAGTGTCACAAAAATGTAGAGCCTCAGAGAGCGTACCTAGGAGAAAAGAGGATTTTAACAGTGTCAAGGGCTACAGAGAGGTCAAGAAAGGTGAAAACTGAATAGAAGAACATTAGGTCAGCAATTAAGAGATCATTGGTGATTGTCTATTATTTTCAGCACTTAGTCAAGGTAAGCAGATGCAAAAGGAAAATCACACGATTGATCTTTGTTTCGGATAAGCCTAAAGAAAATGAATTTTGCATTCCTGAACCACTGAGGGTCATGCATTCCTGTTGGATGTAGAGCACCGTGTAAAATAACATGAGTAATAAATAGAAAATGCAGGTGGTTTTTTGAAGCATAACTCACATTTATATAATACTTTAAAGTTTACAAAGAGCTACGCCTGCAGGAGAGGAAAGACCAGACATGAATCGATCCCTATTCTAAACTATCCTACAATTGGCTGACAGAGTATTTTTCCTGAAGTGTAGGTCACGTGCCTTTTCAATAAACCAAAGGCTCCCTGTTATCTCCATGATCAAATATCAAATGCTCTTTGGCATTTAAAGCCCTTCATAGTGTGCAGCCTATCCACCATTCCTCTCTTACTAAAACTTCCCTCCACATACCCTTCCATTCAGCCAACTTCTCACATGAGGTGCTCCATCTGTCATATCCATGCCTTTGTATTAAATGTTCCTAGGCCCAGAATGTTCTCTCTCCTCATCTCTACCTTTTAGAATCCCTAACTTCCTTAAAGACACCTCAAACTTCCACCTAATGCAGAAAGCCTTTCTCAAGCCCCACAGGCATCTAGAGCCTTTCCTTCTAAGGCTACTTGGTAGAGACTTTGTATATGTATATTACATGTAGCTGTTTACTGATGTGTTGTATCCCCAATTAGAATGTAAGCTGCTGCTTGAATGGTACTATTTTTGACTTTCTTTGTATCTCTAGCACTTAGAAGAGTGCCTGGCGCATACTGAGCTCTTAATAAATGCTTGTTACATGTCGTCATTTATTGTTTTTGTTTTTCAGCGATGACTGACTCATTGTCACC